CAAAGAAAGACCTAAAAGTTTAATTATTCTACTTACATGGCTATGGTGATATAAGTCAACAAATTTTACTAAGATCAAGCCTTAAGGTAACTTGAAATGATGAGTGGAGAAAGGGTTAGGCTAAGACACGAGGTGCTAAGAGATAAAAAGTGTATGTGGAAGGTGTGGTATTCGTGGAGACTGATGTATTAACTGAAGCACATGATGTTGAGAGTCAAAACTTATTCGTGAGGGGTGTGATCTCTATAGAGATCAATTAGAAAAATTTGAGCCATTGATCCCATGAAATTAGTTTTTCTAGACAAATAAAATAAAATCTGATATGAAGATCCTTTGAGACTAAACGTAGTCTAGTGAAGGGTGAAACCATACAAAAACTCTTGTGTCTCACATAGTCATAAGTGAGAGAGAGACTAGAGTGAATCCATAGAGAAAAAAAGATTGACTTAGGTGAAATTGTAAACATAGTCAAGAGACTATGTGAAAACATGTGTCCACACATATAAATGTAGAAAAAATAATTAAGTAGAACAGAAAAATGTAGGGAGCCAATTCAACCCTCTTAGTGTTTCACTTAGCCATATCAAACCCAATAGATAAGTCTTCAATGATTAATTAAGAAATTATTAGCTTTTCAAAAAGAGTTAGATTTATATAGAACTTTTAATAATGCTTTGCCTAATTTCTGTAATTATTTAATATTAACATTTGAAATTTTCTTAAAAATTCATATGGTTTAAAATGAATAAAAAACATCCTATTAGTGATTTGGATATCCTTTATGTTCATATGAATAATGACCATGGAGTGATTAAGATATATAATTGAAGTTATCACTTAGGTTGTATCAAATTTGAATCCTTTACATTGAAACACATCTCTTAATATATTTTTAGATAAATTAATGATTTTAACTTCAATTTAGAACTGAAGTATGAATCATTTGATATCAATAATATGACGACTTATAATTATTCAAACTCATTGTTGAAAGATTATTTTAATTTTCATCATTTTATTTATAATGTAAGGAGTAAATTCACGAGTGACATCAATTTTAAATATTCTTTTCAAATATTGGACATCTAATTTACTTTTTAACAATCGTCAGATTTATTTTTTTCAAACATTTGATGACCAAATGGTTGCTTCTAAATAGTGATATTTTCCTATCTAGGCACTAATTAATGTTTAAGTAGATTTTGAATTATTATTATAGAGTTTAAATTAAAAATGTCAAATATATTCATTGAATTGACATCTAAACACAACATTAATAAAATATATTTTTAATAAATATTTAATTATTTTAATTCAACTATATGTTCTAATGTTGATGCAAATAAAAAGTTGATTAAGAAACAACCATTATTAGATCCACTTATCTTTCCAATGTCTGTTTGTTATTCTCATAAAACATTAGGACAATCAAGACTCTTGTGGCTGATTAAGCAGGGTTGAAACAGTTCAACCTATTAGTAGGGAGATCCTTCAATAATCATAAAATTTTTTGGACAACTTAATCATGAATTACTGTTTCATGTATCATCTTCTAGTATGAAAGACCAAAACATCTAAGGAATGCTAACCATCCCAAACGAAACCCATTAAGAGCAAGGCTATGCTATTCAACTTAATGACTTTATCAAATGAAAATAAATATATATATATATATATATTACTTGCAAAAAATTGTATGTCTACTTTGACTTGTCTTTATTAGAACACGTTTTTTTTTTAAAAGAAAAAATCCCTATAAAGAATAAAGAGCATGCACATGGTTTTCTGCTTTAAATATAAATAATTAGTAAAATGACATCATTTTCTTTTCTAGTCACTCATAGGTATCTACATAGACAAGTAATTTCGAAGGGAGAAATTCAAGGTTTCATTGTACTTTCCTTTCCTTTTTTTGTCATCCAATCCATCAAAAGAGACAAAGTGTCTTTGAAGACCACCATTAGTATGAATTATGTAGGTTTAACAATCTTTACCCTTGACCCGTGAGTGCTAACGACTCCCTGGCGTTGGCTCAAAAGATGACACGTGTGAAGGAAATTAGCCATTCTATCCTCATGGGGTTGACAGGTACCTTCCCATAGCTCAGCACCTATCATCTACAAGTCCCATCAATAGATTGCTATTTGAATTATTTGAAAAAATTGTATTTAGATGATTTATATCAATGGGAGAACAAGCAGACGTTCTTCAAGTCCCATCAATAGAGAAGAAGCCCTTCATCGTTACATGATATATGTCACAAAAATGTGAAAAAGTTGTAATTAATTTTAGAAAAATAATTTATTTCTTTAGAACTTAAAAAAGGAATTTTGCAAAAGATTCTTCAATAAAGAAAAATAAGAAATCCAACCTTCACAACATCAAAGTTTGATACTCCGTGAAAGACAATTTTCTGGTTGTAGAGGTAGATTACTATCCTAAACAAAATCAAGATGATGGAACAGAATATTCAGGACTCACCGAAAAACGGGAATCAATGACCAGGGTTGAAGAGTAGTTCACGTATAGCATGTCAGCGATCCTCAACGACAGTCATCGTTATTTCATTGGGGACACTGACTGATCGAACTTGGTGTGGGACACTGAAAAAGTAGGAAGCCTGGTCTCTTTGGTTCTGGCAACAGAAAATTCTCGCTGGTCAGCATCGTCACCACTGCGTACACGGTTGGCCGATCGCTCGGGCTCTCTTGTACACACAATAGACCAACTTGAATGCATCTCAGCAGCTCTGACTCTGGACAAGAAGTCATCACGATAGGATCAAGTAGTTCCAAGAAGCGGTCCTCCTGCCATAGTTTCCACGCCTGCGATGGACGATAACAGAGACCCCTTTAACACTTCGGCCGAAATCTTATGAAAATAGAAATAGTGATCTCTCTCTCTGTCTCTCTCGCTGTGCACTTACATGAGAGGCAAGGTTTACTTGGGGGTCTCCTGGGCGGTAGATTCCTCGGGTTTTAATACCACTCAGGACCTCTAACACGAGAACCCCAAAGCTGAACACGTCTGACTTCGCTGAGATGATGCCGCTTATTGCGTATTCTGGAGACATATATCCACTGTTCCACATTTCCCAATCAAGATGGCCATTTTCAGGAGGATATATCGTTCACCCTTTTCATTAATGATGTATAATTGATATGGAAGAAAAAACTTACTATGTACCAACAATTCTGCAAGTATTGTCGGTCTGCTGGTCTGCTCCGAAAATTCTCGCCGTGCCAAATCATGAACTTGTTACTCTTTATCACACAGAAACAAAGTATTGTCATTGTAGAAAATGGGACAGAAAAGGAATTAAAAAGTGATAAAAATCTGGATTAAGCTGATTAATCTCGTTGTCTTCATGTCACCACAAAAAATAGAGTAAAATCTAATGAAAAAAGAAATCTAATTCGCAAACATCTTCCATTACTCTGTTCATCTATCACCCTAAAATATAGTACCAGAAAACGAATGTGAAATCGTCTAAAAAGGGGTAAACAAAAATTGAATGAAAGTCCTAGTCTCGTCATCTGCCTGACCCCCAAACAATGGATTAAGAATTAATTAAAATAAAATGCAATTAAAAGAGAAATCGAACTCACAAGTTCCCAACATCGCTCTTCTTGTCTCCGCCTGTCACCTGGAAAAAACTTGGCCGAAAAAAACTTTCAAATTGCTCCAATCTTCCCCTTTCTATCATCTATAAAACTTCTTCCCTTTTTCGTCAAATTTCCTTCCGGATTTCATGCAGTAATACCTCAACAACCATCATAAAATCGAGAATCATCTACGTTAGTTTCACCACCCAAAAATAGAGCATGGAAGATGACATGTACATGAATGATGTGGCATAACTGTTTGCATGGTCCGAAATGGCTGGCTTGGCCCACGAACCGTTGACACATCCTCCTGGTGATGTGACCATGAATCAATGTATTTTTTCTCATTAATTTGATAATTTCTAAATTATTGAAATAAATTTCACATCGCTCATAAATTCCCTAAAAAATCAAAGATAAATCTATTTTCTAATTTTAACTTCATGTGTAATTTCCAGTATATTATAAAATAATTCTCAAGTCTATAAACCTTAGTTAATCATGTTAGGATATAGATTAAAAATCATAAATATATTTATTTCACATAAATTATAAAAATTAGAAAAATAAACATAAATTCATCATATCACTCTCAAATCAGTACTAACATTTCGAACTTAAATAATTCACATTTTATGTTAATTCATGCAGAAAATACTTTAATTTTACCTCAATTAGTATATAAAATTAAGAATTATCAATAGGTAGCTACACTAACTTAAGTAATTGTCTATGGGAGAGACAAATATAGATTATGCTTCCCTTTCCTTTTTGTGCCATCCTTTCCTTCATCAAAATAGACAAAATATCTTGAAATATCACCATTGATATAAATTATGTAGGTTTAACAATCCTTGTCCTTTACTCGGAGCATTAACCACTCCCTAGGTTGGATCCAAACGATGACAAGTGTGGAGTAAACTAGCCCTTGTATCCTCACGAGCTTGATCGTTATCTTCCCCCAGCTCAGCACCTATCTATGACTTGACATAGATGGCTACCTGAATTATTTGAAATTTTGTATTTATCTGATTTATATCAACTTTAAACTCAATTGGAGAACATGCAGACGTTCTTCAGGTCCTATCAATAGAGAACTAGCCCTTCATTATTACACAATATATGTCATACAAATGTGACATTTTTTAATGAATTTGAAAATAGTTTTGTTTTAGAACTAAAAAGTGGATTGTGCAAACCACTGTTCAATTAAAGAAAAAAAACAAATCCAATGTTCACAATGTTAAAGTTGGGTTACTCACTGAAAGACAATTTTCTGGTTATGGAGATAAATTACTATACGAAATAAAATCAAGATGATAGAACAGAATATTCAGGACTCCCGAAAAACGGGAATCGATGTTCAAGGTTGAAGATTAGTTCACGCCTAGCTTGTCAACGACCCTCAACGACACTCATGGTTGTTTCATTAGGGCTGAAAGGCTGATGTGTGCTGGAGGAACTTTGTGTGGGACACTGAAGAAGTAAGAAACCCGGTCTCTTTGGTTCTGGCAATAGAACATTCTCGCTAGTCAGCATCGTCACGACTTCGTACATGGTTGGCCGATCGCTCGGGCTCTCTTGCACACACAATAGACCAACTTGAATGCATCTCAGTAGCTCTCTCTCCGGACAAGTCGTCACGATTGGATCAAGTAGCCCCAAACAGCGGTCCTCCTGCCATAGTTTCCACGCCTGCGATGGACGATAACAGAGACCCCTTTAACACTTCGGCCGAAATCTTATGAAAATAGAAATAGTGATCTCTCTCTCTGTCTCTCTCGCTGTGCACTTACATGAGAGGCAAGGTTTACTTGGGGGTCTCCTGGGCGGTAGATTCCTCGGGTTTTAATACCACTCAGGACCTCTAACACGAGAACCCCAAAGCTGAACACGTCTGACTTCGCTGAGATGATGCCGCTTATTGCGTATTCTGGAGACATATATCCACTGTTCCACATTGCCCAATCAAGATGGCCATTTTCAAGTGGGTATATCGTTCATCCTTTTCATTAATGATCTATAATTGACCACGGAAGAAAAAACTTACTATGTACCAACAATTCTGCAAGTATTGTCGGTCTGCTGGTCTGCTCCGAAAATTCTCGCCGTGCCAAAGTCGGAGATCTTTGGGTTCATTGCATTATCTAATAGAATATTGCCGGCTTTGAGGTCCCTGTGGATAATCCTGAATCTTGAGTCATGGTGGAGATACTGAAGTCCTCGAGCAATTCCCACGATGATGTCCAAACGCATCCTCCATCCCAATTCTCCACGCTTTATTTCATCTAATGTATCGTCCACCGTGGGAGAGAGAGAGACAGATTGACGAAGAAGAGTGAATAAGCAGAAGCTGAGTATCTCGAGTCTACGAACAGTAATTCCCATTGTAATCAGTTGACTTACCGAATATAAAGTTGTCCAGGCTTTTATTTGGCATGTATTCGTAAATCAACATTTTCTCATTATCTCGAACACAGCAACCCAACATCCGAACAAGGTTCTTGTGCTGAAGATTCACCATTAGCTTTACCTCGTTCATGAACTCCCTAACCCCCTGTGCGGAGGCACATGAGAGCCGCTTAACTGCTATATCCCGGCCATCTTTCAAAGTACCCTGCCTTTGCAATTTCTCTGAGTTACACTTTCCCCCATTGCACGTGTACTTTTATCCAAATGCTATTTAAAAATAAAGCATAAATAAGTAATAATTATCTGAGCCAAGGAGGCGGATGGTTTACCTTGTACACTGTCCCAAATCCTCCTACTCCGATCTTGTTGTCAACGGAAAAATTTTCGGTGGCGGTTGCTACAGTCCGAAAGTCGAAGAAGGGTAGATCCGAGTCATCTCCATCAGCAATTTCACGAGGGTTCTCCGTTTTACCTAGGAACCAAGAGATATATATATATATATATATTTGTAGAGATAGAAAGAGAGAGAGAGAGAGAGAGAGAGAGAATGGCGACTTGGATTTTAAACTTTTTTACTGGCAGTTAGTGAGTGATAAGATCAAGAAAGCCTTATGATATTACCATTCAACGTGTTGCGCGTCATCTTCTTCTTCATCCAGATTCCACACAGCAGAAGAAGAGCCATTCCTGTGACGGCTCCGACAGCGCCAAATATGGCAGCATTTCTCTTTCTCTTTTTGCTTTGAAAATAACTTGACGTCGGATCTGCGCATATTCATCCAAGCAAAATTAATTTTATCTAATAGGAAATGCTTATAAGTGGAGTTACATATCCCTAATTAGAACACCTTTTCTTAGCTATTACGCTACAGGCCCATCAGGACTGTAGAGGAAGAAACGCACTCAATCTGTTTACTGTAGTCAACAGGTTCAGGGTCGATTCTGGGAGCTCTGCCATGTTACAGTATTAAGAATTCAATTACAGAATTACGGAATTATAGAATTTAATTGGGTCTTTTCAACTGATAGCCCATTCACAGCTCTCTCTCTGGTCGATGGCACCATACTCTCGCTCACGTCAACTCGAAGCCTGATAATATACTTGGTATATTATCAAGTACACATGTGCATGCTTTTAATATTATATTCGGTAGATCTGGCAGTTCTCTCGTCAAAATTGAAAATCATCAATCTAAGGGATTTATGTGGCATCTTGAAGCTGTCAAGTCATGCGGAGTGCGTCAGATTTCTAATTTAACTCGGACGAGATTAAGAAAAGTAGGTACCGCTGTTGGCATCGGCGACGCGAAGGAAGAGCTCCTGCCCGTTGAAAGTGAAGTTCACGATATCTACCAGGTCACCTTCCCAGGTTACGCAAACCCTCCCTCCTTTGCGGATGTCACCGCTGCCGTAGGCGGTGCAATTGCAACTGTTGGCACACCGGGCCCGACAGTCCTCCAGGCTCATGTTCGTCGTCACTGTGGCATTTAACAACTCGGGGAGTTTCACAGACACCACAGGCCGGAAACCGTCACTGGCGCCGCAGCTCAAGGCGGTATTGCGCACGCACCCACCTGTACAGTTTCCCTGGGACCAGTCCTCCTGAGACTTGGGGCGGAAGCCCCTGAGGCAACGGCAGTGGGGGTAGTCGCTCACCGTGCACGTACTGTACGGCCCGCATTGGCCGTAGTCCTGGCATTCCCACGGCACAGTCCACAACACGGTCCAGCTATCGCCTTCATCACTCCACGCATAGCGCTTGAGCTCGCCAGTGGGGGTCAGTACAAGCCGTGAAGAACTAGTACCGGCTATCAGGCTGTCTGAGTAATACACTTCGTCTCCGGAGGAGACGACGCTAGAGTTGAAGAAGTTGTTGGCATTATGAAACGGCGAACCCGTGAATCTGACCCCGTTCCACATACCTGGGGTAAACTTCAGCTTCGACCCTTCGAGCAGAACACAGGTCGGTAATTTTTCCACCACTAGCCTGTAGGAGTACTTCCCTGGGGACGGGTCATCGTTGGCTTTCCACGAAGTAAGGTGCTTGCTGGCACCGGTCTTCGTGTTGATCGAAAGCTTCATGACAGGGAGCAGCGTATCCCCTGGTTCATCAAAGCTTTCCCAAAGCACTCTGCCGGCGTCATGGATAACGAAGTTCCCGGTCTCCAGAAGCCGGGCCACACGATTGCCGCCGGTGCTGGAATTCAGATTTGTTGACCAGGCGATGTTGCCGGCCTTGTCGACAAGTACAAGGTTTCCATCTCCACCAAACCTCAGGATCCCGTCGCTGCCGTTGAGCGGCGAATCCCTATTTGCCACCCAGACAACGGGCTTCTCGTTGCCTCTGTTAAAACGTATGCAGAGGTACCTCTTCGCGGGGACGCCCAGGTTGAAGAACCCCAGCTGGAAACTCCCACCAGAGGAGAAGAGGGATAGCCCAGCCCTCAAGGAGCTCTTCTGGTCTATGCCGTCTGCAGAGAAGGAGGGCGAGGAGGAGGCGCCGATCACCAACAGGAACCCAAAAAACAGGATCGCAGGCGTCGCCGTGTGTTTCCCCATGGAAGAGAAGATGAATGATTTGATTCTCCGGGAGCAGAAAGAAAATCCCGATATCAAACCTCCCTCACTAATCAAACCTAATGACTTCAGGCCGACCATGCCGACGACCTAACTCCGGCGGCCAAATTAAATACCAAGTTGCTGATTTGTTAATAGTCAGCATTCATTAAATGGGAACGAACTCGGCGGGCAAACGAGGTTCAGGAGACTTTTCGTTGGTAATTCAGGGAACCACCTAAGTGGACTTTCTGTCAGCCGTTCCACCGGGGGTCGCCGTATGAAAGGAAAATTTCATTTAAGGCAGGTTAAGAAGCGAGGAGTGGCAATGACAGCACCAATGCCCTTAAATGAGATGATTTTCCTAAAACTAAAGGACCTAACGTTTCTAACAATCGAGGACATATGGTGATCACATTATTCAAGTCGTGATAAAATATACTGTTAATCGGCCATAGCTCTTCAAAGAGAACTGGCGGGCCTCTGTTTACATTGAGAAATCAGTCTTAAACTCTTAGGAGCTGGGGTTGATCCTCTGGGGCAAGTACTAATCAAAGGATTGATTCATGTTCTCCACTTCAGGTGACATGAAATTCAACCTAAGGCGATCAAGAAAACAAAATTCGAACTCAACTCAAAGAGAAATTAATTGTCGCTAGCAAAGGACGAAGGTAAAATGTAACAAACAGACATTCAAATTAAAACGAAACTATCCTCGTCTGTCACTCAAGGATGGAATAAATTCTCTTGCTGCTGTAAAAGAAGGTAATTAACGAAAAAGAAGCTACTCTCTAGCTATGTGTCTGTCACGCATACCGCTAAGATGGCAAGACCTCGAAAATAATGCGCGAATTTAACAAAATAATTTCAGTTTACGGGACCCCCTATTCCTTCGCTCCTCACTCCGTTTGTCACTCAGGAGGGGACCACGGTCTCCGGGGGAGGGAAATCAGGTCGCCGTCACCGCTGCCTAGACACCGCTTCCGTCTGTCACACGAAGGGATGCTCGCAGTCTGCGACGTGACGTCCCCATCGTCTGGATAGTGCCACTGCCGTCACGCCGCCGTAGCCACCACCGTCTCCTCCCGTCACGCGGAGGGAGGCCAGCCACCGCTTTCCCGCCACCGCCTCATCCTCTCCATTTGGTTCATCAACTCTCCATTTATGTACTATGACCAATCTTCATACAGGAAGCAGTAAACGTCCTCACCACTGAACGATAAAATAGAGTAATAAACATTGGAGAGAGAGACAGAGAGAAGCAAAGCGCATTTAGATCTACATCTAAATCTAGGAAGAAAAATTACACCTGTGACGAAGGGAACACCAATCTTGTCGCTCCAACCGTTACAGAGATTGGAGTTGGAAGATACATTGAATACATTGATTACATTGAACTCTTAGGCTCTAAAGAAAATTTCAGTGTGCCTTGGATCTGAATGTGTTCAACAAGATATCCGCATGTCAAAGGACAGAAGGGATTTACTACAAACTAGAAGTCACAAATGAAGGAACAGATGAAAGATTCAAAAATTGATTTTTAGTACATAAATTGGAACTTTTTTTAATACCTAAGAATGAATCTATTTTCAGACATGTTTTATTGATATCTAGAGGTTACTGATGGTCCTAAGAATCTGAGGAAAGCATGTTCTAATGGTGAGCTGATTAAAAAACATCCCGAGACCTTTGTGATCCAAGTGTAAACTAAAAGTGACAGCATTTTGAGAAGCCAAGGATTTAAACAGATGGAGTATTCATGACTTGCTTGGTTTACTAAAGTCTTATGTGAAATACCTAGGGACGGCTAATCTAGTCAGGAAGGGAGGTGAGCATTCTTAATCATGACAATGATTCTGTTGAATTTTGCATGCAGCACCGTACTAATAAGGGAGGCTGAAAGGATTTCAAAGGCAAGAGATTATCGCATACAATTTATACCGTTTAATCAGCTGACCTACTCTGCTTTCAAAGTACTATGTATGATGTCACTTATTTGGGTTCCACTGAATAGAGGCTTCAACTGTCTCCATTAGATTTAATAGGTCAAATCAACTCTTCTAGATTCATGACTCTAGTGGGGCAACTAGGATGGGACCACTCATCTCTTCTAGAATGGGACAAGAATAATAGTTACTAATATCTCCAGATTATAGCTTTAGATTGGCCTTTAGAGCAAACACAATATAAACACAAATATACAATGAGTTACCATTATTGGTATTCAACTCAAGAGGTTTGACTCCTCACCTGGAACATGGATGTAGAAGTTTAATTTTCTAATTTTTATCATTCTCTTCTACTCTAACCTTAGTGTTGGCTGAAATTCCCCTTCTATATGAAACGTATTGGGAAATCTAATGATCACTTCAAACAGTTGGATAATGGTGTATTTTTTGTCACGTCCATGCCTTAAATTTGAGGCTATATCAATATTTTTTAATATTTTTAAAAATAATTACAAACCAATTTCGAAATTAGTGACACTCAAAACAGATAAAAATTTACTTCTTTGACCATTAGAAAAGTTATATTCTACTTGTCCTTACATCTCTTCTAACCGTGTGCCAAAAATAGTTTATGCATGTCCTAATGATATGATGGCATACCTCTCTCATACGTTCTCCTCTTAAGCTCCAAGCCATTTTCCTCCTATATTCCATGAATCTACCTCCATTTAAAGGGAAAGGGTTAATTTTCAGTTCAAAGAATGTAAGAGCAAAAGCTGCTCCAAATATGTGCCCTTAACATGACTTGGGGACCAAATATTTTATGACTGAACGGAATATATGAAGTCAGATGTATTATTCGTAACCTCGGACATCTTTTTGTTGAGATGATATCTTCTTTGAAACAAATACCTTTCCAATGGATTATAAGTCTTAAAAGATTAAGAATAAGTGGATTTATATTGCAGTTTCCGTCATGGAATTAACGTCCTATATTTCCATTACGTTTCTTTGATCTCTTTCATGATTTTAAGCCGTCCCTCTTGATATCTAAAGAGATTTTTCATGGGCATCATAAAATCACGCAAAATAAATTTTAGTAAAATTAAAATGGTGGTTCATAAACCATGCCTTATTAAGTTGTTGTAAAATCATAGATAAGTATTGTGCTTGGTGGCAGCGTGAGGTTAATTGGAGGTAAAAATTATAGCATGTTATTAAGCTTGCATTAGTCATCAATAAGATTGTTTAGTGCCTCATTATCCTTGTCAGTGCATTATGTACAAAACTTTTTTGCATCCATTCTCGTTGGAACATCTAAAGAATACTCAATAGTGAAATTCTTCACGATTCATGCAGCACAACCTTCAAAACTGCAATGGGCTGGTCTAATTTCAATGAACATCAGAAGAAAATTATAAGATAAATAATTTATTTTACTTGGTAAAATAAAAAATTAAAGATAAATTATGTTTCACTATTTCAATGAACACTCCTCTCTCTTGTTCTTCTCTCTCTTTCCAAATCTATCAAACTATGTATTAACTAATTATCATGATTTATTAAACTAATCATAAAAAAATGTCCATGTGGATATCTTAGTCAACCAACAGGTCTTAATTATGAAATTCATAATAGTATTTCAAAATATTTAGGAATTTCCTGTTACATGTTGTCGTAGGACACTATAGACCACACATGAGGAGTAGTTTGACAAAGAGATCACCAGAAAGCACAAAGTATCAACAACTTGTAGGGCTATGTTGACACTTCAACAACTAGACAAAGTCAACGCCTAATAGAAATTTTAAGATTTAAGCACAAAACAAAACCCACATTATACAAGAGTTCACAATTGACAAAGATGGGAATCTTCATTGAAAAATAGCAACTTCTTGACACCTGGGTTCTAAACATCAACACCAAAAAACTATATAGCAAAAAAATAAGTTGAAGTTTTACCATCATTTATGAAAATGCAATGTTCAACACTTGATGAAAGAAAGGTCAATGAGTATCTGTAGTTGGTAGAAGAACATGTCAACTCCTATTTTTTTGTGGTTGGCACCTGCTTATTTGTAGAAATTATATTTTTCAAAGTATAATGCTAAAGCACTGTGAATTGTGATATTCTACACATTAGAGCCATATGTGACACTTGGATCTACACAGATGATTTTTATGTTATGCACATCACATATTTTTTATATAAGGTTGTGATTAAAAAAGGCTTCAAAATTTGACACATTCCTTGAAAAATTCAGCCTATTGTATAGACTTTATGGGTGTTGTTTCCCTAATACGCTTGAATGTATACCAGCAAAGGGGGTTTGAATTGGTTTCCTAGTGTGTTTTAGAAGCTTTTGCCAAATCTGAATAGTTTCTATAAATTCTAAGTTTAGCAGGTGGATGATTAGTTTCTTGTGTCAACATAGTAGGTCGACAAATTGACTGACTTGACTGGGTCAACACACCAAGTTTTAGTTTATGCCGTACACAGATTTTTAGTGGTTAAGCCTTTCCTTAGGCTTTATCTGCTTCTAATAACTTGTAGTGAAACATTCTCGAGTAGTTTTCGAGATGTGTAAGATGAGATGAAGGGTCACTTAGGCATTGTTTGAAAGGTCTTCCAAAGGGATATTTATGGAGCCAAAATTACAATTGTTTAAGATCAAATCTTTGAGATATGATCAGGAAAAGATTTTTATACTAATATTAATTTCACTAGCTTTTATTCTCAAGTAGTGTGTGTTAGTCAAATATGTGATTGTATAAAATATCTTTGATCTTCTAAGAATATTTGATTATATGATATATATTGATTTTTCTAATGTGCTAGGATACACCACCCTTGCTATAGATATTTTTTCATGTGTGAAAGTCTATAACATGTCATGCACATTATATATGATTTAATTAACCCAGATGTCGACACACACTTCCATTGGTCAAATGCTTCTCTTTCTTTAAGTGGGTAGACAATTTTTAGCGGGCTGACACAATAAGTAGACACACTTCGGAGCCCTAGTCTCTATTCTTTGGGTTTTCTCCTAAAGAAGTATACACATTTAATTTCATCTAGATATGATTTTTTATGTCTATTTTTTTCATTTGAGGTCTAAACAACATTGATAAAACAATTAAAACTAGATCCAAGGATTTAGTTCTTGATTTTTAGACTAGCGTATTCAAACATATTTTCTAGTAATGTTTTAGTTTTATCTTTATATGAGTAGTTATTTAACATCAAAATCATTAAACCCAACAGTGCATGCCTGAAGAAAGGCAATCTAATTTAGGTTTTGGAGAAATATAATAAAAAAGCCCAAGGAGAGGCTTGAGAAAACGAATAATTCTTGGGTTAACTCTTTCCTATTATGTGCATGTTTTTCTCATTAAACTTGATTCTCATGCAGTAACGTTTATAGATATCCTATGTATCTTCAAGTATGGTTAGAATGATTCATCCCCCAATTTGGTCTTATGTACATAGGAAGGGCCTTTATTTTCCATCAAGGTTCTAATCAGGACAACTATTATGATGAGAGTCAATTGGACTAAGATTTCCCAACATCCAGTCCATGAGGAGTAGATATCCTTAACATAGCCACTAGATCTAAAATCTTCCTCGTCTTGCATTCCTGAGCCTCCCCTCTCCTTTATAGATCAGGCGTCTCCTGACTCCCAACCCACACTCCAATTCTGTGTCAATTCAGCCCGTAGAAAGAATCTGACTTGTTGAACCTAAACCAAATACAGCTATCTTGACTTGACATATTAAACAACTATTAAACAACTATTAAAAAACTATTTGGCTGCCTAGAGTCATGTCTACAAAAGAGATTATGGGTGAAACTTTAAGAGTTGAGCTTGGTAATCAATTATTGTAATCATGACATTCAATCTGAATGGAACATAAGAACATGAATTATTGTTTGAGAGTGAACATAGGTAAGAGGCCAAACCACTCTAAAACCTCGATAGTATTATAGTTTTAGATTGTACAAAATCAAAATGCTAAGATTTAAAGACAAAGTTAATGAGAATAGCCAGAAGTTAATAAAGAGAAACAGATTAACGTTGATCAATTTAACCCCCCTTTATTTTGTCCACTCATAACCATGAATCTAGAAGAAGATTCATAGATGGAATCTTGAGTTGATTTGATCAATTTTAATGGAATGAAGATAGCTGAAGTCCCAATTCAAAATTATATTTCACTAAGGTTTATTATAACCCTAGGAAACAATGATATACATAGTTTTTGGAAAGTAGTGTAGATTAGATGATTAAACCACTATGATTGTGTGTGAAATATTATATCTCACCTTTTAAATGCAATCATCCAAAAATTAATTAGTGAAAAGCTAATTCACCCCCAGTCATTGTACTATGCTCCCATATAGAATCCCACAATCACATTGTCATGATTAAGGCTTCTCACCCCCTTTTAGTGTACACTAGTCATTCTATATTTCACATATACTTTTAGTAAACCAAGCAATTAATGAACAGTCAATTTTTTCAAATCCTTGGCTTCCTCAATTATAGTCACTTTTGGTTTACTCTCGAGTCACAATGGTCTTAATGAGTTCAAATTAGAGCATGCTTTCTTAAGATTTATAATATTGTCATTAATATCTAGAAATAAAGTAAAGATGTTTGGAAGTAGATTCATTCTCAAGGTTTTGAAAGTAGTTTAAATTTATGCACTAAAAAGTCAATCTTTGAATCTTTCACATATTCATTCATATATATCCCTTCTAATTTGTTGTAATTCTCTTCAGCACTTTCACATGCAGACATCATTGAACTTTAAATTGCAGACATATTAAAAATTATTTAGTGCCTAAGCATTCAAGGTAATCAAGTCATCTTCCAACTCTAATCTCAATCCAGCCAGCATGGGTCTTGTCGCATGGATGTGATGGAGTTTGGGAGTGAAGAGATTGGTGCACCCTTTGTGATGGGGGTAATTATGCTTCCTAGATTTAGATGCAGATCTAAGTACGTTTTGCTTCTCTCTCTCTCTCTCTCTCGCTGTATATATATATTAATGTAGATACTCTAGCTTGTCATTTAGTGGGTTAGGCATTTAGCGATTACTGTGAGAAAATTGATCATAGTGGAGCCTGCCTCCTTCAATTGACCATGACAAAGTTGATGAGCCAACTTAATGGAGAGGATGAAAGGGGAGAGGGCCCTTCGGCCCTTTGTCTCTCGGCTCTATATTTTTGCATTGTTAAGTGAGGGGACAGACGTAGAGCAAGGGTGGTGATGTGCTTATCAGAGAATGGGGGAGGAGGCCCGCCAGTCCTCTCTATGGAATGATAAGTCTTCATTATCATGAGTTAATAATTAGTAAATAATATAGTTTTAGCCTTAACTCATGATAAATAGACTTATATTTATGTTAAAGTGTGAAAAGTGGTTTTCAATTGATGAATGTGAATTTTTAGGTAATTATGTGATTTTACATGAATTTATATGATTTTTATAATCTTGCTTTTGAGATAAATGAAGAAAAAGAAATAAAAATAAGACAAAATGAGGGGGGGACCTGCCAGCCAGCCGGGCCCGCAAGTAGGTCAGAAGCTCAGTCAGGGAGTAGCCGCGAGCAGGGGGCTCGAGCGGCTTGGACCGATAAGGGCATGTGTGTGCCACTCTCCTTCCACGTCACCGGTGGTCAGCCGGCTGTGGGGCAAAGAGTGGTCGTACACGCGAGAGAAGGGACTTTGCTTAGAAAGCTAACATTACTATATATTCGCCTGAAAAATCGGCGCACAACCGATGTGGGACTAAACCCGCGTCACACCTTCCTTAGAAAGGGCGGACAACCGGTGCGGGTTCGAATCCTCCCAGAGTCAAAATTCATATATTTTTATCTGATTATCGCGACTTTCCTATAGATCGCCGGTGAAGGATTAAGCAACGAGAATCGCTGGATCATCGGCGAAAATCTCATCAACGCGATTCGCGGAGCATTACTACTAAAATTGTTGAACGATTCGTGATAAAAGGATCGCGAATCCATCGAGTAAATCATCTCCAATTGATCGACGAATAAGCCGTCGTCGAGAAAAGGACGATCTGCCGGGAGACGAGTCGCCACCTCCTGAGAGCGTACCATATGCGATGAAGAGCCTCCTCTTGCTGCGCGGACCTGAGGATGAAGCTCCCTGACACGCGCCCCACCTCCATCCAGCTCCTCTCCGTCGGGTGACAGCCGCCGGAGAGCCGCAAAGTCGCCGTTTTTCCGCTCTGCCGGGTGACAGCCGCCGAAGACGACTCGACGACCCATTTCATTAATCTCTAGACTTCGCGAGAAGATCTAGAGATTGCCCACGTCGTCTTTGTCCAAGGAGAGCCTTCGAGGCCGTGGACACTGCACGACGATCCTCCCAAATGCTCAGGATTCCGGTGCATCGCCGACGCATCGCCGTCGCGACGTCAGAACTCTGTTTTCCTGCTTTCAACTTAATTTATGCTTCATTTAGTGATAATTTTTGTGATTTTAATTTACCAAAATATACTTTGTTCTATTACGATTCTTCCGGCTTTTACAGATCTTAATTTGATTAATTAAATCATCTATAATCGCTTACGTAAGAATCGCCAGGCGGAACTCTGTTTCTACCCGATTCGCGTTCGCCGGGCGCTGACGTCATCCCGACGTCCGTACTGTTATTTCCCTTTTTTCGTGAATTTTAAATATATTTCCTTTTCATTTCCAAGTATAAAATTCATAGAAACTTGTATTCATTGAGAAAAGTTCTGAATAATTACTAGATATTATATTACATCCTTGTGATCGACCTGGAAAATTACTACTATTTTTGGAAATTTTATTGAATTATAATTGATATATTTATTCAGAAATACTTCTAAATATCCAAAAATTTGTATTTTCTAGTTTTATAAATTTTAGATTTGCGTGATTTAATATACAACGACTAAGTCACGTCATGGAGCTAAGGCTAATTAAACTTATTTTCTATCACCACTCGAAAAAAGTGGCCACCAAATGACCTCAATACGATGATCTCAAATGTTCGCAAAATTATGTCATCTAGTGTTAGAAAAGTCATCTCATTTAATGGCACTAGTGTTGCCAGTACCACTTATCCACCTCTTAACCCGACTTACATGATATTTTAATGTCGTAATCGACTAACGGAGACTCCGGCGGCAAACACGCCGTGGAACGTTATGCAGAAAGTCAAATGAGGCGGTTCCCAGAATCTCCGGGGAAAAGTCTCTTGGACCTCGTGTGCCCGCCGAGTTCATTCCCTATTATTAATAAATGCCGACAATTAGAAACCAACAAGTTTCTATTCAATTTGGTCAACGGAGTTCAATCAACGACATGGTCGGTCTGAAGTCATCAGATTTGGTTAGTGAGCTCCCGGAGAATCTGTTTTCTCTTCCATGGGGGTACACACGGGGAGACCTGCGATCCTGTTTTTTGGGTTCCTGTCGGTGATCGGCGCCTCCTTCTCGCCCTCCTTCGCTGCAGACAACCTAGATCAAACGAGCTCGCTGAGGGATGGGCTATCCCTCTTGTCCGCTGGTGGGAGCTTCTAGCTCGCGTTCTTCAACCTGGGCGTCCCCGCGAAGAGGTACCTCTGCATACGTTTTAACAGAGGCAACGAGAAGCCCGTTGTCTGGGCGGCAAATCGAGAGTCGCCGCTCAACGGCAGCGACGGGATTCTGAGGTTTGGGGAAGATGGAAACCTTGTGCTTCTCGACAAGGCCGGCAACATCGTCTGGTCAAGAATTCTGAATTCGAGCACCGGTGGCAACCGCGTGGCTCGGCTTCTGGAGACCGGGAACCTCGTAATCAGTGACGCCGGCGGAGTTCTTTGGGAAAGCTTTGATGAACCGGACAATACGCTGCTCCCTGGCATGAAGCTTTCGCTCAACACGAAGACCGGAGCCAGAAAGCACCTTACTTCGTGGAAAGCCATGGATGACCCGTCCCCAGGGAAGTACACCTCCAGGCTAGTGGTCAAACATCTACCGACCACTGTTCTGCAGGAAGGGACGACGTTGATCTTTTCCCCAGGGTTTTGGAACGGGGTCGGATTCACGGGTTCGCCGTCTCATAATGCCAACAACTTCTTCAACTCTAGCGTCGTCTCCTCCGGCGACGAGGTGTCTTACTCCGACAGCCTGATAGCCGGAACCGGTTCATTACGGCTTGTAGTGACCCCCTCTGGCTCGATCAAGCGCTATGTGTGGAAGGATAAAGCCGATAGCTGGACCTTGTTGTGGACTGCGCCGGCAATCTCCGAGTCTTACGGCCTATGCGGGCCGTACGGTACGTGCGCGGAGAGCGACTACCCCAACTGCCGGTGCCTTAGTGATTTCTCCCCCAAGTCTCCGGAGGAGTGGCAGCAGGGAAACTGGACAGGAGGGTGCGTCCGCAACACCGGCTTGAGCTGCAGCGGCGGCGACGGTTTCCGGGCTGTGGAGCCGGTGAAACTCCCGGCGCTGCTAAATGCCACGGTGACGGAGGACATGAGCCTGGAGGACTGCCAGGCCCGGTGTGCCAACAGTTGCACTTGCACCGCCTACGGCAGCGGCGACATCCGCCGAGGAGGAAAGGTTTGCGTATCCTGGGACGGTGACCTGGTAGATATCATGAACTTCACCTCAAGCGGGCAGGTGCTCTTCCTGCGCGTCGCCGATGCCAACGGAGGTACCATCTTTTCTTAATCTCCTCGTCCGAGTTAGATCAGATGTCTAATGTATTCCGCATGACTGACCGCTTCAAGATGCCACAAAAATCCCTTGAGTTGATGATTCTCAATTTCGGCATGAGAACCGCCAGATCTACCGAAATGATATTAAAATCATGAACATAGAGTATGCTATCAGGTGCCGATAAGTACGCCATCGACCAGAAAGCTAGCTGTAAATGCGCAACCAATAGAAGAGGCCCAGTTAAAATCCTGTACTTTGTAGGTCTGTCACGAACAATTGCACAATATATTATACAACAATAGGGCTCCCAGAATCGATCCTGAGCCTGCTGACTTCAGTAGACAGATTGGGTTTCTTCTTCTAGAGTCCTGACTAGCTAGTAGCGTAACGGCTAAGAAAACTTGTAACAATTAGGGATATTTAACTCCACTTATAAGAATTCCCTTGGATGAATATGTGCAGCTCCGACGGCAAGCTATTTCAAAAGCAAAAAGAGCAAGAGAAATGCTATCATTTTTGCCACTGTCGGATCCGGCACTGGAGTGTTTTTTCTTCTGCTGTGTGGAATCTGGATGAAGAATGAGATAACGGGCAACACGTTGAATGGTAATATCATACGCTTTCTTAATCTTGTCACTCACTTAAATGTCCAGACAAAAGCTTCAAATCCGAGTCGCCATTGACTCTCTCTCTCTCTCTCTCTCCACATATATATATATATATATATATATATATATCTCTTGGTTCCTAGGTAAAACGGAGAACCCTCGTGAAATTGCTGATGGAGATGACTCGGATCTACCCTTCTTCGACTTTCGGACTGTAGCATCAGGCACCAAAAAAATTTCTGATGACAATAAGATCGGAGAGGGAGGATTTGGCACAGTTTACAAGGTAAAACGTTCGCGTGATTGGCTCATACAGCACATTTTTTTTCTTTACGATTCCTATTTCAATTGCATTTTGATAAAAAATACGTGTGTTCAATGAGAGAAACTCTAACTTGGAGAGTATGCAATGGCAGGGTACTTTGAAAGATGGCCGAGATATAGCAGTTAAGCGGCTCTCATGGGCCTCCGCCCAGGGGGTTAGAGAGTTCATGAACGAGGTAAAGCTAATGGTGAATCTTCAGCACAAGAACCTTGTTCGGATGTTGGGTTGCTGTGTTCGAGATAATGAGAAAATGTTGATTTACGAGTACATGCCAAATAAAAGCCTGAAAACTTTTATTCGGTAAGTCAACTGATTACAATGGGAATTACTGTTCGTAGACTCGAGATACTCAGCTTCTTCACTGTTCTTCGTCAATCTATCTCTCTCTCTCCCGCGGTGGACGGTACATTAGATGAAATAAAGCGTGGAGAATTGGGATGGAGGATGTGTTTGGACAACATCGTGGGAATTGCTCGAGAACTTTCAGGGTTATCCATAGGGACCTCAAAGCCGGCAACGTTCTATTAGATGATGCAATGAACCCAAAGATCTCCGACTTTGGCACGGCGAGAATTTTCGGAGCAGACCGACCGAGAATACGAGAAGAATTGTTGGTACATAGTAAGTCTTCTGTTTCTTTATTAATTAGGTATCATTTATGACTAGGATGAGCGATATATCCACTGAAAATGGTCATCTTGATTGGGCAATGTGGAACAGTGGATATATGTCTCTAGAATACGCAATAAACGGCATTATCTCAGCGAAGTCAGATGTATTCAGCTTCGGGGTTCTCATCTTAGAGATCCTGAGTGGCACTAAAAGCCGAGGAATCAACGGCCAGACAGAACCCCAAGTAAACCTTGTCTCTCAGGTAAGTACAGAGAGAGAGAGAGAAAGAGAGAGAGAGAGAGAGAGAGCACTATTTCTACTTTTTATAAGATGCTAACCGATGTGCTAAAGGGATCTATTTTATCGTCTATTGCAGGTGTGGAAACTATGGCAGGAGGGCCGCTACTTGGAGCTACTTGATCCGATGGTGACGACTTCATGTCCAGGGACAGAACTGCTGAGATGCATCCAAATTGGTCTACTGTGCGTGCAAGAGAGACCGAGCGATCGGCCAACCATGAACGCAGTGGTGACGATGCTGAGCGGCGAGAGTTTTCCGTTGCCAGAACCAAAGAGACCCGGCTTCTTACTTCTTCAATGTCCCGCACAAAGTTCGTTCAGCACAAATGAACCTTTCACCTTCAATGAAATAACCATGACTGTCATTGACGGTCGTTGACAAGCTAGCCGCTAACGAGTTGCCCGTTTCTAGGTGAGTACTGGATGGGCTGTTTTCTCATCTTGATACTGCTCAGAATACGAATCTATCCCCACATCGGGAAAATCGTTCGTTCAGTGGGGTACCCAACTTCAATTTTGTCCACAGCTGTCAATTTTTCTGAACATAGATTTGTTAATGTCCTTTATGTCAACAATCTCGTACAGAATCCACCGATTTTTTTTACTTTAAAATCAGATTTTTACTTGAAATTTAATTATTAATGTTCACATTTCTATGATATATGTCATATTACAATGAAGTGTTGTTCTCTTTTAATTGGTAAATAAAATATGTTATCATGTTGGAAAATACGTTTTGGGGTACTGATAAGTCACGTCAAGTACCCTTTTACCAATTCTACCAAAGAAAAAAAGCACCAAATACTCTATGTGGATTTTTTTATCATCTTCACAATTAAATATCATATATGTGTTTACTACAAGTTTTAGCATAATTTTGGAGAACTAATCCATCCCAATTATTATTAACAAGCCTATGATGATGACTTATAACTTCACATTTTATATTCTAAAGAAATTTTAAATTTAAGAGTAATTTTCTGAGGTTAGCCATGACATGGAACCAACCTAGAGGTGAGCCATATGTAAAATATAGGATAATTAGAACAATGAAAAATATATATATATATATTGCCCCTCTGTCTTCTTGGTCCAAATGTGGCATAAAATCCAAATTTCAGGGGTAAGAACGTAAAAAAATAGGTTTAACATTTCAAAAGAAACATTAATGACTACCCATAGCTTGTAAAAGGCATCCACTCTTAATTTCAACGGTTAGCACATGCAATTTATTTCGTAATTATCTTTTTTGAAGTAAAACATTAAAATGTTACGATGTGTCATTTACTAGCCATTCAAGCCACATTTGACATTTGGATCCAACATATTCTTGGTTTTCATTAGTCTTTTGACATTTGGATCCAACATATTGTTGGCTTAATTAGTCTTGATTGTCCTTAAAAGTATTTATCCTGAAAAATATATGTAAGAAAAATAAAGCGATCAAGTTATGAACAGAATTCCAAAATATTTTTTTAACTACGTAAATATTTGAGCATATGGTTGAATTATAGTATAACATATATTATTGCTGTCATGTATTCATATATTAGTTCATTATTTGTGCCTGACATCCATGATTCAAGTTCCAAATTAAAAATTAAAAATCACTCGACATCCTTACATTCCAGGCTGTTATACTTGCAGAAGATTATTGAAATGCAATTCACTCAACGTCCTGATTTGGTCATCAAAAACACTCGAATTGTGAAACCCAAACTAGATTAATCAAATAAATGTTAAAACATATACTACATGCGCAAGATTTGAAAAGATACTTAAAATTGATTCCACAGATGAATGTATAGACTACATCAAAACTATATTGATGATAATTTAAATAAGGATTGAATAAATATTTTGAATCATTATATGTCACCAAAGTATTGGTGTTGAATGCTAATGAGAAACTTTTGTGAGTATACCTCACATCCATTTTATTTGAGGTGATTTCTATTAAAATTGAAGTTTAAATTCGGGGCATTTCCCTCACATGCTGAAGCAAGAAAGCCCTGTCTTTTATGATATGAAATTTCTAAAGTGATTACTTGAATTCTAAGCAGGTAATATATTGATGATAAGAAATGCACTTAAGTTCAATAGTTGAATCAAATTATGAGTGCTGCTCGTTAAATATAAATTTAAATTAAACATTCTTTAAGATATGGATATTATTTTAATTTAATATAAATTTATAAATAATTTAAAATGTCAAATATACACAAAGGAATTCTAGGAATTCGTTTGAGTCCAATCAAAATGAATTTGTTAATTTTGGAGGATTTTACCACTCAAAATCATCACTTTCAATATGCATATATTTGCAAAAAAATATCATTGTTAGAGAGTAGTATTAATGCATAAGAATCAATGAGAACTCTTGGAGTAAAATGTGTACGAAAGCTTCATTTGTCTATTAATTCTCCAATACTTATTTTGATATCGACATAAATGATTGCATTTAAACTACTCAAATTGTCTCTAATCATTATACAAATATTTCCAAATATTATTTGAAAATATATTTTGCATTATTATAAGTAACCAAAGTTATGCTTATGCATATTGAGATCATGGTTTCATAAGTCTAAGACATTTTGTGATTTATTTCAAATGATTAAGACACGTTTTGATTAAGAAACTATTACTTTATTTTGAGAATTATTATCAATTCTATTTCAAAGATAATGTGTTATTATTATACTTGATTGAATAGATAAACTTTGGATATATACCTTAGTGACTAATGATAATAAAATTAGTTACTTTTAGAGGATGTATAAACCCTTAAAGATCGACTCATATTGATTTTCACCCATTCAAATTTCTAATTAATTGTGTTTTAAACATTGAGAAACATCAAAAAATAGGAGAAGTTTTCGAATCTCCATTCTATATGAAAAGTATCCCTCTAACAGCTAATGAATTCAAAATGATCACCTCTGACCCTTCTACCTCTTGAGAGTCATGTTGACATTTTCTACTAAAAAATTGATGCAATCGGGTTGTCTTCCTACTCATGTCAAATAAGAAGAAGACAACTCATTGACAAATGCATTTTAAATTATACATGACCTTTCTCAACCAAATTGAAGCCACAATGCCTTAAATTATACATGACCTTTCCAATATAAAGAAGATATGAAATCTAGTTCTAGTTCTTCTTCCGTTTAATTGAATGTTGAACAAACTTTAATTCAATGTCAACTTTTGAAAATAGCACACAGTGGAATATTTCATTGTTTTATATGAGTAAAATTGTAATTAAATTATAATCTAATCACACAAGAGAGCTGATCCTTGTAGTCACTTGTGAGCCTCCTTGAGCTATTAGTCTAGAAGATAATTCGAGGAAATTATTGATAAGCCAAGCCTAGTAATCAATAATTGTATTTGCTGAACATTTGACTTAGTAGGATGTGAGGAAACAAGGTGTTCTTGGAAAGTGGGCATATGCAAGGAGCCTAACAACAATAAAAATCTAGGAGTGCCTTAAACTTAGATCAAAGAAATTCTTAGGATTTAAAGTCAGAAGTAGGAGAATAAACCTTTTGGAAATGTTTGACCCAAGTAAAAATTAGAATCCTATCAATTCAACCCACTTCTTGATAAGAGTGCAGCCTCAAATCCAACCATCCAAGTTGTACTAATAAATAGGTTTCAAGACTAATCCATGCTTATCAATATGAGAAAATCTATCACTTTCAATAATATATATTAAAGGATTAATAGTATGCTATTAAATTTAAAAGTGCAATATGATTAAATCCGTAAATGATGTGACCTTTGGAGATAATAAATAAGAGAAAAACTTTAGGTAGGGAAATATTGATCTTAATAAGTATGTTTTAATTGAAAATGTGGTGCTAGGAAAAGGCCTAGCACAATGTGGTATTAGTCAATTGTGTGATCATGGAATGAAAGCAGAATTCAAAAGCAATGGTTACTGTATTTTGAATGATCAAAATGCAAGGTATATATTCACCCGAGTAAAAAAGAAACAATTAATGTTCTTCACTTCTCTAAATAAAAAGTTTAAATGTATGTTTAATGTTCTTGTGATTCTTAAAAATGCCTTCAAATTTGGCATAGACATTTAGGACATGTGAATATCCAAAAAATTTAAAGATTACATAAATTAGTATTACTCAAAGGAATACTAGAATTGAAAATCATAGTGGAATTTGAGTGGGTCACATGAATTAGAAGAAAATAAGTTACCAAAAAACACATTAAAGGATACGGCTGCTCTACCATTAGAATTATAACACATGGATTTATTTGGATCATCCTAGGAAGCTAACCACACTAGAAAAATATATGGATTTCTACTTGCGGATTAAATTATCAAGATATTGGAGAAATGTATCAAAAAAATTAAAATTAAGAAATATTTGAGAATTAAAATAATTACAAATCAATGGATATTTCAAATTTTGAAACGTATAGAATTCTTTGATAAGCGAGGATTTCTTTTGCATCTCAAAGTGCCAAAAAAATGTTTTTGTCGAAAGAAAGAATGGGACTTAAAATGTTGTACAACATCTTAACAAAATGTTGTTGTAAAAAAAAAAAAGTGAAGCTATATATATAGCTTGTTACATTATGAATAGAGTCATAGTTTTCTTCCCTCCTATGAATTACTCAACGGAAATAAACTATGTTACTTAATTACAATTTTTTGGATCTAAGTGTTTCATTCTTATAAATTTTTATGAGGAAATATGAATTTCTATGAACAAGTGATAAAACAATTTCCTGAATAAATTTTTAAAATTACAAAACAAGTAGCTTACACAAAAATAGATAGTTTTGGAAAAGACAATAAATGTTAAGGTGGTTTAAGAAATTGAAAATTACAAGATTTGGATGATGAAGAATCATTGGAAACTAAATGACAAAAAATTTCAATCAATGGTAATGTGAATCTCCATTAATTAGAAGATAATGAGGAGATAAAACGCTTTTAAAATAATGAAAATACTCTTAAGAAAGCTCATTTTTTTACAATTCACCAAAAGGAGCTCAAGCCATATCAAAATTGCAAAGAAAATATGAGTCTTATTATCAAAAATCTATTCAACAAATGTTGAAGTCAAAGAAGAAAATTAGATTTCAGCTATGATTGAGGAATTAAATAATTTTGATAAGAATAAAGTTTGGATATTAGTTCTTAAAAGTTTAAAATGTCTCAAATAAAAATAAGGTAAGATTTGTTGCATATGCTTATGCATGAATTCAAGGAAAAATTGTGATGAAATCTTTGCATCATTAGACATTATATCATATAAGTTGGATGTAAAGTGTGATTTCCAAAATGGTGAAGGTACAAAGATATCTTTGTGAATGAATTTTCTAGTTGTATAAATTTTGGATTCTCGTATTACATTTGAAACTATCTAAAATTATGTATGAACTCAAAAAAACCCCTAAAGTTTGGTATGAGAGCCTAACCTCTTTTATATTAAGAATTGTATTTAATAGAGGACGTAATAATAATATTCTATTCACCTAAAAAGGAGAACATATAATATTTGTTCAAGCCTATGTAGATGACATTGTATTTGGATCCACTAATGAAAAGATTCATTTACTCCAGTGTTATTGAATACTATAAAAGAAAAATTGAAATTTAATATTGTTGGATAACTTAGTTATTTTCTAAGAGTACATAGCAAAAAATTCCAAGATGTGATTTCACCTCTTAATTAAAATATACTAGGAGACTTTTAAAAAATATGAATTTATGAGAGGAAAGAAAAGAAAAGAAAATACTCATGGATATTAAGATGAAATTGATCTGCAACTAAATTCAAAAATAGTAGATCAAAAAATCTATCAGATCTCTACTACATTTAGTTGCAAGCAGACTTGACATTATGTTTGCATCTATTTATGTGCCATATTTTAAAGTGATTCCAAAGAATCACATTTGAATATAGTTAATCACTTTCTAAATATATAACTCATACTACTCGAGAATGAAAGTAGTTTCTTAAGTAATAAGAACTCAAATTTTATGTGCAATGATTCTGATCTTGTTAAAAATTAAATTCACATAAATTCACATAAAATTAAAAATTAAATTTACAGTAGTAGTTCATGCTTAATGTTAGAGGGATGATTGATTTCTTAGGCTTATACCAAACAAGTAAACCTTCCCTCTCCTTGATAGATCTATAAAGTCTCCCAAATCTTAACCCACACTCCAACTATTTGTCAATTTAAGCCAGCAGAAAGGATCTGAGTTGTTGAATGTAAACCTAAATACTACCTTTGACATTGTGCCGCTCAATGCCCCCGTACTATGCTTGGCAAATCCCAATTCAATCTCACTCACCCTATTAAAATTTGTTCTGAGTCAATTTCCCCATCCTTTAGTCACTCCCATGTTTCATTTATCTACATTTCAAAGGTATACGAGCAAAATAGATAGCCCATGGAACATGCAAGGCATCTCTCTGTCCTTTCCTTTTGATTGGCATCCATCTAATGCAGTAATCTTTTTCATAGGAGAACTGAAACATTGTAAGTGACTGGCCATTGTAAGTACCTTCACAACTAAGCAATAAAGAATAGACGAATGGTCTAAGGAGATCGAATTATTAAGTCTTTATCTTTACTTGGTGAGGATGGAAATCTTTTTTCCATGATTTTAACGATTTTAGGACTTAGGATTCTAAATTCAAAAGTTAAAATATTCTAGAAAATTGGCTCCTTAAAATGCATAATTAAGAGAGAAATTGTTTAATACGCATGCAAATCTGGTTTTTTTAATCAAGTTCATTTTTAATAAATAAGTTGGTAGTAAACACCATTGCTTTGGTGAAGCATTAGATTCGACAAGGATGATGATCGACAAAACTTCACCAAGATAATCCCCTATGTTACTTGAAATCAACACAAAAGATCATATTCACCATTTTGTCGATCTAAATCCTACCATCAATAATATTGTGCTAAATAAAATATCTCAATCATCATTGAGCACTGTCAAGTCGACCCAGTCAACTGAAATTGGCCCTAATGACCCTTCCATGAGATAATGTCATTCTTGAGGTGATTGACGATCCACATTGGAAATCAGATAGCTGGTAGTGGACCATGGCTGATCAAGGGACTCTACCAAGGTAAGAACAGTGGGTTACAAGATTCAGGCACTATACCATACCCATATGATCTAATCATTTCATTTATAGTTCAACCTTGTCGAGGATAACTGAAAATTAATATGATAATCGCAGCAAAGGAACAACTGAAGAGGTGGCTGTTATATCTAAAAATTAACGCTAAGGCCCTGAACCGCCCTTCACTTAAGAAGTCACACAAGAAACTTTGGGCTAGCCCTCTATGAAGCCACAACAGCGAGCATATAGATTCCACAGAATGGCATGGCATGGCATGGCATGGAATCAAAGACATTATAACAAATAACATGGCGGTAAATAAATGCCAGCCCTGAAAAGTTGTCACAATTTGATGGCATTTTCTCAATGATAAAGGCGAAGAGGGTGATATAAATCAAGAATCAGATGTGATTATGGAGGGCAGATGGAAAAATAGAACCAACGAGTAAATCCTGTGCTCACTGGTTGCTTGAGGCCTTTGATGAAATAACCCATGTAGCATAGGGTGAGGGGGGGATCACCGTTCTTTGCATCATCTGCAAAGGAAAAACATGAAAATTAATTAATTAATTAATTAATTAATAATCTTCTAGGAACCCATTTCATGGAGCATTTATGCTGCAGATCATTCAGGTCATGCCATTGACCCTGGTCCTGACACCCCGCCGCTCCAAGATCACCCATTCGGGTCAAGCTTGGGGCCTATTTGTGGGCTTCACACGACCAGGCTCAGGCCTGCCAAAATATAGGACCAGACTGGCCCGGGATCAGAAGCTCCATCCCACAGTTTTTTTCACACCATAATATTTTGGGTAATTAAATCCAAAGTTCATTGAAGCGCATCTCTCTCATGTCAGCTTAATTTCTACAACGAGGTTGACTGTAATTAATTTCACAAGCCTAAATGAACTGAAGATGCAAATAAAGACACTGAAGATGTCAGGATAGATGCCAATATTGATAAATAAAAATCAAAATTCTCTCTTTGTCCTTGGCAAGCCTACTCAAGCCCAAGCATCTGTTTCAAGTCTACAGTCGCCTATATCTTTATATCTCAAGATAGAAATATAGATAGATATATAGATAGATATATAGATAGATAGATAGAGAGAGAGAGAGAGAGAGGGAAGGAAGGAGAGAGGGAGAGAGAAGGGTATAACTGAATGCAACCAAAACTTATTTGCCCTTAGAATTAACTCATCACAAAGAATATGTGGAGCAGCCTCTGAGGCAGTTGCCAGTAAATTAATTAATGATGGGAAGAACAAAAATGATCAAAAAATATTGAAATTATCTCCTAGAAAATAAACTTTATGATAGCAGCATCTTGGCATCATATATTTCCTTTCATTCCTCCTAGGAATATACAAAATTAAATTAATGCACAGAAAAAAAATGAAATAATCGAGAAAGAAGAGATGGGCAAAGTGAATGAGGTCAACTACAATCGCCTGAAGAAAAGGTGGCACAGTATCAGAGGAGGGATGGAGGAAAGCTAAGTCTGAGGAGATCAAACGAATCTCTAAGCAGAACCACCAACCTCCACTGGACAATGAGAAGCAACATTCCTTTGATACCGGCGGCTTTCCACGGATGCACTCCTTCTCCCAAGCCCATCTACGTGCTAAACATCTGCTTCATGTATTTGAGGGCCGACCGAAGCATCCCTCTAGCCTTCCTATCCGGGGTGCACCCGGACAAGATCATTTCTTCGTAGACAGCCGGAACCTGTGGCACCGAAATATTAGAAAATAAAAACTAAAGGATTTCTCCGCAGAGTCAAGTCTTCCAAACATCAGCAAGGGGGAGGAAACACTTTCTGAGAAATACTTTACATAATAAATGCCCTGAAGAGGTAAATAAAGGGAAAACAAGATCTCTCTCTCTCTCTCTCTCTCTCTCTCTCTCTGTGATTTCCCCAAAGTTAAATAAGGGACAATAGGGTTAAATAAAAATGACGAAGAGAGGTTAGTGTATAACAGATTCCACATATTATCAGCCCTACGGTTAATCAGAAATCAGATAATGATTACCACAGCATTTGAACCTGGATTGTTACCACATCAGCGTCCTCACAATACAGAAATCACTGCCCTTGAGATGTTCACTCCACAAAACGCTCAGATTCCAGGACCACTATAGCTTACGAAAATTTTGATCGTTGCACTAAAAATGTATTCGTTAGCAAACCAAGAAAACACCTACCAGCAGCTTTCTTTCTTAACAACTAAACATATCTTGAGGATTTGAAAAGAAACTGTCAAGGGTTGAACTTATTGGAATTACATTCTTCTGGAAATTTTACTGTCATCAAATCAGTCCAGCCCCTAGGGGAAGATTATCAGCATGGGAATCGATACATTTTTAATAATTCTGCATTTATTTCAATTAATCCATCAATCAATGCACCCAAACGGAGGAAATGATATGACGATAGTCAGCAATTTCACGAAGCCATGCAGATGAAGGCATCGATTTAAATTTTATAAATATTATAATTATTCATTAATGAAAACCATGGCTCCGTCTTAAGATTACCTTGTCATATTTCTCCACACGAACCAGAACTTTCATAAGAGTCGTGTAGGTCACCACATCCGGCTTTATACCCTTCAAGGGAGAATCATAATCAGATAAACAAATCAAATAGTTCATTAATCATGAATAGGGTAAATTGAATACTGGCTACAGCATGAAGAAATGCATTACAAAATAAAAAGAGGCATATGAGACGATTTCAATAAGTTGCTTACTGTCTCTTTCATATACTGTAAGACTGCGAATGCTTCTGTATCTCTCCTGTCCTCGCCGAAGGCATTAATTAGAGAGTTGAGGACCAGGAGACTGGGCTTTATACCATCAGCCCTCATGACCCTAAATGCATTCACAGCTTGCTCGGACAGACCCTGAACATGAAGTCATGAAGCTCATCGGATCAAATAAGCTGATGAAATGTGATTACATTGGGTAACAGCTCACACAAGTTCAATGAAAATATCAAGAACAGTAAGAATCAATTTCACTAAAGCTTTCATGAAATTGGTTAAATGGGTTTTTTATATTTCTTTCTTTAAAAGAGGACAGGATGACAGCTAGCCTCCAGTTATTTACAAGACTCCTCGTATACTGGAAGAAGAAAAAAACAGGAAATTAGGTTGGCAAAGGACAGAAACAGTGATAGTATCATCCAAGCATAACCAGTCCCCTATTCCACATGACAACAGGGCGATGCTAAGCCCCCTGATCGATTGGAGAGAAGAACAACACACTAAGTACTCACTTCTACAGGAGATGCTAACCTCCATTACAGTGCCGTCCACATGAACTAATTTCCTCAGAAAAAACTTCCCATCGCACTCCAACTATATATATTCCAGAAAAGGAATCCACGAATGAGTGGAGGAGACTTGTCCCAAAGGTTTTCCCCGCCAAACAATGTAAATCTACAGACTCCGGCATTATAGCACAGTCAATGTCAGTAGATCAGTTACCAGCCCATTAGGAACAGAAGGTGGCAACGCCCTGAGAAATTTCTCTGATCCAGAGGCACAAAAAAAAAAAATTGAACCCTTCGAACGACTGGGATCAGGAGGAATATGTTTCTAGAAATCGAATCCTATTGTGTCCGAGGAAACAAAGGCAAAAAGACCCCTGAATGGGGTATCCTTCCCTCCCTCCATTCGGCTCTATAAGTTCATCATACACGGTTTGGAACACTCCCCCACACGGTCACAGGCACCCTTTGCTTCCTGAAAAGGGGAAAAATGTTCAGAAGAGAAAGCAGTCCACGTACCCTCTGCGCGTATGCGTTGACCAGTGCATGGTACATTGTCGGCGAGGGATTCAAACCCCCAGCTTTCATGACCTCGAGGCACTCGATGGCGTCGTTGAACCTCCCCGACTTGCCGTAGACGTCGACGAGCGTCGTGTAGGTGACCGTGTTGGGGATGAGCCCCTGGTCCCGCATCCTGGCCAGCAGGTCCTCCAGGTCCCCCCACCTCTCCTGCACCCCCAGCGAGTTGATCATGATGTTGTAGGTGGTGGTGCAGGGGAGGCACCCGCTGTGCTGCATTTCCTCAAACAGCTCGCGGGCGCGGTCGTGCAGACCTGCCTTGCAGTGGCCGTCGATGAGTGTGTTCCAGGTGACGGTGTCGGGCTCGATCCCGTCCTCCCTCATCCGCGCGAAGGCGTCCATAGCGTGCTGCAGGCAGTTGTACTTGCCGAACATGTCGATCATGACGTTGTAGAAGTGGCGATCGGGGCACACGCCGTTGCTCTTCATCTCCTTGAGCACGGAGAAGGACCTCTGCCAATCGCCCTTGTCGCGGAGGATGGCCAGCATCCGGCTGAAGACGTAGGAGTTGGGCCGCACGTCGTTGGCCTCCATCTCCTTGAGCAGGATCCTCGCGCTCTCCCACCGGCCGGCGTTGGTGTAGGCGTCGATCAGAAGGCTGTAGGTCCTCTCGTCCGGCGCCACCCCGTTCCTCTCCATCTCTTCGAACACCAGCTCCGCGTCCTTGAGGGCGCCCACCTTTACGTACCCCTTCAGCAGGGCATTGTACGCCCTCGTCCTCGGCGCCAGCCCCCCTTCCTTGAGCTCCTCGAACACCGCCTCCGCCTCGGAGACGCGGCCGGCGCCGCCGAGCGCCGAGACCACCGCCACCAGCGTGGCGGACTTGGGGCTCAGCCCCTGGCCCTGGATCACGGCCAGCAGGAGCAGCGCCCTATCAGGATCATTCGCGCGGGAGAAGGCGACGACCAGGTCGTTGAGCAGCTTGGCGTCGAGCTCGATCTTCTCCACTTCTATCTCGGTATAGATCTTCTGGAGGAAGGCCAGATCGGGGGGGTCGGGGGAGCGGATGAGGGACTGGACGATGAGGCTGTAGTTCACGTAATCCGACTGGAAGCCATCCCTGCGCATCTGAGAGAGGAGGCCGAGGGCCTTGACGAGCTCCCCGTTCCTCGCGCAGGCAGAGATTAGGGCGTTGTACGTGAGCGGGGAGAGGGAGGCCTGGTTGGAGAGGAGGAAGGCCTGGTAGAGCTGCTTGGACCGCCCCAGGGCGTGGATGAGGATGGAGTATAGGAGGTCCACGGAGTAGCAGAGCTTGTGGCGCTGCAGCCATGGAACCAGGGCGGTGGCGGAAGGGAGGGTGTCGCGGGAGGCGGAGAGGGACTTGAGCAGCGCGTGCCAATGGTGTGCCGGAACTGCCCGGTAGCTCTCCGCCAGCCGGAGCTCGACGGGATCGAGGTGCGTCGGCGGGGAACCGGCCGCGGTCGCTGCTTGGGGAGGAGCCTTGGAGGAGAGGTAATTGAGGAGGGGCGTGAAGTCATGGCGGCGGCCCTCCAAGGGGAGGACTGCGTCAACGGGCCCGGCCACCGCCGGCAAGGAAGTCGAGGCGCCGGAGGAGGTGGTGGCACCGCCGCAGATGGCTTGATGCGCCGTGGGCCGGAGGCAGTGGAAGCGCCCCACCCCCGCCGCATGGGTGGCCGTCGGAAACTGCGGCGGAGGGAGCAGGAGCATGGCTCCCCCTAGGGCGAATGTGTCCTCTCTCTCTCTCTCTCTCTCTCTCTCTCTCTCTCTCTCTCTCTCTCTCTTCCTCCCTCCCTGGTCCTGCAGGTGTCTGTGAGGTGGGAGAGGAGGAGATAGTTAGGAGTAGAGGGGAGTTGGGATATGGCTACGGTGGGAGGAAGAGGACAAAACCGATGCCGTCACCGCACGTTGGTTACCGCCGTTGCTTCAACTCCTTTCGCTGACTCTCCACCTGATGCTCGGTAGGAGAGACAGAGTACGGGAACCGAACAATCCCGCCCTCACGTTCCCGGGACTTCCATTTACAACCGTCAATCTACTGAACGGCACAGATCCACGTGTAATTATTTCTCAAATCCATAACTATTTCTTATTTAAATAAATAAAATATTTAGAAATATCTAACAGCAATTTCTCAGAGTATTGTGGTGGCAGAAGTAAAAGTATACCCTGGGTGAACGCAAAGGGATCCCAGTCAACTTTAAGATTAAAGGCCTACGTAACCAATAAAAACCCGACACGTGTCCTCATAATTTAAATAAAACCTATACTAACCAAAGAAATTATATATGTACTGCGAAAAATTCATAAGATGAAAGAATCCACATGGAGGATGATGGACATAGAAATCAACTGTGTCACGATGCAAAGGCAGAAGATACAGAAAGAATAGGATGATCCTTGCAATGCAGAACCCTATTAGTGAGGATTGAGGATCAAGGATCGAAAGAAAGTAGAAGGATGATCCCCATGATCATGGCAGATGAACAGGATGATGCTGCGCAGATTACTGGAGTCGTGATCTTCCCCGTTAGATAGTTTTCTAGGGTATGCTCTGAATCATGGCAGACTCCAGTTCTTCATCCAGTCACTTTATCCAGCCTCTTCGTGGAATAAACTGACAGAGCAGATCCTGAAGCTTACATCAGAATGGAGAATTGAAGCCCACACCACACCATCTTCTTCCCCCTGTCTAGATCCCGTCTTCTTTCTCAATGAATGCTAGAGCAGATTTGATTGGATATGCAACGGGATCGTCAGCATTCTTTGTGCTAGTTTTTTGGGGGGCTAGGGTTTCTCCGATGAATCGCGGAACAGAAAACAGATATAATGGCCAAGATTCAAGAATGGGAGATGAATTTTGAAAAAAATGAGAGGATGCTGAACAATCAGACGTGAGCAGCCCCGTTTCTCATTGTGATGATAGTCGATTCGGATCCGACCAGCGTCGCATTGCTCAGATGGATGAGAGCAGATCTCTTGAATAGACCCCTCACCTCGTCGACCTCCGCCTCCGAAGAACATCTCCTGAAGGCAAGCACGATCGCTCCTCCTTTCCGTACCGTCCGCTCCAACTCGGCCACGAAACGAGCCGGGAACAGCGCCCCATCCAGGCCGGCGCTGAACCCTAGATCGAACACGCCGTCGAAGAACGGCAGGTTGTGCGGATCGGAGCGCCTCACCAGCGGCGGCACGTCGACGATGTCGATTCCGGTGACGTCCGCGACGCCGGACTCCCGCAGCGCCGCTACCTCGTGGCCGGCGCCGGCGGACACGCAGAGGACGCGGGAGGCGTTGCCGAGGAGCCCGAGGCCGCGCACGGAGCGGAAGAGGGCCCCGAAGGCGTCCACGCGGCGGCGCCATTCCCGCGTCGACTGAAGCTTCTTCCACCGCTTCTCCGGCGGCAACGGCCGGCGGGAGGCCGCCTCACAGGACGATCTGGGGAACGGGGAGCGGGCGACGGTCATCGCGAGCGCCTCGTGGTGGCGAGAATCGAGCTGCCGGCAGGACGAGGACGAGGCCGAGAAGACGTAGAAGAGGCAGATCGTGGCGACGGCGGCGGAGATGAGCGTGATGCGGTTCAGCAGCTCCTGTACGTGACCCTCCATCTCCTAGGATCCCCCCAGAAAACAACGAAGAGCAACGTAGAAGAAGACGCACAGGGGAGAGAGAGAGAGCTGCTGCATGGGACACGTCTCGGAACAAATGGGCTGCATGATATTGGGTCCTTATTGGGCCAACATTACGGATTAACCCGTCGACATTGGGGCCCATTATTGAGGATCTGGTACTACTACCGGTGATCAGGAGAGTTGATTAACCGGGACCCCTGGGAACAAAAGAGGTTTTGATTTATTGTGGGTGTGATGTTATGAAGGGTGAGCGGACTCAGATTTTTCTGGCCCGTCGTCGAGAAGCCCTCGGGTGAGGAGGAAGAAGAGGGAAAAGAAAAAAAATCCTCCTTTTAGCAGGCCCTCGCTCATATAAACCCCCCAGAGAAAAGGAGACTGAGAAGCTCGTTTCGCAGAACCTTATCCCTCCTCTCCTTCCCTCCGTCCTCTCTCTCTCTCTCTCTCTCTCGCTCGCTGTGCTCCAATGGCGGCTATGAGCTCGACTGCTCTGGTCTTCAAGACCCTTGTGTCTTCTTCGTCTTCTTCTTCTAGGCTGTCCATGGGGATGAGCCCCAGGATTTCGGTGGCCCCGCAGCCGGCATCTCTGGGCTCGCGCCGCCGGCCGGCGAGCGCGCGGCTGTGCGTCCGAGCGATGGCGATAGACGGTGAGTACTCTTCGAGGAGGGGCGGTGGCGGCGGCGGCAATGAGCCGAGGGAGACGATTCTTCTTCCTGGATGCGACTACAACCACTGGCTCATCGTGATGGAGTTTCCCAAGGATCCCGCCCCCACCCGGGAGCAGATGATCGACACCTACCTCAATACCCTCGCCACCGTTCTCGGCAGGTATCGGATTACGCCGTCCCCACCACCTATCGGAGAAATTTATGATTCCTCTTTCTTGGTGAATCATTGTTTTCTACGGCATTTATTCGTTGCGCCCTGCTATAATTTTCCCTCCTTACTGCGGAAAATCTAATAATCCGGGCCTTCTCTACACTTCTCACCGTCGAATGATTTTGAGCCGAGCCGTATGATTCTTCCTCCCTCTGGGTTCCAGAGCTCGAGATTATGTCCTTATGTTTTCCTAGTGGGAACATTTAAAGAAAATTTTAGAACAGCCCTGCATTGGGTAAAAAAAAAAGAAAAAAAGGAAATTTTCTCAGGTCGAAGCATGCGTTATATTCTTTATGGGCTTGGATAGAAGAATTCACCAGTAAGAGTTCACTATTTAGTGCATTTATGGGGCTGGATACTGGTATGGTACATGATTATTTATCGTCATTTTTGGTAATTTACCAATGTTCTGTGTGTGGGTATGCATGGACGGGGTACTGAGGGTTTGTTGTCCTCTGCAGCATGGAGGAGGCAAAGAAGAACATGTATGCTTTCAGCACGACGACATACACTGGATTCCAGTGCACCGTAGATGAGGAGACTTCGGAGAAGTTCAAAGGTCTGGTGGCAATTATTTCGTGATTAAAAATTTCCCATTTTCCTTGGAGGTAGGTCTTGAGAAGGATAACATGTTCTCTGTCTCCCTCGATTTCAGGATTGCCCGGCGTCCTCTGGGTGTTGCCAGATTCCTACATTGATGTCAAGAACAAGGACTATGGAGGTCAGATATGAACTCTTTCTAGTCAAATGTGCCATCATGCCTCTCTCTCTCTCTCTCTCTCTCTCTCTCTCTCTCACACACACACACACACACACTCACACTCACTCACTCTCTCTCTCTCTATGTCTCTCTCTTGTTTCAGGAGATAAGTACATCAATGGAGAAATTATTCCATGCAAGTACCCGACTTATCAGCCCAAGCAACGTAGCTCATCAAAATATGAGAGCAGAAGGTATGAGAGACGAAGGGACGGCCCTCCACCGGAGAAGAGAAGACCTAGGCAGGAGTCTCAGCAGCCCGAGGCAGCATCTTAAATTATGTTAAAGACGGACCTGCATTGTTTCAGTAGTCTAATGAAATATTTCCTCTCCCTTTCCTATGATATGAATCCGGGTTATCCCCTTCTGGGTTCTCTTTAAGTGCGTTAAACTCTCCTGTGGCTGCCATCAAGAACAATGAACTATAGTTTTTTGATGTAATTTCTACATCATATAATGTCCGTAGTCCCTCTGAGGAATTTATATGACTATGAGGGTTTCATCGTATAATTCTAGGATTTCCCAAATAGTGAAGAATGTGGTGCAAAAAGAATTTCTACGACTAGTTGCACTAATCCCAGTTCAAGAATCATATAGGAATGTTAGTTTGGTCTATTGATTCAGTCGGATGATTAAAAAAAATTCTGATTATTTTTGCAGCTACTGTAATTCAATACGTGATTAAATTCTCATAGTCCTATTTAATAGCTGCGCAAGGTTTTTTGTTTTTTCTCTCTGATTAGTATGGGACCATTACATTAGATTTACCTGTGAATTGTTCAGTAGACTGTTTTAGGAAAATCAAGAACCCGTTTTGTGGAAGGGTTTGCTTGCTCTGGAGCATCCAATGCGGTGTCAGATTTTCGGACAAAGTCTGTGTTTTAAGCTTATTGCCCATTTGGATTCGTTCATATTGTTTGTAATCTAGGGTTGTATAGTACGATAAATGATTGGTTCCTTTGGGTTTATTCTTTGCTTCATGGAGACTCTGAAAGATCCCATTCTTTTCTGATTTGGGTATCAAAATTAAGCATCCAGATAAACTATGGGCTTGCTTTTCTCATCCAACCTCTCTCATCATCATTCGGGTTATCTCTCTCTCTCTCTCTCTCTCTCTCTCTCTCTCTCTCTCTCTCTCATAATTGCGTTCAAGGAATTTTCATCATGTGCCATTTTTTTTCTGGGTTTTGCCAGAAACCCAGAAAAAATAATTCCCTAATTTTATAAATTTTGAGCGTATTTTAAATAATTCCCTAAGTTTAGATCCGATGACTATATTCCAAATGCCAGATATTCAACAGTCGCCTGGTTCCACTGCTTAGGGGCGCTCCACTCGTATCAACTCAGGCATAGCCCAGAAATTATAATGATAAAGGGCCTAATAAGCTCATAAGTAACCCCCATTTAGACCGATTTTTCTTCTTTCTTTTTTTTTGTAGATTTTGCTGGATATGGAAGCCCAAATAATGGGCTAATTATGGGCCAGGCGATTAATGAGTCCAACCCAATTGGCCTGACCCATTACTCCCTTGGGCCTACTTGGCCAGGAAAAAGTCCATTAGTACTCTACTATTATTCTTTTGGGTTTTTCTGCAAAACACGGATTCCTTGACTATGGATGGGGTCATAAACATAAATAAAGTTTACTCAAATATTTTACCAAACAAAGTTGAGAAAAAGCGTGATGAGAAAACTAGTAAAAATGTCCTAGCAGAGTTGCCCAGGAAAAGCCAAAGAAATGGGTATGAGTGATCCAGTATTCTCCTTTTGGGTTTTTCAGCAAAAATAGGATTCCTTCAATAAATGCGGTCAAAAACTAACCTCCGAACATATTATTTATTTAATGGCCGACTTTACAGAAAGGTATCTATAAAAAGTAAAAATAAGGCTGACACAAAAAAGCGTGGGCGGCAGGATTCGAACCTGCGCGGGCAGAGCCCACATGATTTCTAGTCATGCCCGATAACCACTCCGGCACGCCCACGTGTTCTGAAATGGTTTGATTTTTCCAATTTATTTAGTTTCTAGTCTGTCTTAAATGCCGCCTGCTGCGGACCGTTGGCGCCACCTCGTGCTTGTTGTGCTGCATCGTCAACTCCAGAAGGAGAGACGACCCCGATGGAGCTGGACATGGCAGGCAAGGAAAACACGGAACTCAGCGCTGGCGACCGGTGGGCGGAGCCGGCCCCGGGCCTTCGGAAGAATCTGGGGATCCTCTCCGTCGATCAGGTCAGATTCCCCCGGGGTGCAGTTTTATCCTTGTTCTGATGGCGGGGCTGGCCATCTGGACGATTTTTGACGGGGAAAATCTGTTTCCGATGTGCTTATTTTCGTTTCCTCTCGAAGTTCGAATATGAATTGAAGTAAGAAACCGCAAGGCTTGCACGCCATAAATTTGATTTGATTTGATTTGATTTTGGGCTTGGTTTTCAATGGCAATTATCCGGGAGCTGCGCCCAAAATGTGCAGGAATATTTGATTACGGTATATACGATCCCTATGATTACGGTATATACGCCCAAAACCGCAAGCGATAGCTTACTGCTAAAGGATTCCTCTAATTTTTGTGGTCTTATAATTGATGTACCTTTTATGTTTTCGATTGCCAAGGTCTCTATAAATACGGCAAAGGAAAATCAAGGGACAGTTAAATTTTCTTTTTAAAATCATGTTTGATGATTAGTGCTTTGTAAGTCTTGTCTGGCTTGTTTCCATTCGCATCATTAGTAGCTTCTCCTTCATGTCAGTTGAATGCGCGGGTACCTGTGTTATGAGGTCAACGAAATCATTGGTACGCTGATCTGCAAAGACTCGGGCTGATTGAAGCTTTCCTGCGTTTTTATCATTGATGTACATGGGATCATTTACAACATTATTTTCGCATGTATTTTATCTTCTGAATTTGGTTGAAAATAAGTTTTTTAATTAAATGGAAGATTACTTTATTATAATGGGCAAATAGGCTTTGACTTGTCGCCCAAAAGAGTGGTACTAGGCTATGGCGTGAAACTCAACGTTTTCCGGTTCCCTCCCTTGAGGTAAAAGAATTCCAGCTCTTTCTTTTGTAACCTCATGAGCTACGAGACATAATGCAGATTACAATAATGGAAATAATGCACATGAGATTTCTAACCTCATGAGCTACGAGACAGCAGTCTCTAATAAGCAACTATTTGCAGGAATCAGATAAAAACTTTCAGCTCTTTCTTTTGTGACCTTCATCACAATAAAATGCAGATTGCTCGATTTTTCGCATATCAGAACCACATTTAATGTTCCTAGGAGCTCTTATTTCCATATCATTGATCTACAGATTGAACTTGCGAAATTATTGCTCAGTGAGGGACAAAATCATCTGTTCGATCATTGGTCAGATCCAGGTGTGGACGATGGAAGGAAAATCAGTTTCTTTGATCAGGTATGCTTTGTCAATCATCTTTATATCATCTATGTTTTTATATTTTTAGGAAATAAAAAGAGACTTCTCAAAATGAATTTTTTTTGGAGAGACCACTTCTTTTGTCCCTTGTTCCCATAACTGTTTCCATACTCTTACTATAATGCGAGGTCTACTGTAGATACTGAAATGGATTCGTCCTGTGCATGGTTTTTTTTTTTAATCTTTCACCCAAAACAACCTTTACACTTATGGAGACGTCCTCTCTCTATGTATGAGAAGATAATGTGGAGATTTGTCCTGTTGTTAGCATTTGTTGGGAACGAAAATTCCTGACATAGACACTAATGAGAGATTAATAGAGTGGAAAAAGAGAAGCTTACCTGAACCCCTTGTCAACTTGGGAGGAGGGGAATGAGGCAGTGGAGGTAAGACCTCCACCCGTGTAATGTGTCCAACAAAACGTCCATCTTCGTTTTGGCACCAGCCTAGATCCACTGGCTCACTTTACGCAGGTCTTGCATTCTCTTTAGCAAAATACAAACATGGTTGCATAGGGGACTGTGGCTTGTGGATGTGAGGGTGAACTTGTAAGTGACCATGGTAACATCTACAAAAAAGGAAAAGAGAAGAGAAAGAGGAAAGAAGAATGAGAGGAAATTTACAGCACAACTAAGAGATTATCTGAAAGTGGACTGACATAACATTCTTGAATCAGGAGCTTGGCTGCAGCTGAGGTTAAAATGTATCACAACAGCATCTATGATATCCTATGTATCTCTGATTTTTTCACCTGTCCTTATTAGATGATCCTCCTTTGGACCGCTTGAATTCCCTTAAATGTGGAGTGACGTACGAATATCACTGACCTGATAGATCATGGAAAGCACTTCTCGTGCTCGTTTCTATTTCCTTTTCTTTTTTTCTTTTTTTCAAAGTCGAGGGAAAGAATGAGAGAAGAGTGTTGTATTGTTCCCTGTGTGAGGAAAGAATGTAGAATACATTCACTCCCCTTCGGAGGTTTCTCCGGGGATTTGCCCATGGAATCGTCGGTCCGATCCTAACAGGAGGAGAGGAAGAAGTTCCATCACCTAAACCATTCCTTGCTTCTTATGAATTTCGGGGGAATTCACCCTTCACCCTAAATGCCTCCCTATCGGGTAAGCGAATGCCCCTCTGAGCCTGAAAGCCCACACACACAAATCCCCCTTTGCTTATTATAACCCACTAACCCAGAGGGGGAATCCACCCCGTCACCCTAAAACTTGGTAACCAGGGGACGAGTTTACCCTGGGCCCCAAAAGTCAGGTCAGGCCTAAAACCGTGCTATGTTTTAATGGTTCAACCCACCCTGTTGCTGAAAAGTCTTCTAACTTTTAGTGGCGAATCCACCTAATTGGACTATTCCAAGATCCACCAAGGTAATATTTTGTTTATGGTGAAGCTTTTATATTTGTGCCGCTTCTGTAGATGGATTACCTAGTGTCTAACTTTTAAAAAAAAGAAAAAAAAATCAGAGTTATAGAAATATCAAAGAAAAAGCTGTAAATAAATTATGAAATAAATGCTGCCCTAGGAGGTATCTTGTTTATTGAAAAGAGTAAATCATATCTAACAAATTAACATTCTTTCCTTCTTTTATTTCTCCAAATAGCATATCTACTTAAAATTTCCCCAGAATATGACCATAACTCGCAAAGGAATGCTTGAAACTTTTTGAACAGTAATCTGATGAACCTAAAGAATGACACCGTTACAAGACAGTGAAAATATTTTAACTATAGTAATGGTCAAATAAAACGTAGAAACATTCAAGCTATGATTTACCCTCGCCAGTAAAAATGCACCACTTACATCCCCTCCGAAACATTATTTTCGAGGTGGTTATAAAAGTATTTTTTTGGTTCCCAGGATATAATTAATATTGACTAGTGTCAATGGGGAGTATCCTGAATGTTACCCAGAGGCCCATCAGTTGATTCCAAAAGAAAATATTATATTTTATAACTTAAATTTTTGCATTGCTTCTGAAGCAACATTTTTTTAATTGTCTGAAGTCACACATAAAATTCCTTGCTGTTGCAATTATCTCGTTGAATGCTAGACAGATGTGGAAATTGAACATTAAAATCGTAAATAATCTAATGACTTTTATCTGCTTGTTGAGACCTTAGTTGTCCTTATTGAATATTCAACTTCCGCATCATAAAAATGTTGCAGCAGATGGAGCAATCTAATATCATGTTTTCTCTTTGAACGAACCCTTTGGTTCGATGTGCATTATCGCCACAACAGCAGAATAAGTCTGGAGAGACCTCAGTTTTCTGGATTTCATTCGTTGATTTCCTTTCCAGGCTCAATTATAATGCTTTCTTTCTTCCTGGAGTTTCAACCTTTCAGTTTTCTGATGTTAATTAATGTGCTTAAACCTTTCATGTTAGTTTTTAGTATTCGTATCATAATAAACATGGTTAAGAATTTTCTAATAATCTGGGGAACTTGCTTCTTATTCATCTGCTGTACCTCATCGTTCTAGGTTACTCGGCTCAATGGAAGTTACCCTGGCGGATTAGTTGCATACATTAGAAACGCAAGGAAACTCCTTGCTGATTCAAAAGCAGGAAGGAATCCATTTGATGGCTTCACACCTTCTGTAAGTGTCCTGTTCTCTCATATCTGTATCTTCTTTTTTCTTCGAATACTTTGTCTGATATTCTGATCTAAAACAATTACAATGGACCTTTATTTGAGAGCTATTACCTGCAAAATTAGATGGAGGTACTGTGAAGTATATTATTTTATGTAGTATTTTCAGATATACAAACTGACGAAACATACTCAAACTTTGAGATATATTAAATGGAATAAACGTGACTTTGATTTTAACACTCATCTCTAGAAATCTTCTTTTGAGCCTTTTCTTACTTATTCACGAATTCTTTAAGGTCAAGCTGTAAAGGTCAGAATAAAATATACTGTTTGTCTACTTGTTAGTTAACGGAATATGGAGGGGCTTGGGGGTGTCCCATGTTCAGCCTCAATGGTGCCCACTGTCCCCACTGAAGTGAAGTTTTTTCCTTTGACTAGTCAACCACCATGCATACTGAGAGTAACCTTAGGATGCATACGGATTTCTTGGGTTGAGTCATTAATCTTGAAATTGGATCAAAGTTTTTGATGGCAGATTATTAACTAAGGGGCCATTTGATATTTCTGCAATATAATGTGCGAAACGTAAGAAGTCACTCTCTGAAATTGGTACTAAGAAAAATAGATGAGTGAAGGAGTCAGATTAGTCCGATAGAAGAAAAGTCTAATCCGCTAATGAAAAAATATATTTTACGAGGACTAATGGGAGAAGTTGAGGTGTTTTCAAGCACAATGAAGGAAAATTTTATCAAATAGTTGTCATGATACTAAACCTGGTATACCGGTTAAAAGGATAACCTTGTTGATTATGATTTCTATCTGGTTTAAAAGAAGAAAGGCAGGAACGTTTATAACTATGTGGGCTCTAGAAATAACGATGGGGAAAGAAAATCCTTATGTTGTGAGATTCACCCACAATGATTGTTAATCAATTGAGGTAGCATGCTGTGGGGATGGACGTACTTGGTTTATCGCATTCAAACCTAAAATGGGCAAAGAATTACTTTGTTGGTGTCCCATTTTTGTATGAAGAGGGAATTTTGTGAACAACTAATTTTCAAGGCCCTAGTTGGGTATGGAAAGGCCCTAGTTTAACTGTTGTTGAAACAAAATTTTATACGCAGAAATTAATCACACGAGAAACTCAAAGTTTATAGTGTGTTTCTCTTGTGCTTTACTTGTTGGTGTTGCATGTTTAAAGATAGCAGAAACATTTTGCATCATGGAGAAAATTGCACCTTTGTAAAGATAGTAAAATATTCTTAGGCCAATGAAAACTATTCAGAGGACTTTTAATTACACTCATGCTGTATTTGAGGATTTTTTTATACCTATAATTAGGGTTATGGAAATGTGAAACTTGAAAATTAAAAAAATCAGAAAATAAATGTGGCATATTCTATGGCATTGAAGGTGACGATGCATCGATGTGAGCCTAATCATGATACGCTTCTTATCCAGGTTCCCTCTGGGGAGATTCTTACATTTGGCGATGACAACTTTGTTAACTTTGAAGAGGTCGGGGTAAAAGAAGTTCGAAATGCTGCATTTGTCCTTGTTGCAGGAGGCCTTGGGGAACGACTTGGCTACAGAGGAATTAAGGTAGTACAAAGCACCCTGCTTATTTCTTACCATTCCTTTCATTTAAATGTTGTTTTTCCTTCATGTACCATTTATTTGAGGGATGTAAATAGATATTGCTTTATGACTCCCAGGTGAATGTTTTTTGCACAATGTGCACTGGATGATATGGTCATGAATTAAAAATGATATATACATCAAAGTGGGTCAGTGGTGAATAATGACGTAATCAACTAAACCTGTACTAATACATGCTTTGATATTGCAGTTATCTCTTCCTTCAGAAACGACAACAGGCACATGTTTCTTGCAACATTATATAGAATATATTCTCGCATTACAAGATGCGAGCTGTAGTCTTGTACAAGGTCAGGAAAATATTTACTTTTACCACATAAATGTACATGGGTGCTTTCTGTTTTGGACCTTGCATTTGTTCTGAATTTTTTATTTCACATTTTTTATGTTTCTGACTATTTAAGTTCTAGCAATTATCATGCTAGTTTCTCGCAAAGGTATTTTGTATCTAATGAACTCCTGAAAAGGTGTTTCTAATATGCTATTTGATTGGTTATAATAATAATAAAAAACGTCTAGATTCAGAATTTTTTCACTTAGGATATGAAGAGAAGAGGTATCATCTCTTGACTACCATATTCTTATACCCTTGCTATTTACCCCTAGGTCAGGTCATGCATTGACGTTGGAGAGGGAAACTGGTTGAGTCCGGTGTTTGACTGATGACGAGGAATGTTTCTTATATACTAATTTTGCTTACCAGTGAAATTTCACAACCCAGGAAAAATTATTGAACGCGGACTTTTCTCTGGCTTTCATAATGTCAGCCTCTAAGTTTTTCAACTCTACAAACTATCATTGGTTGAACACATTCTGCACCATATTACTTTTTTTTGTGGTATATTGGAAAATACTTTTTCAAGATGTTGTTAGCAAGCATAGAAATTAAAAATGTTTTCTAAATCTTATGGAATACGGTGATAATTCGTGCAAGGAGGTCCTTTGCATTTATAGTCCAAAATAATCATGGCAAAGTTCCCTGATATGCCCTTGAACATGTTCCATTAAATACTATATATAAGAAGCCTATTTGAATGGTCGATGTTGTAGTAGTAAACGTTCTAGTCCAACAAAGGTGGTTGACACTGTTTTTGTGGATGAATTTATAAAGTATCATTAACCAATGAGAACCAAAGATTGGATGACACTTTTTTCACATTTCAATACATACTTGAAATTCGTTATTGGTGACTCATTGAAAAATCGTTATTCTTTACTTCCCAAATAAAATTAGTTACTATTGCAGGCCGGCTGATATTTGTAATGTGTACACTTTTTTATTAACTGTATATTTTAATTACGAAGTAATGTTATACCTATCAAAATTAGTAGATCGATTCCATATAAGATTTCTAGTATGGTACTGTCCAATTTGAGTTTTTTTTTTCAGGTCATCTAGTCCGAAAAATCATTGAATCTCGTTATAAATAATCACTTCTGTCAAAATGAGATTTCTCTCACCTTTACATTAAGAATAAATTAAATATTTCTACCGCTAATTATATTATATTTCATAGCTTGACTTTCAAAATAATTTATGTATCCAAATTAGTTAATATCATAGTATTAATCTTGAAGAGGTCCTGGACCCCTAATCTGTCTTCTATTTCTTGCCAAAATTCGTGTTTCAGTTTTTTAATGACAGCATGGTGATTTTATCACTTTTCAGGTCAGGACCAAACTCGAATTCCGTTGGTGATAATGACATCAGATGACACTCATGAATCAACAATGCAGCTTTTGAAGTTAAATTCTTATTTTGGAATGGAGTCTACCCAAGTGAAACTTCTTAAGCAGGTAGCCGTTTGTTTTAATTTTCATTTGATGCCCTTGATACTTCGATACTCTCAGGAGAAAATTTACTCAATCTTGAACTAATGTTTGAATTCAGGACATAATAATCATCCAGCAGAAAATGAACGAGTGGTGAGAATTTTCAAGCAATCTTTGTCTGAGTCTCTAACTATCCGAAAATATGTTTATGTACCCTTCTTCACATGTAAATGCTATTATAGTTTGTAAGCTAATCTCCATAGCCTGATCTTGCTCTTAAAATAATCAACTGAGATCTCAGTCTACTCAGTTGTGGCTTAGACTTGGAAAGCACCATTCCTTGGCTTTTGGGAAATCTCCTGTAATAGTCCTCTACTTGACAATGAGGTTATTGTCTAAACTTAGTCTATTAGCCAACGATATTGGCTTCATATTCATATTATGAATCTTTGATTTAGAAAGATGAGATGGACTGTGGTGACTTGGTTGTGACTAAAAGTAGGCTAGAACTGACTCAGGTTTGTAGAAGGAAACTAAGATTCCTTCTACAAACCTGTAAATCCAAACACATTAGATAGTGGTTCTTCCATGAATCATTTTAAGCAAACACATATTTTCTAAACGAGGTACATATTGAGCGTTTTCTACTTCGATTAAATTGATCCCCAGGGCCTAAATTTATTTTCTTGACTAACTACCACAGGAAAAGGTGGCATGCTTAAAAGATAATGATGCAAGACTAGCACTTGACCCTGTTGATAGTTATAAAATCCAGGTAAAGACATTTTTTTGCAACTTAAACTTTTTCATATTTCAATATTTTCTCACACAATTTGCCTTTTCAATGCGATAGACAAAGCCTCATGGTCACGGTGATGTCCATGCACTTCTCTATTCTAGTGGTCTCCTCAATGTATGGTATGCCTTCTTCATCCACTAAAGTAGCATCATCAATTAAAGATGTATATATCCAATCACGAATTCACGTATAGAATTCCACAGCATCATACAGAAATGCTGTCGCTTTTGTATCATGATGTATATCTGGATAGATGTAATACAAAAGTATCTACAACGTATGCAGGCATGATGCAGGTCTCAAATGGGTTCTATTCTTTCAGGATACTAATGGTTTGCTCTTCAAGGTTCAGCTAATTTTCCATTTTCCCCATTTACTTGTCTTTGGAAAAACGCCATTTTTCTGGAGAAAATGTGGCACTTTCATGCTTCGTTGTTCTTGTTTAGGCGATTCCTGCATCGTTGGGTGTAAGCTCTACGAAAGGGTACCATGTCAACTCTCTCGCTGTTCCCCGCAAGGCAAAAGAAGCTATTGGAGGGATTACGAAACTTACTCACACAGATGGTGATCCACTTTGTCTCCTTCATACTTTTTCTGTTGTAGATTTTTTTTGATTATGTATCAGACCTTTATAAAAAACATTTGAAGTAGAAGCACCAGATATTCATTAAGTAAGATGAAAATATTTAGAATTCTTCCGAGCTACACTTTGCTGGATTTATTTTGTGGATAAATATAGTTGATCTAGATAACTTCTACATAGAATCTAGGCGCTAGATGAAGAATTACGTTGATATGCTTATCTAAATAGTGGACGCTCTGAAGCTTCCTACGTTGACATTTAGCCAAGCAATAGGTTATTGATCTTAATCCGTTTGATTGGTAAATGCCTGTTTCAAGGTGAAAACTGCACTCGTAGGATCGACCACTCACAATTAGTAAATGCTACCTTACCGAAAAAAAGCATGAGGGGGGAGAAATCCTCATAATGGGAACTTTAAAAAATATGAGAAACAGGAGCAGTGTTCTGGTATGTATCTCATTGTAGACGTCAGAAAAATCTATTTCTAGGAATTACAACATTTTGTTAGGGTTTTCTGTTTTGTGAAACTTGGTCAGACTCTTGTCAATTGGGATTTAGTCAAGACTCTGGTCGTTGATATGGTTAGAGTGGTCTGGATCGCATTGTTAACGTTTTCTTTTAGTACTTATCTGTAAAAGAGATTTATTAAACACATCCGAATCATAGATGAGACAGGTCAAGTCATAGCCAAGTTGTCTTTCCGAGTCCCGATATGATCCTCAGTTAGCAAAATCTTGATTCGATTATGAAATTAGTTATTCAATTTAACTCTATGGTCGTATGATTTAAGATTAGGCCTTTAGTTCTCGTAATAATTCATGAAAAAACATTTCAGGTCGGGCAATGGTTATTAATGTGGAGTATAATCAGCTTGATCCTTTACTTCGGGCAAGTGGATACGTTGATGGAGATGCGAATTGTGAAACAGGGTTCTCACCTTTTCCGGGGAACATTAACCAGGTTTTTTGTGATAGTGAGAGGATTTATTTTTCATTATTGACTAACATAGATGTATGTTTTTTTTACCTGCATATAGTTAGTATTTTTTTACTGTAAATTTTGATGTAGCTAGCATATTGCGAATGTTGCATATTTTCTTCAGATCCGATTGATAAAAAAATGCCAATATCGCCTAGATTGGAGTTACAAATTTTTCACCACTCTTGTGGATTCCATTATTTCCTGTACTAATTGTGAAAGTCGTCCTTCTCCGACTAAAATTTCGTATATCATGTGTAGGTGGGGTCCTGGTGAGAGTAGAGGGATGTTCAACAACGCAGTAGTTACATGTCTGTGGAGGAACGGTTCCAAAATCATGGAGGAAGAGACCATAGGCGAGGTAGAAAATGGTCTATGGTTACTCAGAATTGGTCGTTATCTTTGCTTTTCTAGAAAATTAACATCAGAACAGATTTATGGCTGCGTGTGCATATCAGGAGGAAAAAATTACATTAATTGGGTTCTGGAAAGAACTCTGGTACACAACTGATCAAATGGCTGCTAAAGTTGGTAGAATATTGGAACGATACTTCAAATAAGAAATAAGACCGGGAAAAGAGTTTTTTTGTCAATAATAAACACTGCAGAGTCTGCCGTTAAAGAATTAATCAGACTGTAATATGTAATGATGCATACTAATTTTGAGGAGATGGATAAAGACAAAAGAAGGAAATGCGAACCGAAAGGCTGTTTTCCAATTAAGCCTTTGCTTGAAAAGTTTGAGGATGGATATTATAGGTGGAAAACTCGAGTCTAGATTGCTTTTCCATGAAATATCCTTGTAGTAACTCCCCTCTAATGTGAATTAAAGAAGTCAGCATGGTAAATGAGAATGTTATGCTCTGCAATACACTTAGAGTCTATAGATGATCTGTCTGTTGGATACAGAAATAGTTGATGTAACCTGGTAATTTATTTTAATGGAAATCAAATTTTAATGTTAGAAGTTCAGGGGAATTGATTTATGAATGACCCTATGGTTTGGATACTAGAGTTGATCTTAAAAGATATCAGTGGAGCATCTTGTAAACGGCGATTAGGTGGTGTGGTATTTTTGGATTGAGATTAAACTTTATGAAATTTTCATGGAAGATGCTCTGAGGCATTTGAATTGTTACCTAGAATGGTGTAATTGGTGGAGGACTTGTCATCAACTACAGACAGGAGAGAAGCTACTGATATGGTATATATGGAGCAAAGCTCCTGATAGGCAACTGGCATACGGAACAAAACAGCTGCATCAGCCAACATGATTGATCCCGCCTACAGTGGGTTGGGGATCTCGGAAGGCTTAGAATTCGTCTGGAGAGTATGGCTGTCATGTATATGTATGCCGACAGAATGAACGAGTACCATACTCTTTCGTGGGTAGGAGAGGCATGGTCTTTGGGTGCCTATCTTCTAGTGCACGCTCCTACCAATGACTTGAAGAGAGTGTGAAGACAGGGTGGTGAACCTAGTTGCATGTAGGTGCAGAGACCACATGCTTAATGGGTGGCAGCCATGTTTGTCAATTCATTACTCTTGAACTGTTTTCCATCCTGTAGCTTATGGCATGTCTGGTCCCGCTGGATCGACAGTGATGAGGAGCTTGTTGCACCCGCTCCATGAACATTGGCAGGGCATCTTCTTGCCATGGAAGATCCAGTAGTCAAGGATGTTCCCTGGTTAGAGCTGCCGATGTTGATGAGCCCGGTGTAGTCAGGTGACAGGACAGGGAGGGAAGTTGGGTCGCATGCTTTTACGATGCAGACTTCAAGAATTAGTTTACTTCTCACTTTTCTTCCCAGACTCTGCGTTATTTCATGAGCTAATAACCCATCCTTTTTATGGGTTGGAGTGTCACATAGAAGTGATGCCATAGTTTATGGGTTGGCTAGGCTATGTAATGCGGGAAGAATTACGTCATTTCCTCTGTTGACCTAACCGTATTTAACTATGGTCTGCTCCTCTTAAAGTAACAGATCATCACACAAGTCTAGAAGAGTGATCATGACAATTGAAAAACATTTGTTCAAGCTCGAAAAAAAAAGGCCCAACAAGGTTACCACGCCCCCAGATTGGCCAATATTTTAGCAAATACCATCTCAAGATACGATATTTTCTAGTATAATTTTCTAAACTGTGACCCGAGGATTAATTTGGCATGAAATATGAGAACATTCAAGTGCTGGTGACCACCTGCAGGCTGATTGTTTATCTTTTCTTTTTTTTCACACATGTGCCACATCACGCAGCCCTAGAACGAGACTTCTGTATAATAACTGAAAGCATCAAATCCAGATCTCAAACTACCTTCTGTATGTAGAAACTTTATGAATTGGTCATGAACAGTTGGGAACTGGTTCATGAGAAATAATCCACCATCACATTTAACTGATCAATTGAGGTATGTGAACTTATGTTATTTATTCCTGAAATACTCAATTTTGATCTATCTTTTCACTTGCTATATAGCATTATTCAACTTTTCCAATTGGCGCAGTCTACTGGTCTTTCAAGAAGGGAATCTATTGGTCATAATTTTTCCTTGTCCAGAAACTTTGTAATTATCCACGACAGAGACGGTGGGTGCTGATATTGACTAGCGAAGAAGATTGCTTTAGAACTGATGCTGATTCCTTAAATTTTTTGCTTATAAACTAAAACTGAACAACCCTATCCAGATATTGTAGGAAAGCTAGTTTTTATCGAAAATGAAATATAGAATTATTGATCTCTACACCATATGTTCAATCGGTAATTTTCTGTCGTTGTTGTGGTTTATTCTTAGACCTAATAACCCATCCTTAGTGATGCCTATAACACATGATCCATCTGTAATTTTCAATCAGTAATGTGCGAATGTACACCACAGTATTGCATTCATATATTCCATCGTTGCAATTTATGCCAACGGAGGAGGGCAAGAACTTTAACTTTCTTGCAGTAAGATATTTTCTTATAAAACCATTAATTGATTTTCTAGGAACGGATTGTGTGATATAGCTGTATATTTTTTTGGTGCAGTTGATTCTGGAGCTTGATTCCTATAGGCAAGAACTTACGAAAACACATGGAGCCATTGCAGAGTTTGTGAATCCCAAGTAATGTCTACTCGCTTTCCAAATATGGATATTTCTGGGCTTAGGTTCTAATTGCTGTTGAAGAACTCTGAGTTTTCTTGGTTCATATTTGGTTCGAAAATCCCAATATTTTATACATGAATTTTTTATTTTTTAATTAAAAAAAAATGTTCCAGGTACAAGGATTCCACCAAAACTTCTTTCAAGTCATCGACCAGATTGGAGTGTATGATGCAAGACTACCCTAAAACCCTGCCACCATCAGCAATAGTTGGATTTACGGTATGCCCATTAGAAACTGGGTGATTAATTTAGACCTAAAGTGAAACATTATATGCATATTGAACATGCATCTGCTGCTAGGAATCATTATTCTTATGATGTTCATTTTCACAAAGACAGGCCTTGCGCTGTTGGAAAATGGTTCATTTTCTTCTAATCATGAAACTATGTTTCCTTAGTTTATTTTGGCTTGACCTTCTTTCCATTTCTGCCCTTGCTAAGCATCTTATTTCTCTTCAGGCATGTAAGTATGATCGTGCTTTGACTAAAATGCCAACTGACCATTCATACAGTGGATCTCGTCAACCACGCCTTTACACGCAGTGCATGTCATCTAGGGGGCTAACTCTTCTGCTATGTTCATATATATGGTTTCATCCAAAGATGATCCTTGTTCTTCCCTGTTTAGGTCTTGGACTCTTGGATCGCCTATGCACCAGTTAAGAACAACCCAGAAGATGCTGCTAAGGTAAGTAGTACGATCAATTGATGGCTGTTAGTCGATTTTATTGCCACCATTAGTTTCTGCCTGCTGATGCTGTGTTTTCCTTTGTTTCCATAGAACCGTTTACCCTTTCTAGCCTGTGAGCTTGATATGATGCCTCTTCTGGAACATACCTCATCATTTAGCTTGTCTAGGGGTTGACCCCAGGGTCCAGGGAAGGCAGAAAACGGGCTTTGATCTTGGTTGCTTGGCCTCCTCTTTCCAAGAGCCACCCAATCCTCATTGACATGAATATTATCTAATTAAAATGAATTAATCTGCTCTAATCATGATTTTTCAGAATTTCCCCAAATAGAAAAATGGAAAACAATGAAATGGATGGATTTCTTTGACTTGATGGGTAGATGCAACGGGCCCGTGTTCTTGACAGATTGATTTCCCTGTTTTCCTTGATTATAGGTCCCAAAGGGAAATCCATATCACAGTGCAACCTCCGGAGAGATGGCAATCTACAGGGCCAACAGTCTCATCCTCAGAAAGGTAGCTCCCCTCCCATTCTCTCTCTAGAAACATCTTTCATCATTCTTCTATGAGACTACAACTATAGTTCATGGCCTGCAAAGGGCCTCGACCTGAAAGGTAGCTGCTGTTTACGCTTCTAGTCAACTCTTTCTTCCAGGCTGGCGTCCAGGTGGCCGATCCCGTGGTCGACTCGTTCAACGGCCAAGAGGTGGAGGTGTGGCCGCGCATCGCGTGGAGGGCCAAGTGGGCCCCGACATTCTCTGACGTGAGGAGGAAGGTGGGCGGCAGATGCTCCATCTCTCAGAAGTCAACCCTGGTGATCAACGGCCGAAATGTCTATCTCGAAGACCTTACCTTGGAAGGCTCCCTCCTAGTCAACGCGGTTGATCAAGCCGAGGTCTGCGTAAATTGAGTGCCCTCCATCCTCATCAGCGGTTGACCAAGTCCTGACAGTCGCAGTAGCCCCTCCTAGCGTCTTGGCTCGCTAGACTGAGCTCTGATGAGCAGTGTGATTCGATGTTCTTGCAGGTGAGAGTGGGGGGCTCTGTTCGGAACAGAGGCTGGGCCCTGGAACGCGTTGACTACAGAGATGACTCCATGCCCGAGGAGCTGCGGATCAGAGGTTTCAAGATTGAGAGGTTGGAGCAGGAGGAGGCGAACTTCACAGAGCCCGGCAAGTTCTCCCTCAACTCCTGACAGATGCTCTTCAAGACTGGAGCTTTCTTCACTCATCTACTAATAATCCTCGTACTCTGTGTTGTTTCCCCATCCACCACTGTGTGAGACTCTCTCTCTCTCTCTCTCTCTCTCTCTCTCTCTCTCTCTCTCTACTTTGTTTGAGAAGGAATAATCGATCGACCTGTTTTTTATGATCCATGGCAGTGAAAGTCTGGGTGTGTCTTGTTCTCGCCCTGCAGATGTTCTAGGGTTCTGGGTCTGGCACATTGCTCCCGAGATCTGAAACCCTGAATTGGATTTGATCTACCGTGGAAGGTCTTACAGCAAGCAAGGAAGGAAGGAAGAAGACGACTTATCTGCAGCTTCATCTCTCTCGTTGGGGTTTCTCAAAACGGAAACTGTCGGGCAGCGGCGGTGGCGGCGCCATGGATTTTCTCGTTGGGGTCTCTCTCGTGTTCATCGTAAGCGTCGTCGTCTCCGGCGCATCCTCCGAGGGCTGCCGCCGGGGCCGCCAGTGTTGCCGGATTAGCCACTCACGATGGCGGAGAATTCGATACCCGGTCCCCTCCGCCGTGCATGGAAGACTGCAACCGACGTGCCGCCGGCGAGCTCCTGACCCACATACAGCGGTCTCCGGCTAACTCCCGACGCCGGTCCCAGTTCACATCAGTCAACGTCCTTCATGGATTCTCCGCTAGAAGAACCCTAAAAGGGATCGACCTTTTCCACGCGTAAAGTCGCGATTTTCTCCCCTCGCGTTCGCGCTTGCGGTGACAGAATTCCATCCGTTGACTTTTTACGGTCATCATGATAATTAGCTGGCGTCACCCCTTCGACCAGGATCATCAAGCCCTTGATAATTTTGACGAGTACCCTGTACACGTTTATAGACGACCAGTTGGATGATTTCATGGGAGACATTCTCCCTCCGACTTCATCGTCCTCCTCCCCGAGTAATGAGGAACCAGTTAGGGTTTTCAGCCGTCGGGAGGGGAGTGGAGGGGCACTCCACAACTCTCGGGAAACCACCATAAAATGGCCGCCGACTTCTCTCGAACCAGGCGACCTCTCCAGAATCCCTCGCCTTCTTCCTCCTCCCATCTCTCTTCGAGCTTTGCCGAGATGACGGAGTTGCTGGAGTAGAGACGACGAGCTCCACCGGCGGCGATGGGTTTCCTCCTCGTACTCGTGATCAACGCCTTCGTCCTCCTCTCGAGCTTCGCCGTCTACTTCGTCTGCGCCTTCCTGCTCCGGTGGCGGGAGGTGGAGGTGGAGCCTCCGGCGGAACTCTCCGACAGGGAAAGGGCCGCCGTGGCGGCGGTCCACTCCTTCTTCTTCCTCTCCGGCTACTTCGTCTTCTTCTTCTGCAACTCCGCCGTGGCCGCCCTCGCCGTGGGGTTCTCGCTGGTCGCCCTCCTCGCCTGCCTCCTCCGCCTAGCGGAGCTCATCAAGCACGAACGGAGGGTCGCAGCAGCAGGCGGCGCCGCCGCCGCCGCGGGGCTCGACTGGGGAGATGTGGAGTGGCTGGGTCATGCCAAAGCCACCGACGGCGACTGCGCCGTCTGCTTGGGAGAGTTGGAGGGAGGTCAGAGATTGAGGAGGCTCCCTCTCTGCGGGCACCGCTTCCACGCCCGCTGCGTTGACCAGTGGCTCCGCCTCAGCGCCACCTGCCCAATCTGTCGCCGTCCCGTCGCCGCCTCCGCCGTCGTCGTCGTCATCGTCCCGCCGCCGCCGGCGCTGCCGCCGTGATAGAGTGGAGGCGAGGCGGCAAGATGAGGCTTTTTTCTTAAGAAGATAATTAGTTGATTCCGCATTTCGTTTTTTGTCATCGAGTGAAGTCAACGGAGCGAGCCGACTGCCACGGTTCGTAAATTGGGCAGAATCTGCTGATTGAAAAATAATTTACAAAGTCAACGATTCTCCGGCTTTCTCGGAACGCCTCCAGTGCCCAACTGCCCCGCCAGATATTTGGGCTCATCCGCCGCAGCCGAAAAGAATGGAAGGGAGGAGGCGGCAAGATGAGCCCTCTTTGGTCATCGGGTGAAGGCAACAAGCCCGAGTCGACTGCCACAGTTCATGTACTGGACAAAGTCAACGCTTCCGGCTTTCTCGGAATGCCTCCAGCGTCCAACTGACACGCGAGATATTTGGAGCGGGGGATCCTCAATTATAGATCTCTCCACGTGGCTGAATCATGGTAGGCGCGGGTTCAAATCTTCCACTAGCGGGAATTTCAGGGGTGAAATGACTGAAAAGTCCCCATGGAAACCGTCTTCCTCCCGGAAGTTCGGAGCCGGCCAGGGTTTATATAATCCACAGGGGGGGGGGGCGTCTTCCGCTCATCTCCAAGCACAGCGGCCATGGAGCCCCATCTCCTCTTCGTCCTCAACACCCTCCTCCTCTTCATCCTCATCTTAGTGGTCTCGGCAGCCGCCATGGCGTCGACATTCGCCCTAGTCGTCTGCGTCATCAGCTTGATCGATCTCGTGGGGAAGGTGAGGCGCCGTCGCCGGCGGGGGTTGGCCGGGTTGATCCGCAGCCTCCTGTCGTCGCCGGGGACGTCGACGAAGGCGGCGGGGTTTGTTCTTCTGATGTCTACGCCACCGACGGCGGCGACCGGCTCCGTCGTGCCGCCGTCGCCGGGATCGGTCGACGAGGTGGCCATCGACATGCCGTCGGCAAAGAGCGACAACGAGCTCTTCGCACCCTCGTGGAGTAGTTAATTGTACAGTGCTCTCTCTCTCTCTCTCTCTCTCCATGCATCTCTGTGTATTTCTCCCTTCTATATGAGAAATCAAGCTCTTCTCAAGCAGCCCATTTCCAATAAAGCTCTCTCTCTCTCTCCTCTCTTCTCTCTCTCCTCTCTCTCTCTCTCCTCTCTCTCTCTCTAGATCTCTAGAGGGGGGCGAGAATGACGATAATTGGAAGATGACCAGAGAGTCTGCTTTGAATCCGAAAACCAGATACACAAACAATACCGAGTACGAGACGGAAATCCCCACCATGTTCAACAAGGGCCAACTCCTCCGGCTAGCTCCACCGCTGACCACCTGGTCAACGTTCCCCCCACCGCCAGTGGGGCATCAGTAGCCGTTGATGTGCCGCCGAGCACCGCCTGAGTAGATCTCCGGCGGCGCCGCCGCTGCCGCCTCCGTGAGGCGGGAGAAAGGCGCCGCCTGGGCACGGGCGGCGGCGGCGGCGGCGGCGGCGGGCTTGGCGTCAGAGACTGACCTCGAGAACGCCTGAGCGAGCTCCACCGCCGACGCCGCCTTCCCGAACCGCAGCGCCGCCTGCTCTGCCGGCTTCGGCGGCGGCGGCTCCTCACGCCGCCGCCAGCTCTCCGTCTCTGCACGGCTCTCCGCCGCCTTCTCCCCTTCCCTGAGGCTCCTCCTGCCGTCGCTCCACCGCGAGCTCCATTGACTTTCCCCCCTCTCCGCCTCCGCCGCCGGCTGCTGCCTCCCCGTCGGCGATGGATGCTCCACCTTCACCTCCGCCTTCACCCTGCACAGGCAGCTAGCTGGTGAGATAGAGACAGAGAGAGATCGAGAGAGAGAGAGAGACGATGTGGAGACCTGTTATTATTGGGCAGAGGGGAGGGCGGGTCGACGAGGGAGAGGGCGGCGTCGTCGACTCCACGTTCCTTGAGGACCTGCGGATGCGAGGGGGAAGAGGAAAAGCCATATGAAAGAGGAATTAATCGAGAGGTGTGAGAGTTGACTTCTGCCGCGTCCGCCAGGGGAAGGAGTAAAAGGACGTACGACTTCTCTGGGGCGAGCTCCACCGAAAACCTTCTCCCTAGAATAGAAGAACAACAAGAACAGCAAAAATATCAAAAAATCGGGAAAAAAAACAATGATGCCCGAAAATGAGAGTAATTCACGAATATACGCAAACAAAAAACTTTTTTATTATTTATTTATCTATTTACTTATTTCTAACCATAAACTACGATCATCAATGATGTTAGCCAATGTAGTAGAAAGACCTGAGCTAAAAAAGCTCATCAGATAAACTTTCCAAGCATATGACCCATACTATAAAAGGAAACTCCATGTGATAACGAAGATCATTTAGTTCTAATCCTAGGTTTTCTGATGTCTCATTTTAGTATCTTCATTACTTACATGCACAATCATGTCATCAATGAAATAAATAACAGTATTGACTGTCATGGTCATCTTTATTCTGTAGCATCAGTAGAACCCGGGTGTCAAGCATCTGCCACCAGAATGAAAAAAACTGTATGATTTTGATTTCAGCCTGATATTTTTCATCAAATGATGCATCCATTCAATGAAAATCAGCAACTTTTAAGCATGACCTAGTTTATCGATCCAAGTGGCAACTCTGATACATGCACCAAAGAAGAAAAGCTCAGCTCCATCATTCCAGTGATGATCATTCAGATAACAAACAGGGCATCTCGTTGAAAGATGATGAACAAATATGGAAGCTGTACGGAGAAATCTGAATGATTATATAGCCTATCATCTTCGATCACTCTGTCCAAAACGATCGAGCGGGCATCACCTCCGAGATATAACCAACCACATGGGTATCATCATCATGGCGACCATATTTCACTGGGTAGCATGCAATGAACATGTCATTCTGGAGAATCCCACGGCATCTGATTAGATTCCCACTCAACTACACAGAGATTTCATATGATTCCAGAACAGACAGATGATTGTTGTACAGTAAAACCAATGAAGATGGAAAACGAAGGAAATGGGTTCAAACCTCTTCTTCTCAACGTATTCACTTGACTGTTGAACTTGCTGTGAGCGAGGCAGCAGGTTCAATTTGGGGCGCTCCACTGGCAGGTTCCCGCCATCACCGACACCTGAGCTTGGCTTGCTAGGGTTTGAATCACCTAACGCCTCAGTGACATTCTCTGCAGGAACAAGGTTCACAATGGGAGCTTGATATGCCTGGTCCACCAAGAATACAAATCAACAGTTACCCACACACGCCACAATCACATAATCGGAACTGGCAACTCGTCTTCTGCAACAAATAGATACACAGTTATGGTGGGTCGCAGCGGCCTACACTCTCACCTGCTTGTGACCAGAAGCGCGGGTATCCACAGGCTCAAGTGGCTTTGGTGTGGGAGGGAGGCTGGTCAGCTTCATCCTCTCTGATACTTCTGCAATCTCTTTCCGTTGCAGCTGCTGCCCAATGAATCTTCCCTCTGCCGACAGTGGTCGAGGCCCATCAAAGCTAAAGCCCACTGCCCCACTCTTCTCCTTCGGTTCCGAGTACACCGGAGACCTTACTCTATCGTATACTCTGTCAAAGTTAGCCCTATCACCATATCTTCTCTGAGAACCTCCCTCAGCGGCGGCTACATCATTTTCCCTGAATCTCGCATCCCCGCCCCCCGTCTCCGACAGTGGAACGGCCTCAGCGTCAGGAATTTGATTGAGCATCCCAGGTTTGGACTGCCACCTTCCTGAAGTAACCTTCTCGATCGCGCTTGCCTGAGCAAATCTCGAAGCGGCCCCGGGCCCAGACAACGTAGCTGCAGGCTGCATCATCGTCTCTTCCTTCTTCATCCCCCAAGCAGAGGGAGCAACATTGACATTGCCAGATCCCTGAGAGTGTGATGAAGGAAGATGGGGGCTCCCTCCAACAACTGTCGAGACGGACCCGCCAAAGGAATGATGGGCTTGTGGAGATGCTTGCGTGGCAGGGCTCGATGCCGGCCGTCCTGGAGCCAACGTCTGCTGATGAATCTGGGCCCTTGCCTCGACCGATCGGGTTGAGCGGACGGCATCGTCCCCCGAAGGGACCGCACGCCTGGGAGCGGAAGTTGCATCAAATGGCTTGCGCTCGTCTTCGTCGAAGTTGCGGCCGATGTGCGAGAGGAAAGGCGCTCCCTCCTCCAGCCCCCGGACCGCGCCCCCGCCGCCCCCGCCAGCCGACCCAGGGCGGGGCCGGAGGTGGTCCTGCCGCCCCAGCCCGCCGCCGCCACCGATCCCGGGACTTCCCCACCCACCTCCGATCGGGCGCTCATACGCTCCACGATCTAATGGCCTCGGCGTCCTGCGTATCCAAAAATAAAGAGCCAAAACCGGGGATTCAGGAATTAAGCCCCACAAAACGAGATCTAGGGCACAGAGACGGCCGAACAGACGCGATCAAAATAGCAGGGGGGGAAGGGGGGGAAGAGAAAAAGGAACAAGGAAGAAACAAGCGAGGCACAAGATGAACATCGCGATCGAGAAAATATTCCAGATGTCGGAGGATTACACTCCCGGGGCCGACGGCAGGGGGAGGTCGGAAGGGATGGAGCCGCCGTGGAAATCCTTCAACGTCATGGTGGATCCGCTGAAGGCCTTCTTCTTCGACATCCCGCCGCCCCGCCTCCTCCGCGCTGCCGCCCTTTCTCCCTCCCCTTCCTCTCTCGGGAGCTACCGGAGAGGGAGAACCAAGGAGACGGAGCTCACCAGGAGACGGAGAAATGTGGGTTAAAAAAAACCTTTGCCTTTCTCTCCCTCCCCCTATTTATATGCGGGGAGACGGACACTGTCGGCTGGTCTAGATGGGAAAAATACATAAACACCCTTCAAAATAGAATTCTTCCAACTTTCCCACTTCACTCTCCTCGAGTTTTTCTTCAAGATAATATATTCGCATTGTAAGATATTTTCTAAATTTTCCGTCTTTTTTGGGTTTTGAATAATTTTGGTCCCTCATCCCAGTAATTTACAGAAAAATCCCCCAAGGAATAATTTTCCTTATTATATTACCCCAACTGCTCCACGTAAGACCCCCCCCCCTTATCTGAGGACAAACGCTTGATTGGTCAAGGTGAGGAAAAGTACATAAAGCCCCTTCAAAAATATATTTTCTTCGAACTTTTTCCATTTCACCCTCCCCAAGCTTTTCTGAAAGCTAATTCCAACTAAGAATTTTTGCAAAATGATATGTCTCGTGTAATTTTCATAAAACCTTACTGAAACATTGTATTATAATAGTACCCCTATCACTCCATGCAAACACCCCCCCCGGGAAAAATGGGCTGGTCCAATTGGGAAAAATACATAAAAACCCTTCAGAACACAATTTTGTTTAGAAATTCCGCTTTCACGTCACTCTCATCGAGCAAACTAATATATATTCGTACTATAAGATATTATTCAAAATGCTCTATCTTGTTTGGGTTTTTAATAATTTTGGTACATCAGTCTTGTTTTGAAGAGAAAAGCCCTTGAGGACAGATTTTCTTACCATAAATAACACCGCATTTTTCTATAATTATTTATTCAGATTAAGATAAAAAATACACAAAAAATAATCAAACAGTTATTTGGGTTTTTTTAGAAAACTAACTATTTTTTGCACAATTTAGTAAAATACTCCAAGTTTCTTACCTAAGTTTCTGGTATAATAAAATATTTTAATAAATATCACATTTGTTAAGTTTTCTTACTCCAAATTATTTTAATAAACATGCTTACCTAGTTTATTAACTAAATTATTAAATATTTATTTACCATATTTTTCCATATATTTTGTCGCCAACTGGATGGTTTTAGACATGATAGCAGCTCATTAATTTTGAAGCAAAGTATTCGTCATTGTATAATTTTATTCCAAGAAAAGTAAATATTCAAGAAACATGTATTATGTTTTAAGATGTTAGCACCATTTCAACATATTTGAAACGTTGACTAGACATTGTTTGTAAAATAACGTGGTATGTTGTGCACGAACTAGTCAACGTTGACATATGATACCATCTCATCTTCCTAGTATCATACGCTACTTTTTTCACTCTCACAATTGTTACACCCATTGACTTGAACCTCCCTCTCTCTCTCTCTCTCTCTCCCTCTCACTCTCTCTCTCTTTCTCTCTCTCTTGCATGTATATTTTTCAGAAAGTAACCTTTTGGGCGTCATATTCCTATAAGTTAGTTTATCTTATACAACAAAAAATATGTGTATTTAAGATAGTATAGAGATGATCTCTGGTCAAGGCAATTGAGTTATGCAGCTAATAATCCACAAGTGGTTTTGTTTCTCGGAACGCGGGCCGGCCCAGGCCCGTAGTCAACTATCAGCTTCGAATTCTCCGTTTTGCCATCGAGCACGCTGGCATGAGCGCGTATCACCAAGGGTACAAACGTCATATTACAAATATGGTGGGGGGCCACCGTGAGGCGATCCGGATCCCCATCACCGGGCGGGTTGGGTGATTTTGCATTATTTTCCGTTTTGCCACTGGGATTTTGCGTGGGGGCCCGATGGAAAATAATAAGTGATTTGAGGGTAAAATGTGAAATAATCTTAATAGGAGGCAGAAATGGATCCAGGTCGGGAAGTAAGTCGTGCATCTTCTTCTCCCCCGTAGACAGAGATAGAGAGAGAGAGAGAGAGAGAGAGGAGCGCGTGAGCGGGAGGGAGGAGGGAGGGAACAATAAATAGCATACAGTAGAGAGAGAGAGAGAGAGAGAGAGAGAGAGAGAGAGAGAGAGAGAGAGGGAGAGAGAGAGAGAGCGAGAGAGGCGCGGGGAGGAAGGGGGAGGGAGGGAGAGAGAGGGGGGGATGTGAAGTTGAGATGGGTGGGAGCGGCGGGCGCTGACAGTGTAGATCAACGTCGTCGTCGCATCCGCCGGAAGGTCGGCTTCTCGATTTCTCCCTCTACGCCGCATTTTAATTTGATGTTGTGGCGAGGTTTTCTTGGAGTTTCAGGTTAGGGTTTTGATCCCGGAGCTTGGGGGCTGTTGGTGGAGCCCGAAACCCTATTGTAGGTGTTTTTGGCCGTCCTAGTCTTTGCTGATGGCTCTTTTTTGGCTGGAATTAGGGTTTTGATCTCGGCAGGCGTGGAGTATTGGTGGAGCATGAGCATAGACAGCCCTGGCGCGGACCGTAATTGAGCGGTGTCGCATCTTCTGGATTGCGGGTGTAGCGTTCCATTTCTTCCTAGGGCTCTGTTTTGAGTTCCATGGGCGATGGAGCGGTGGTGTGCATGCCTTCACAACAGCAACATCTCGCGGAGAGGTTTCCGGTCTCTGAAGCATCCTGGGGTGGCAGAGTGTTTGGTTGTGTGCCTGAGAGGAAGATGAAAGAACCCGAGAAGGAGCTAGCCGAGAAACCGGAGGAGACGTCTGTGAAGGAAGAGCTGGAGAAGGGAGAGTTCGCACCTGAGCGACTGAGACAGGGGGGCCCTGGGAGTTGGGAGCAGCAGACTAATGGAGAATTGGAGAAGGGGGAGTTCGTGCCGGAAATGGGGCACAGAGGCGAGTTGGAGATGGGGGAGTTTGTGCCTGATGAATGGCAGAGATTGGAGGAGGATAAGCTGGAACACGAGTCAGGGAGGGCTCGTAGGTCAGAATTGGAGAAGGGAGAGCTTGTCCCGGATAAAGGGCGAAAGGGTGAGAGGGAGAATTCCCAAGAAGATTATTACCGAAGAAAAGTGGGTGGCAGTAGGAGAGAGAGTGAGCAGAGGAATTGCGAGAAGGGTGAGTTCGTCCGTGATAAACGGCAGAAGGGTGATAGAAGGCGCACCCCTGATGACTTTCACCGGAGGAAAGAAGGCGGAAGTAGGATTGACGGTGAGCAGAGGAAGCGGTCATCTCTTAAAAGTGAGAGCGGCAACAATGACGTAAGGAGTGACTCAGGTTCGCACAAGCATGAGGTCAGCAACGGCAAGTACCATGGAAAAGATCATAACACCACTAGCAGCCAGAAAAAGCACTGCATTGAATCCGAGAACAGCACCCGAAAGCACCATGGAGAGTTCCGCGGTAGTTCAGCTCCAAAAGGTCGGAGGATTTCGGAAGAAAATACCAGTCGTTCTGGCCATCAAGATAAGTTGCATGGCTCATCCACTGTCTCTTCAAGAAGTTCGTCCACTAATAAGTATTCCTCTTCTAGACGTCACGACTCACCGTTGCCATCTCGAGCTCATGACAGGCATGCACAGAAACCTGCATCTTCGGTGCAGAATCGTCATGATCCTGCTCACCAACATAATCACAGGAACCGGAGTCCTGTTTACCCCGACCGATCCCCATGTGATCAACAGGAACGGACTCCAAGCTGCTTGGAGAGGTCTCCAAACGATCGTGGGAGGCACCGTGATTATAGGGATCGAACTCCAAGTTTCAGGGATCGATCTCCCCATGATCGAGTTCGTCACCATGGTCACAGGGATAGGACTCCCAGTAACTCGGATAGATCTCCTCAGAACAGTGGGCAGGTTCAGGAAGCCATAAGGAAAGGTGGCAGTAGTGAAAAACATCATGGACGGCGTGAAGAGAAGCCAAGACGGAGAGAACCTGATGTAAAGGACTCTGCCAAACATAGCTCGCTCCGGGAATCAAGTAGCAGTACTCGTCCTGACAAAGTTGCTGAAGGTAAGCCTGACAAGGAGAAAACGTCACAGAAAAATATTGCGGACTATAGAGAACTGCCGCCTCCTCCACCAGTTTCTCCACCTCCTCTTCCACCTCCTCCGCCTCCTCCATCAAATGGATTTCTTGAAGATCATCTTTCAATGGAAGAGGATATGGATATCTGTGACACCCCACCTCATGCTGCACCAATGATGGAACAGAACTTGGGGAAATGGTATTATTTGGACGACTTTGGCCTGGAGCGAGGACCATCCAAGTTGGCTGATCTTAAGAGACTTGTGGAGGAAGGAGTTCTTCCTTCTGATCATTTGATAAAACACTTTGATAGTGATCGGTGGGTAACTGTAGAAAATGCCACTTCTCCATTGGTGTCAGTGAGCTTAACTTCCATCGTGTCAGATGCAGTGACCCAGATGGTGAGCCCCCCTGAGGCCTCAGGAAACATGTCAATTGATGCAGCAGATGTGGCACATGAAAAATCTGTGTTGACTGTGCAACCTGAGATGCACCTTAAGAATGATTGGGATCATCCAGAACCTATGGAGGATTTCCAGATTGATCAAAGAGTGGAAGCTCTATTAGATGGTCATGACATTATTCCTGGTAGAGAGTTGGAGACTATTGGAGGTAATTTTTTTTCCTGTTGCTACTTGCTAGATGATGACTTTGTTCTTGTCGTCGCATTTAACCTCTTGCTTTTCCTTTCTTATGCTATATTTTGGTACCTGACTCCTCATTCGAAATTTCTATTGTTACAGAGGCGTTGAAAGTGACTTTTGAGCACGTTGAATGGGAAAAATGGGGCCACTCTGAAGGTATAATGCTAAGATATCTTGCGTTAACTTTTTTTTCTTAACCTCTCGATCATTTTTCTGTGTTCTTCTGTTTCTAAAAGGAAACGTTCTTGCATCAGGTTTCACAAGATCCAGAGCACATGCTTCTGAAATCCCTCGACAATCAAGAGAAGATGGAACCAGTAGACCTCCTGAAGGTTTGCCTAGGGAAAGTTTTGAGATGAGATTTATTCCCCCATCTGAAAAGGATCTTACTTTCCCCAACAGTGATTCCAGTGATTGGTTTGCTGGACGGTGGTCTTGCAAGGGTGGAGATTGGAGGAGAAATGATGATAATAGTAATGATAGATGTCAGAAAAGAAAACTTGTTCTTAATGAAGGCTATCCGCTCTGTCAGATGCCGAAAAGTGGAGAAGACCCTCGCTGGCATGGGAAGGATGACCTCTCTTCATCTAGCAAAAAACTTGATCTTCCAACTTGGGCTTTCTCTTGGATTGATGATAAGAATGAGAACGCTAATGACTCAACCAAAGGCATGCTACCAGGTAGGGGAAGCCAGATCAAGAATACGGCCATCAGGGGAGTAAAAGGAACTGTGCTTCCTGTTGTCAGGATAAATGCATGTGTTGTCAGGGACCACACCTTTTGTTCTGAACCGCGCCCAAAGGTGAAATCCAATGAACGTCATTCCAGATCCTCTCGTTCACATAGTGCTGGTGGTGATAAGAGCTCTTCTGCTGAGGTCACTTCTCAATCAAAGAATGTACCCCAGTCTGACAGCTCAATCAAAAACAGCGGAAATGTTAAGATCCCCAAGGACCGGATATGTACCATTGATGAATTGTCGGTACATGTAGGTGGATGGTATTATTTAGATGGTGCTGGGCGTGAACATGGCCCGTTTTCATTTTCGGAACTACAGGATTTAGTTGCTAAGGGTGCCATTTTGAAGCATTCAAGTGTCTTCAGGAAGGCAGATAACGTCTGGATTCCTGTGACAAAAGGCAACAAAACTTCCGAGGCAGCGAGCCATCAAGATGAAAGAGGGCCACTGGCTAACAGATCAACTTCCAATTCTGTTTCTCATAATCTTGTTGATGTTCTATCGTTTAACAACTCACATCCTCAGTATATTGGGTATACTCGAGGCAAGCTGCATGAACTGGTCATGAAATCTTACAAGAGCCGAGAATTTGCCGCAGCTATAAATGAGGTATTAGATCCATGGATTAATGCAAAGCAGCCGAAGAAAGAGATGGAAAAACATTTCCCTTTCAATTCATCTATCACAAAGAGTTCTGTAGTTCTCTCTCACGATTTACCAAGTGAAAGGTTCTGGTGTACAGGTAGTTGATACTTTTGAAATTGCATGTTTCGTCTTCATTGTTTTGTTTGGAGGTTCTACTTGCATTTATATTTTAGAAATAATCTGATTCGTTTTCATACTTCTATTTCATTGACAACTTTTGAGAAGTTATGGATCCCACATTCTTGTCATTATAATTCTGTAAACTTCCTGGGTACCTTTAAATACTAGGAGGAATTGTTTTTTCTTGGATTGAGTTTTATTGAATACAATTATTAGAAGGAAATCGCAGATCTAAAATTTCTATTTATTGCTTTTTTTAGGGTCAGGGATTGGTGATTTTATCAATCCTTCTAAAATCATTTTTGGATCTGCAATAATACAGCCACAGTATTTTCTTGGCATTTTTAATAAAACTTTACTAAGTGTTTCCCGACTCTGCTAAATTATTCTATGCTGTAACAAGTTTTTTCGTCTAATATTCATATAAGCCTATGCTCGTTGTTGTGGCAAGCATGTTTATTCTGTTAGTATGTGTTTAAGTGCATCGACCTCCTGCTTCTCTTTCTTTTTCACTGGTGTGCAATATTCCTTTCTCGAAGCTGATGGCAAAGTGCAGCGTTGGTGATGCATTTTTGTTTATTTAAGCCTGATCAATTAAAGGGCTAGAAACTCTTTGGGCCACTCTTATTGTTTACATTTGATTTTGAAGTATCTTTTGTGGCATGGCAAGTTTCTAAAATTCTTTTCAATAAGTGTGATGATTGTAAACGTCTGTTCTCAATCTATCTTCAGTTCGGTGCTCTGAAAATGAGTAATGGTAGGCCTCTCTTATATGTAAAAGATTGTGAACTTAAACTGACAGAAAAGTGTGTTTTGATGCTTGCACACTTGCATGATATTGTCTATTGGAGCCATGGCGTCTTTTTTGTCTGATACAAAACTCTGTTCATGCAGATGCTGATGGATCTGGCAGCTATGGTCATGTGGGTAAAAGAGCTCGTCGTTTGGTGGATGAGAGTGATGAAGATCGTGAGCAGGAGGATAATTATTTGACTTGTGGAAAGAATGAGCTTTCATTTGAGGACCTGTGGGGTGAGCGGGCTTTGGATGAAGAGATCTCTATGAGATGCCCAGGAGAAAGCTGGGGAATGTTGAGCAGTCATATCTTAGCTAGAATTTTCCATTTTCTTAGAACCGACACGAAATCACTTATTCTTTCTGCTGCTACTTGCAAGCACTGGAGAGCTGCAGTGCAGACCTACAAGAATATATGCAAGCAGGTTGATCTCTCGTTTTTAGGTTCATCATGCACGGATTCCGTGTTTCAGAGTATTATGGTAGGTTTTTTTGTCAAATTTTCTTCTTGGTTTCGTTTCAATATCCTTTAGTGATTCTCATTTTAACTTGCAGAGTGGTTATGACAAAAACAACATTTCATCTATGAAGCTGTCAAGGTGCTCCAATATAAGTGCCACTGCTCTCGAAGAAATTCTCCAGTCATTTACAAGCATAACATCTATTGACATAAGGGGTTGTAACCAGTTCAAGGAGTTGATACTTTTGTTTCAGAATGTCAAGTGGATCAAAAGTCGTTCTTCTCAGAACATCAAGAATCTTGACGAATCATATTCTAAAACAAGAAGTCTCAAATGGATAACTGATAAGAGCTTTCCATCATCAAGACCTTCAAAGGAAGCGATCAGTGATCGGGATGATTTGGGCAATTCAAAAGATCCTGGTGTTCACACATTCCGACAGGGTTATTACAAGCGAACAAGAGTACCTGATGCTTTAAAGTCTTCTTCAGCTTTAACAAGACATGCACAGTTGAGGCAGTTGCTGCGCAAGAAGTCTGTGACTGCTTACCGGAAAATGGAAGAATTCATTGGTCTAAGGTTGAAGGAAATAATGAAGGGAAATACCTTCGAATTTTTTGTGCCCAGGGTACTGTTGAATCAGCACTTCTACAATGTTAAGATAGATGTTTCATATCTTTAGTGCTTTCTCACGAAGCTCATTTTTATCATACAGGTTGCTGAAATTGAAGATAAGATAAGAAATGGTCACTACGGTCGCCATGGTCTTAATTCTGTCAAGGAGGATATCAGTAGAATGTGTCGGGACGCATTGAAGTGAGGATCCTTGATTTTCTCTTGTTAACAATGACATGTCTTAGAATCTAAATAATTTAATAGTTTCTTAGATTTGTCCGATAAATGATGTTTGCTAATCGATCTTTTTACTCTTGGTCGTAAGTATATTTTGGCTCTGTTGTTTTGAATATTACGTGCTACCTTTATTCCTTTTCTTTTGGTTTCTGTGAAAAATATAAAACGTTGATTAATTCCTTCCATCTGTTCTGTCTCTCTGAAAATTTAAGAAGTTCCTGGTTTTAAATTCCTACAGGGTGAAAAAAAAGGGGGATTCAGGGGAAATGAGACAAATTATCATGTTGTTCTGCCAGCTGGCCAAGAAATTGGAAAGTTCTAAGTCATCCCACAAATATGATGAGATGCCAAGGTCCTTACGAGACAGATTAGAAGCAGGACTTTCAGAAGTTTCCAAGCACAGGAGAAAGTACAGTAGAAATGTGAGTGACAAGAAGGGTATCAATAAGAGTACTAAGTCTTCCTCCTCTGCTAATGGTGGAATTGATTACGAGTCGTCTGCAATCGATCAAGAAATTAAAAAGAGCCTTTCAAAATTGAATAGACGGCATATGGACTCTGAAAGTGAAACCTCTGAGGAAAATGATCTTACTGAGTATGACACAGTTAGTGATAGTGATGGTAAAACATCAGACACAGAAAGTGAATTGGATAGTCAGTTGGAAGGTAGAACGGATGATGGTAAAGATTCATCCTTAATATGGGAGGAGTCCCTGGATTCCATTGCTGATGACCGTGAATGGGGTGCACGCATGACGAAAGCCAGTCTTGTCCCTCCGGTTACTCGCAAATATGAAGTTATTGACCAGTATCTTATTGTAGCTGATGAAGAGGAAGTGAAGCGGAAGATGGCTGTTGCCCTACCTGAGGATTATGAAGAAAAGCTTCGGGCACAAAAAAGTGGTCTGGACGAATCTGATATGCAGATTCCCGAAGTGAAGGATTACAAGCCCAGGAAAATGCTAGGAGTGGAAGTCATAGAACAGGAGGTGTATGGTATAGATCCCTATACCCATAACCTTCTTCTTGATTCAATGCCTGATGAAGCAGACTGGCCGCTTGTGGAGAAACAGAACTTCATTGAAGAGGTCTGTTAATGATTTTGCTAACGTTTTGCGTTATATCTTGCTGGTTTCATCTGTTGTTTTCCAACTGTTGCTTGTTTGGGTTTAGGTTCTCCTTCGTGCTTTAAACAAGCAAGCAAGGCATCTAACTGGTTCTGGCAGCACCCCTATGATTTATCATTTAAAATCCGTTCTCGAAGAAATTAAGAAGACTGCTGAAGAAGGTGATGAATCACGGCTGGTGAAACTCTCCAACGCTATTTTGAAAGCCATGCAAAGTCGTCCAGATGATAACTATGTTGCTTACAGAAAGGTATATGCGTCGTGCAGTGGTTTCTCATGACTGTTTCCTTTGACCTTCATTCACTTTCGTTCCTTTTTTTATATCTTGTTCATCTCTTGGTTTGTTGGTTCTAGGGACTCGGTGTTGTATGCAACAAAGATGGTGGTTTTGGTGAAGATGATTTTGTGGTGGAGTTCTTGGGTGAGGTAATTTTCTGCTTCATGTTTGGAGGAAGATTAAGAGAGTTTTACTACTATGTCGACAGTTTGAATTCTGTACATTTTTATGTATGTTGGGGCTCTTAACTATTTTCTGTTGTATGTTGAATTTTCATTGACCTGGCTTCCTGCCGGAAGCTGCTTTGGGCCTTTCGGAAATTGCTGATGTTTGTTTCTCACTTGGGTGGCATCTAACTAGAAACCTGGGAGCACCGAGGATCCGTTGGATCCTCGGTGCTCCCAGGATCTTCTGGGAAAATGCTCCGAGGATCCGTTGTATGGGATGATTATCCCGAAAGCCCGGCCTAATAGTTATTGTCTCAACTACATTTTCAAACTTTCAGATAAAACAGCTCCCGGCGTGAACATGTGGCAAGCACTTGATGGTGGTTGCTTATAACTTTTTTCTTGGAGACCAAGCGAAGGGATGTTCTGACTTTCCCTTGATATACCATGGTTCTCTGTCTTGTAGCCTAGAACCTTAACAGACAAAATCTCGAGTTACATTTTTAGGATACAGCTGAGGCGAGCATTTGGGAGCACCCAAGGAAGGGATCGTATTTCTTTCCTCAAATTGGCTGAAGTTTCAAGGTGGTTAGGATGAAAGATCCTCCATCCACTCCACATTGATGGGAAGAACGAACAACATTCATGACCGTTAGAGATTATTTTGGTCTCCTATCATTAACTCTTTTTTTTTCTACGGACATTCATTCCTTTAAAAAAAGGTTATAATATGTTATTGGTACCTTGTTGTTGGTCCTAGGCATCATTTAAAACCAGGAGCTCATGTGAGCTACTTCACATGATGGGCTCCAGAATCCAGATGAATTAGTTTTTTATTCCTTCTTAAAAGTTTCCACTAGTTGGTGGTCTGCAATACTTGCGCTGAACTGTGCATTATGGATTTCGGAACGTTGACTAAATACTGCTTGAAATTGCTTTATGTTTCTTCTGGATTCTCTTAGTAGCTTCCTTGCTATTGGATCACTTGTGTTTATTGCATCTAGTTAACCGCATTCGTTTAATTTGCACTTTCACTAAGATTTTTCTCCTTTACTCGCTGTATGAGCCACCCAATATGGAATCCTATTGTCATAGGTGATAGTGATCGCTAGTGTTACATGCGGAAGCTTCATCGCCTGAAAGAGGTGTGATGAGCTGAACTTTGCTACATAGTTGTGCAAATGGGCCTGTAATCAATCCGTGGCAAACCTGTGGTTGAATGAAACCCCGAACCAGGATCTTCTGATCTACGGTCGGTCATGATGGTGGCAGGATGTGGGCTCTGTGTCTTTGACTCACCCCTGATCTACCATTCTTCGTTTCTCCATAATTCATCGCCACAGCTTCGATCCTGCTTTTGTATTTGATGTTTCGGGTTCATGCTATTCAGGTTTATCCAGCTTGGAAATGGTTCGAGAAACAAGATGGAATCAGGTCCCTGCAAAAGAACAACAAGGATCCCGCACCAGAGTTTTACAACATATACTTGGAGAGGCCTAAGGTTTATATGTTTTCTTCTTCTTCGTCCTCCCTGAATCTAAGCTGCCCCCACCGCCCCTCACATCAAGCTTTAAGCTGTTTCGTCCACTTCGTCTTTTCTTCAGGGTGATCGTGATGGGTATGATCTGGTTGTGGTTGACGCTATGCACAAAGCAAATTATGCAAGCAGAATCTGCCACTCGTGTCGCCCTAACTGTGAAGCGAAGTAAGTTCGCGTGCCACCCTTTTTATTAAGCTTATCTCGCTTGTTGCTACTGCATCCAATAATGCGTCCCCACCCCAATGAGGGAGTCAACGTCTTCTATATCCTTTTGACATTCGATTCATTTCATATCCTATTCTTTTTCATCGGCCTGATTCTGTTCCAGCGTGAGGGCATCTCTTGCAATCTCTGCTTTTTCTTCATGTTTTTCGTCATGTTTCGTAATGGTGGTTGATGATTTCTTCATCCCATGCCATGCGTTTCTTGGCAGAGTCACGGCCGTTGATGGTCAGTACCAGATTGGAATCTACGCCCTTCGGCCGATCGCTTTTGGTGAAGAGATCACCTTTGATTACAACTCCGTCACAGAGGTGGGCGCCTTCCCCTTCCACCATTACCACCATGATTTCATCGTACGCAGTACGCCAGACCCACCCTAAATGCTATTCTCTCTCTCTCTCTCTCTCTCTCTCTCCTGCAGAGCAAGGAGGAGTACGAGGCGTCTGTCTGCTTGTGCGGCAGCCAAGTTTGCCGGGGAAGTTACCTGAATCTTACCGGCGAGGACGCCTTCCACAATGTGCGACTCTGATGTCTAGATTTCCAAGTTATTTTCATTGGCGATGACCCAGATCAGCATCTATTGTTGGGCATTATGCTGACAGTAGATAGTTGACAATCAATTATGATATGATCAGGTGCTGAAGGAACGCCACGGGCTGCTCGATCGCCACAAGCTGATGCTGGAGTCCTGTGAAGCGAACTTCGTCTCTCAAGAAGATTACATCGACTTGGGGAGAGCCGGTCTGGGCACCTGCTTGCTCGCCGCCCTGCCCGACTGGCTCATCGCCTACTCCGCCCGCCTGGTGTGGATCCGCCGCCGGTCCCTCCCACCGCCCGCCACGGGCCACGTCTCTGCTCCTCCTCACCACCCTGTGTGTTTTCTCTGTTGCAGGTGAGATTCATGAACTTTGAGAGGACGAAGCTGCCCGAGGAGATCCTGAAGCACAATCTGGAGGAGAAGAGAAAGTTCTTCACAGACATCTGCCTCGAGACCGAGAAGATCGAGGCCGAGAACCAGGTGAGTCTCCATTCCATGCCCGTCGTGCGTCTCTCCCTCCGAGAAGAACGAGGCTGTGATGTTCTTGACTGCTTTCATGTCGCTGCCAGGCGGAGGGTGTCTACAACCAGAGACTCCAGAACCTGGCGCTCACCCTCGACAAGGTAATCAATCAACCCACAACCCATTTGAATTAAAGCTCTGTTCTTCTCAGATACAGATTCCATGGTTCTTCGTACATCATTCGTTCCAATATTTTGATATCCTCCGTGTTACAGGTGAGGTACGTGATGAGGTGCGCGTTTGGGGATCCGAAGAAGGCACCGCCGCCGCTGGAGAGGGTCGGGCCGGAGATGCTGGTGGCCTCGCTCTGGACGGCGGAGGACTCTCTCGTGGAGGAGCTCCTCCAGTGCCTCTCTCCCCACCTCGAGCCCCCCGCCCTCGACGAGCTCCGAGCCAAGGTCAAAGCCCGCAGCCCCTCCGGCCCCGACCTCCCCGCCGAGCTCAGGAAGTCTCTCGTCTGGTAGGCCCCCCTTCTCTCTCTTTCTCTCTCTCTCAGAAGCAGCAACCTGATCTCTCTCATCACATCTCACCGCGGTCGCAGGCTGAGGGACGAGCTCCGGGCGATGCCCTGCTCGCACAGGTCCCGCAACGATGCGGCCGCTGACCTCATCCACCTCTACGCCCACACCAAGTGCTTCTTCCGCGTTCGGGTGAGTACCTTTTTCCCCAGAGAAGGCAGAAAGAAAAACCCATCAGCAGAGGCAGGCAAAAACGTGATCTTTCTTACGTTTTTATGTTATGGTGATGGTGGTGGTGGTGGTGGTGGTGGTGTGTGGTGCAGGAGTACAAAGCGGTGAAGTCGCCGCCGGTGTACATCAGCCCGCTGGATCTGGGCCCAAAGTACGTGGAGAAGATGGGGCCGGGCTTTCAGGAGTACTGCAAAAGCTACGGGGAGAACTACTGCCTGGGGCAGCTGATATTCTGGCACAACCAGACCAGCGCCGAGCCCGACTGCAGCCTAGCCCGCGCCCGCCGCGGCTGCCTCGTCCTCCCCGACGTCGCCTCCTTCTACGCCTCCTCTTCTCAGCGCCCCCCCGCCGAGACCCTCTACGGCCCCCGCACCGTCCGCTTCATGCTCGCCAGGATGGTCAGCACCCCCCTACCCTCTCTCTACGATCCTCTCTGGCCAGGATGCTCGCCTGGTTGGTTGTTGTTTTGGCATTTCACTAAAAACCCACCCTCGTCCTCTCTCTCTCTCTGTTCTTCTGCCTGGTTTTGATTGTGGTTTTGGGTGTTGGCAGGAGAAGCAGGCGCAGAGGCCGTGGCCCAAGGACCAGATCTGGCTCTTCCGCGGCTCCCCGCGGGTCCTCGGCAGCCCCATGCTGGACGCCGTCCTCTCCGCCTCCCCCCTCGACCGCGACATGATCCACTGGCTCAAGACCCGCCCCCCCGTCTTCCACGACCTCTCCTGATTCCTCCCCCTCCTCTGCCGCTGCCGGTGGTTGTACAGATTTTCCCCGCCCTCTCAGCCGCCGCCGCTTCCTCGCCTTTTACTGTACAGCTTAGCTCCACCTCTGTGTAATTTGTGTTCATCATTGAATGGGGCATTTGGCCCATTTGTTCTTTTTTCGGTCATCCCTCCCGGCGCTGGCGCCATTTTGAAAACGCTCACTTTTTCTTTCGTCTCCTCAGCCTGACCTTCGCACCGAGGGCTGGCGCTGTCGTCATCAAGCGCCTCGGTAGTGGCGCCGTCGCCAGCCTCCGCCGAAGATGGAGACCTCTCAGGCAGACCCCATTTATTGCACCGGCGGCGCCGCCGCTGCTGTCACACTCTCGTGGGTTCCCCCGCCGGCCGGCCGCTGCGGCGGCGGTGGCGGGGCTTCTCCGTTCTTGGAAAACATAGATTTCTGGGGTACATGGCAAGAGGGGGAGGGGGGGGGGGAGTTGCCCCACCCCCCCTCCATTAATGACGACACATGGAGATGAGACGGTCGGTGCCCACCGCCCTGAGCCGGGGCTGGACCACAAACAATACGGGAAGATGATGGTGATGATGATGATGATGATGATGATGATGATGATGAAGAATAGGAAGAAGAAAGGACCTGGCGTAGCACAGTCTCTCGTCTCACTCATCTAAGAGTTTCTCTGCTTATCCGGGGAGGAGAGGAGGAAGGAGAAGACGACAGGTCGGCGAGCGAGTGCCCCCTGGTTCTAGGGTTTTTCCTGTTGGAGTTCAAAAGTTGAAGCGGCGTGTGGATCCAATCCAGGATTGAGGAGGAGCAAGGAGCAGCAGCAGCAGCAGCACGGGTTTTTCCTGCAGGAGCTTCTGACAAGAGAAGTGGAGGGGCCTGCTACTGACTACAGTCCAAGGGAGCTACAGAGAACGCCGGCGACACGGCCGCCGGCGCCGGAGAAGACGACGATGGCAGCGGCGGCGGTGGATTCCAGCAGCTCTCTCTCTCTCTCTCTCTGCTGCTGCTGCTAAGAAGGAGAAGGCCTGCAGATGACGACGAAGCAGGGGAGCAGGGCCCTCGGGTTGAGCAGATAGAGCTCCTCGATGTTGGCGTGGAGGCCCACCTTCCCCGCCAGCGAGTCGAATCCCGCCAGCGGCGGCGGCTCCCGCAGGTCCTCCACCGGCCGGTGCACCCTCCCGGCGATCACCCTGCACAGCACCAACGCCTTTCTCCCTCCGCCGGCGGCAGCGGCCGCGCCCCCGCCATCGCCGGCGGCGGCGATGGCCTCCAGGGCCCTCCCGCTGGTGGAGGTGGTGAAGACCCCGATCGTCCCTCCCCTGGCCGAGAAGCCCTGGCGGATGATGCGGCAGACGCTGCAGCCCTCGGCGGAGCAGACGCTGGCGGCGCCACCGGCGCCGAGAGAGCAGGCGACGGTGGCGCCGTGGAAGCGGAGGAGCTCGTTGCCGTCGGCGAGACAGCGGGGGTGCTTCTTGGGGAGCTTGGAGGCCCTCTGCTTCACCATCTCCCGGTGCTCCTCGAACCTCGCCAGGGTTTTCTGCATGTTGTGCACCTTCAGCACCCTCTCTATCATCCCCCCCGCCCCCCCGCCGCCGCCGGTGCCGCCCTCCGCCGCCGCCGCCTTCGCCCAGCTCGTCCTGCAGATTATCTCCACGATTTTCCTCGACGAGTCCCCCTCCGCCAGCTCCGTCACTGCAACCCACCGCCGTCGTTGAGGCGTGAACCAGTGGAGGAAGAAGAACCCACCAAGAAGAAGAAGAAGAAGAAGCAGAAGAAGAAGAAGAAGAAGAAGAAGAAGATGATGATGACGATGATGATGACGGAGGAGGAGGAGAAGAAGAAGAAGAAGAAGGAGAAGATGAAGTACCGGCGTGCTTGGAGAGGTGGTGGGCTTCCATGGCGTCCCACCGGCCGAACTTCTCCCCGCACCGGTGACAGCTGACCATGGCTGAGCACCCGAGGGACCCTCCCGCCGCCGCCTTCTGCGAGGCCCTGGCGGCGGCGCCGCCGAACACGGCGTCGGAGAGGGCCGCCGTTGTCGTCTTCCTCGGAGGGGTGGTGGCGCAGGGCGCCGCCCTCAACGACGGGAAGTAGTTGTGGGAGGCGGCGGTGGAACTTGCGGTGGTGGTGGCGGCGGCGCCGCCGCCGAAGCCGGTAATCCGGAGCTCGCAGGTGGAGCTGCTGAGGATGACCTCGTGGGCGATGGGGTTGACGAACTCGCTGCTGCCGATGGACCTGGGGCTGCAACTCGGGGGCCTCTCCAGGTGGCGCTTGCTGCCATGAATGACCACGTCCTTGAGGTTGGCGATAGACCTCGAGCAGCCCGACCTCCCAATCTTCCTCGTTAGGATGCCCGCGGTTGCGGCGCCGGCGGCCTTCCGCTTGGGGTCGTACACCTCCGAGGGCTCCGATTTGCAGTGGAGGGACCTCTTGAGGGCGAACCACACCGTCGGCATCTTCTTCTTCCTCCTCTGCTCCTCCTCCATCGTCTTCATCGCCGCCGTCTGCAGCTTCCCCCCATCACCGACCGAGCTCCTCCGCTACCCGCCATCGCCGCCCTGGATCGTGGGTAGTTCCTTCTCCGGCGGCGGCGGCGGCGAGGATCGACTGGTTCAGAATGGGGGGGGAGAGAGAGAGAGAGAGAGAGAGAGAGAGAGGGGAGGAGATGTCCCTTTCGAATGGGGTGGTTGTGGGGTGCGGGGGGGGGGCCGGCGGCAGGATGGTGTGGGGTTTTGCCCTATTCTCCGGCTGCGTGCGGCGCCCCCATAATGGAGCAGACTTGCAGACAGGTTCAGACAGCGGCGACCGGACAAGAAGAAGACCTCTCTCTCTCTCTACCCCTCTCTGTCTCCCACTCTCTCTCTCCACCCCTCTACTTCTTCCCCAACTCTCCACCGATAAACGCGACTACTTTCATCTTCTGGGTTTCATACTTCGCTCTTTAAATCCTTCACCCCCCCTCCTCTTTCTCTCTCTACCTCTCTCTACCCCTTTCCTTCTTCCCCAACGGTCAACCGATAAATGCGACTTCTTTCATCCTCTGGGTTTTATAATCTGCTTTAAACCCTTCAGCCCCCCGCCTTTCTCTCTCTATCCCTCTCTCTCTCTCTCTACCTCTGTCTATTCCTACATCTCTTTCTCTCTTCAATCTGCTATTGAACGGAAGACGTGTTCAGTCGCATGTAATATATATTCTGCTCATTCTGTCTAAGGAGGGCGTGGGAGTGAATAGGCGGGATTTAAGAGAGAAAATAAAGGTGAAAATGAGTAATTTTTGACTGGTTCTCTGATTGGATGGGCATTTAAGGCCGAAGCGTCGGGACGCGCTCCCCGCCTGCCGGCCCACTCAAACCGTGCAATCTCGGCCGTCCGTTCACTCGAAATCAAGCGGCGCATGATTTTTACAAAAATAATTGGTTTTTTAGTCTGATTTCGTCATTTAAATAATCGGGCAGGATTTTAAAAATAAGTTTAAATGGGATTTTATTAGGAAGTGGGCCGAAAATGGAGTGGTTCAAGCCACTGGGCCCAATTAGCAGGGTTGGGCCCATCGTGGGTTCTAATGGCGTGTTTTGAAGTAATCACCAAGTTAATCGTGGTTAATGAGTTGGATTCTCTCTGCTCTTTTGAAAAGGCCCGCCCACCGCCTCTGCCTCCGCTTGCCCTAGAAAGAAGGGGGGACGTGGGAGCGGGAAGAAAGACATGGCGCCGCCTCGCGCCGCCATGCAGCCGACGAAACCGTCGCCGTCCCCCTCCTCGTCCGGCTTTTCCTCCACCTCCTCCGAAGAGGAGGAGAAGCCGCAGGCTCAGGCTAGCTTTCTCTCCCCACCCGGGAAGAAGCCACTCACCGCGGCGGCGCCGCCGCCGCTTCCCCCTTCTTCACTCCGCTCCGGCAGCGATGAGGAGGATGAAGAGGAGGAGGAGGATGGCGATGGCGATGGCGTTGAGTACGAGCCCCCTCCCAGGCCTCAGAAGGCCGCGCGGCCTACTCTGAGCGAGTCCGAGTCCGAGTCCGACTCCGACGCCGTCGTGCCGCCGCCTGCAGGTGGGAGGAAGATGGAGGAACCAGAAGTCAAGGAAGAGGAGGAGGAGGGCGGCGCCGTCAGTGGACGATCGGGGAAGAGGCCGTTCCAGAGGGTGTGGAAGCAGGAGGACGAGATCGCACTGCTCAAGGGGATGGCGGAGTTCCAGGCGGAGAACGGCGGCGCCGACCCCTCCTCCGCCGTCGACGCCTTCCAGGATCTCCTCCGTCGCCGGTCCATGCGTCTCGAGTTCAGCAGGTCCCAACTTGCCGACAAGATGCGCCGCCTCAGGAGGAAATACGAGGTTAACCTCCTCCGCGGGAAGAAAGGGAGCGGTCCGTCCTTCTCCAGGGCCCACGACATCGCCGCCTTCGAGCTCTCGAAGACCATCTGGCCGGGGAAGGAGAGGGCGAGCAACGCGGCTGAGCCCTGCTACCTGATGCTCCGGGAGGGGGTGGCGATGGTGGCGAGGGAGTGGGGGGAAGGTTCGCCGGCGGGGAAATGGATGTGGAGTGCCCTGCAGTGCCTGAAACCCGCCACCGCGAGGGCCTTGGAGGAGCGGTGGAGAAGGCATTTCATCGCAGGCATGAAGCTCCGCCTGGAGAGATATGATCTGACAAAGGAGCTCCTTGGGGCCATCGTCGGTCAGCCCTGAAACCAAAACCAGTCGGACGGATTCCTCACCAGGTCTGTCCCCCTCCTCCCCGATTGAAGGAAGCTCAAGATCGAGGTTTCCTTCTTCTTCTGCATCATCTGGTTGATCTCAATCCGCCGTCCTTGTGCAGAATTTTTGGCCTGGAGTTGCGCCATTCATGGGTGTCCTTCATGGAGGGAAGCTCTGCTGCTGCTGCTGCCGCTCCTTCCTCTGCGTCGAATCCGCCGTCCTTGTGCAGAACTTTTGGCCTGGACTTGCGCCATTCTTGGGTGTTCTTCAGGGAGGGAAGCTCTGCTGCTGCTGCTCCTTCCTCTGCATCGAATCCGCCGTCCTTGTGCACAATTCTTGGCCTGGAGTTGCGCCATTCTTGGGTGTTCCTCAGGGAGGGAGGAAGCTCTGTGTTTGCTGGTCGATTTTGCCACGTCCTGTGAATGCATACTCTTGAGAATGCATTACCGGGAATGGGTTCTCTTGCTGGCCGGCAGGCTTTTCTTTTAAAGAATTTTTTTAGATCATTCAGTCTTGTTTCTGCTTTCAAGGGGGGGTGGGGTCCACCTGATGGCCACCCCATATCCACGTGGCACTCTATCTTGGTTTGTGGGCCATTGGGCTATAGCGAGGGATGACCCATTAGTGGCGCATGGGGAAGCCCAGGGTTGGGCCTATAATGCGATGACCTTAATGGGCCTATCTATAGATATGGGGGCCCGGTGGGGATGGGTATCTAATGCCGGTGATTAATTAAGTTGAAAAAAGATGGCAGGCCCAATAAAGATGGGCGGCATCTGCAGTGGGGGCCCACTTGAGGGAGGTGGGCCGCGAAGCCAGGGAAGCCCACGGCCTTCCTTTCTGGGTTGTCAGGTGCTTCCCTTTGCTTTGCCAGTTGTGGAGAATCTAACGTCGACGGCTTTCCTTGCCTTTCCTTCCCCCGCGTGAGGAGGAATCCAGATACAGAGAGAAAGAAGAGAGAGAGAGAGAGAGAAGAGAAAAGGGAGAGAGGATTTTGGTTATGTACCCTTGTTATATCATTGCACTAGAAAACTATCGTGGAAGAGGAGTGAGAGTGAAAACACGCGAGAGAGAGAGAGAGAGAGAGAGAGAGAGAGAGAGAGAGAGAGATGAATGTAGCAGGGGAGGCAAGAGTGAGCAGATACATATATATATATATATATCTATATGGGTTTGCGTTCATACCCTCGGTCAAATCGAAAAGAGTACCTATCATGAGGAAGAGTAAGAGTAAGGCATATCGAGAGGTTTAGAGGGAGAGAGAGAGAGAGAGAGAGAGAGAGAGAGAGAGAGAGAGAGATCGTCCAATTTGACTAAAAAATGTCAAAGGGGAGGAAGGCAAGTGTGGGGACAGGAGATTTGGGCGCATCATTATTCCTCTTTTAGTATTATTATATGCAGAAGATATCATGGGGGAGAGAGGGAGAAGAGAGAGTTGGAGCAGATTACTGATAAAACCCTAAAAAATGGAGGAGGCCTTCGCCTTTAAAGGAGTTCGCTCGTTACAGGCTTAACTCACAGAGGAGAACCTCGTTTTCAGAAGCTGAAACTCGAAGGATCTCTCTCTCTCTCTCTCTCTCTCTCTCTCTCTCTATCTATCTCTCGTCTTCGACAAGATGGTTATCAAGGCCGTGGGCTGCCTCCTGATACTGATACTCGACGTGGTCGCCGGCGTTCTCGGCATCGAGGCTCAGATATCTCAGAACAAGGTCACTCAGCTCTCTTTCTCTCTCTCTCTCGCTCTCTCTCCTCTTCTGATATCAAACAAGATTGGCAAAAATCCCATGATTTCTCCACAAAATTCGTTCGAGTATGAAAAACACAGAGTGCAACTTGTCATTTCATTCGCGCGATCACCTCCGACAGATGGAAGATAAAAAAAAATCTAAAAAAAGATTCTGAGATTCTGGGCAAATCTCCTCGCTTCCGTAATTAAAAGAAATGGACAAAATCCGACGGTTTTCTTCGCATAATTCGTCAAACTCTTTGATCGTGATCTTCTTTTTGCCGATATTTCTTGGGTTGTTAGTGTTTCTCTCTTCTGCTCTTCAGGGGAAGCATGTGAAGGTGCTGTTCTTCGAGTGCAAGGAGCCCAGCCATGAGGCCTACAGGCTGGGGCTCGCGGCGGCGGCGCTTCTAGGGGTCGCCCACGTCGTCGCCAATCTGCTGGGGGGCTGCAACTGCATCTGCTCCAAAGAGGAGATGGGGAGGTCCTCTGCCGGCAGGAAGTTGGCGTCGGGGGCTCTCATCGTCTCATGGTAATCTTCGCCGCAGGTTCTTCCTCCCAGATGTCTGTTTGGCAAAGAGAGGATGCGTGATCTCTCTCTCTCTCTCTCTCTCCTCCCATCCCGTTCCTTCTTCTGTATGGAATATCTCTAAAATCCTTGCCAAAGTGAGTCTCTTTTTCCTTTACTCCTTCCTCTCTCTCATCGTCTGTCCTGAATTCATCTAAAACCCCACGCCATAGGAAGCCCTTATTCTTTCTTTTTTCTCTCGTTTCTCTCTCTACCCTCCCTCTCCTCCGTAACGATTTCTGTAAGAACCCATGCGAGACTCAGCCTTTTCTCGGTGTAAAGTGAACCAGAATTTCGCTCACCCCATCAAAACTTCCTCACCCAATTATCTTCTTCATCATCATGGGCAATATACATGAAAAAAAATCATTCTTGGCAGCGAAATTGGCTTTTTTCTCGCACAATAAAATCTCCACGACTCGGCCATCCATATGCCATCTGGTTTATTTCATGTAAGACTCGATGAAACCCATTATCCATATCCGTTGCCGCCTGAATAACCCTCACTAACTTGGAGCAGGATCGTCTTCCTGGTGGGCTTCTCCCTGCTGCTCACTGGGGCCATGTCCAACTCCAAGTCCCGGGCCACCTGCGGGCTGGCCCACCACAATTTCCTCTCTGTAGGCGGCATCCTCTGCTTCGTCCATGCGCTCTTCTGCATGGTCTACTGTGGCTTGGCGGCAGCAGCCCACTGGGAAGACAAGAGGATGAGGCGGAAGGAGGCCGCGGCTCACACGAACAGGGAGGAAGCGCCACGTGTGGGAGACGGGCACCCGGTGGCGATCCAAAGCTGAAGGGCAGTGACCATCATGATATCATGGAGGGGATGTTGTCCTCCCAAGTTTGTACCTCTACATCGGCGATGTTGTTTGAGCTCGCAGTGTCGATGACGGTCATCCAAAGTTGGAGACCTTTGGTTCACTATTCACGGTGTGACTGTCTTCTAATGGTCATGTGTGTGTAAGTGACCGAGGATTTCTCCGAACTATGTAAGTTTCTGGTGCAACATTTATTCGTGTTTTTTTCACTTGTATTCTATCTTGTTATATCGATGTATTTTTTTTTGATTCCTTCGGCATATCCACACTTGGTGGGTATCATGTTTTGCAATTCATCTTCCATTGTATTTGTACCTCTGTTATTACAACATTTAGTATCAAACCCACGTTCGTGTTACTTTACCAGGTTTGATGCTACAAATATATCAACGAAAAAGTTTAAGCTTTCAAAATTCAATGACAAGATTGATTTTTGTTTTAAGATAGAAGAGGGTCAAGGCTATCCTAGAGCTATAAGGATTACACAAGACACTTTATAAATAAGAAATACATAAATTTTTGAGTGATGATGACTATATGTATTATATTTGAAAGTATTGTCAAAGTAGATATTGCTATTAATATCTGGAAGAAGATCAATAAATGTCAAAATATCTTGAAAAATGAGTTATATTTGAAGAAGTTGTCTTCATTTAATAAACTGATCTCACAACTTCATAATTTAGAAGGTAAGGTAGAGGAAGGGGATCAAGCTATTTTTCTCCCCTCTTCACTACCTTAGTATGATGATCACTTTGTGACCACAATCGCACTCAGAATTTAATAGTAGATAGTTTGAGTCAAGATATAGGGTACTAAAAAAAAAAGTGGCAAGAAAAGTTGATTCAAATGTAGGTAGAAGGAATGATAAATGTCACTAATTCAATGGAGATGGTAATTGAAAAATAGATTGTCTTGAGCTTCAAGATGAGTTGACGTAAAAAGGAAAAGAACTAGTTGCAGAAACTAGAATCACTTCTTATTAAGTATGGATCACTATGACCAATTATTTATTGATTTTGAATGCTCCTATCAATATGTGCCTATTTATATATATATATATATATTTTGTGTATCTCATAAAGAATGTAAAGTTCTCAAGGGAAATAATAAAAAGGGTAAAATTGTTGGGATAAGAACTAAAAAAATCAAGATGTTTGATGCAATCATTATATGTTTGAAACATGTTGTGTATACCTAACCTAATAAAAAAGTCTTATCCCTTTATGTGATGATCTTGATGCAAATGATTATTTTAATTAACACTATTTTAAAAATAAAATAAAATAAAATAAAATAATATGAAGGAAGAGAAAAATAGACCACTATATAAGTTTCTCAGTAAAACTATAACAAATGATACTCAATTATTACATCTTAGTTTGAAGATGATAAAGTGATGTTGGAATTACACAATAGAAAAATATCCAAGGTTATTATATCTTGCAAGTTTGATTTTTGTAAATGGTATTCCTGAAAAATAGTACAAGGTTCAATTTGTCATATCTACTGAGAGAAGTAAGAATATTTCTAATCATACATTTGGAATATATCTCCAATAATTGCACATAAGAGCATGATACTGTTTAATTTTTTTGATATTTCTGGAATAAGTCATAAGTGTTTGACACATTTAATCATAAACAAATAAAGATGAAGGAAAAATATAAATATATATTGAACTTTAATGTATTGACAATAATAGAGAGTACATTTGAAATTTTGAAGATTTTTAATTTAAAGAGGACATACTTCATCATTTGACTATCCCACACATGCCATAATAGGAAGTAAGTGAAAGAATGGCCATGATACTATTTGAGAGAGTATGTTGTATGAAATTAATTTTAGGTCAAGCCAACTAACACTGTGTGATATAGTAATTTTTTTGTCTTTACATCATTTGGATATGATAAACTAGTAAATTAATTTATCTACTTTTTTAGATGCCTACTTATACCTTAATGTAGAGTGATGCCTTTTATATTATATGACATTATGAGGTACTAAGAAGGGTTGGTGAATTGGACCTCACTCCATCATTCATTGCTTTATCTTTGAAAGAAACTTGGTTTTTCACACAAAGAGTTTATAGTGGTTTGGCCTACTTGACCTACTTGACCTATTTGACCTACTTGACCTACTTCACTCTCTAAAGGCCACATCTTTAGGGCCCTGATAACTCTCATTAATTACATGATAAAATGCTTAATATTTTATAATTTATTATTTAATTTTACATAAATAGTTATGATTTTATTTAATCTAGAAAAAATTATATTAAACTTATTTATATGGTTATATTGTTAATTTTTAGAAATTACATGATGAAATTGACTATGAAATATTTTGATAGATTTTCTCAATGATTAGTTTTAGTACCAAAATGCTTCTATGTTAATTGCATTTATTTCTAAATTTTTCCTTACTTTTCTTAATTTTTCTTGAGCTTAATAATATAATAATAAAATATAAATACAATAATATTTTCTTTTTTAAGGTTTTCTGCATCAACAATGTATGTAACAAATACAACGAGAAGTTCAACAGATGATTCGACGAAATCGACAGAAATAACACACAAGAAGATGGAAAAATACTGGAGGAGGAAGAAGGGGGCATCTTTGATCTATCTATCACTCCCCACAACTATTTTCTCTCTCCTCCAATGGTGATGAATGTCGAATTCGCCTAAATCATCTAATATGATACAAACGATAGATTTCTTCTCGATTTCTCCCTGATTCAGCCATTATAGAAGTTGAACTTCATCCAAGAACTTGTCCCATTCTTCGCCCGATACAAATAGTGAAGAATTTCTTCCAAGGATCTTTCTTCAGACACCATGGCATGCTCGGAGTCGAAACAACCATCAATTGGTTCCAACAAGTGATAGTTATTGGGATCGTCATTCATCGATTGAAGATTGTGTAGGAATCCATTCGGTACACTGCGCATACACAAATAGATCGAATTCGAATGGAAATTTGATCGTCGACTGTTCCATCCATTCTTCTGTAAAACTTGAATCTTTGCATAATTTTACTTTATTTTTAATTTATAAAAGGTTCCATTCAGTTCTACATTGTGTTACAAATAATTTCTCTTTTAAAATCAAAGTTTATTTCTAAGTATTTTGGCTTTGATTTTAAGAAGTATGACTTGACGTATTTTCGGCGACTCGAATTTGAGGGTGTTCTTCTTGGACTGACGTTGGCTGATGTCATAATCCCTAATTTCTTATTTAGAATTATTTATATTAATTTTCACAATTAAAAATTCTAAAAAATTAATCTATCAATTAAAAATTATAAATATAATTAACTAATTACTTATCTTCCTTATGTTTGACCTGGAAAAGCCTTATAAAATTAAATTAATCTAAATTGGATTATTTCCAGCATTTATAAATTATAAATTTGCTGAATTTTCTTTACATGACAGAAAATATTCAATCAGGCCCTCTAAACCTTTAAAAAATATAATAAATTATCAGACTTCAGCCACCTTCATTGAATTTAAAGGCTTCAGACAAATCAAAAGTTTTCCTCCAAAACCTTTTTCTAGCTCATCTAGAGGAGTACATTCTCTCTTCTAGATTCATTGTTCCAAGGGACTAAATTAGATTAGCAGTCACTCATCTCTTCTAGATTTAACAACTCCTGGATGTTAATAGGATTACCACTCGATTAATTGCCTCTAAATTCAAGTGAGCACAAAATGTGCTATAAAATACAAAGTAAATGGGTAACCATTCTAAATATTGAAGTTCAAAATGTCTAAAGATGTGAAATGATTTACTTGAATGGTGAAGAAACTCTTGGATAAAGAAAATTTTGAAAGCATTATGTCAATGGATCTTCCTTTCTTTTAGATGCCCAAGGATGAAAAATCTTCACATCAACTCAGAGGAAAAGGCTGGTCATGATGCTCTTTTGTCTGTTTTTCTCTCCTTTTGCTCAATACTAATGTGGCCAGAAACACCCTTTTATGTGCAACATATTGAGATGTCTAATGACCACTTGCAAAAAGTGAATAACAATCAGTTTTGGGATATGTTTGTCCCTAAAATTTAAACTCTATAAACAATCATTAATCTTGTAAAACTCATAAAAAATCTGTGTCTATGAATTTTGATGCTCCATTTGTTGCACCATGGTACTCTTTTAATTATTTTTTCAAAAAGTAGATGCATACTTGTGACATTAGCTTGCATCCAAAATCTATTTTTTTCATGTGAAGTAATTTTTTTTAGACCATTTGCTCTTGAGTGAATTCATCTCAATTTCAAGACTTTGTGTAATAACAAAAACTTATATCATCTTAACATACAATTATATTATTTTACACCTTATTGATTTATCTTTGCATATATTTTATCATCACCAAAACTATTTAAGCTCTCAAAGACAGAAAAATAGACGTGTGAAAGCAAAGTAATTTTTTAGGAAATCAGGAGTGTGTCAAGGGTTATACATGATGGAATCCAATAACTAATAAGATATAGCCATTGTTATTTTACTAAATTATCGGATATGGCTATTAGTGAGAATAATACTAGCAACTTGATTCATGTACAACTAAATGAAGTGACAAATAAAATTAGGAAAAAATAAAATGATACTTATGTCACAATGACTATACAATTAAATTAGAAGAATGCTTATTCAAGAAGTGAAGTTTATCACTAAAATTAGAAGAATGCCTATCCAAATGAATATGACGTTATTTTGTCTCTCAAATATTCACGAGGTGAAGTTTATCACTAAAATTTAATAATATTATGGCTAATTCATTTTTTTCTTATCTATTTTGACCTTACAACATTTCAAGAGGCAATTGAGAGTGAGGACAATGCAGAATATTTGATTTTCATAAAAAAATAGATAACTTATATTCAAAAGAATAACACTTTGGTATACCATATTGGTATACTTTATATGATATTTTCGAATAAATTTCCATAAAAATATAATAGTTAAATCAAGCTACTAAAATTTTAAATCTCTTATAACTATCATAGCAAGCATAATTCTAATAAAAAAGCGTTTTAGAGCAATTGATAAAGTTTCAACATTTTGATACCTTTCTTCCACCCAAATTCTTTTTATATTAAAAAAGTCTTATATTTGAGTGGTTCATAAAATTAAAAAAATTAATTTCCCATACACCCTTTTGCAGCTATCTATCTTATTGCTCTTGTAAAGTTTCTATATAAAATATTTCAAATATGCACTTTACATTTAAACTAATAATGAAACCTTTAAGTTGTAAAGGATTTTTTAAATAATTCAGAAAATAAATTAATGATTTCAAATGTAAATAGCATCCAAATCATTGCAAACAAAATATGGTCACAAATATCATCACTAGGGTCTCCTATTGGCACTTTACACCACTCATTTGCAATTGCTTAGAACTTGTAATAATTACATTAAATTCAGGTATGAAGAATAGCAAACTTTGAAAGTAAGGAATGATTCCATGTACAAACCTAATATATATCTATATTATTAAATTCTTAGCATGTGGTGCCTTCATCCCAACACTTTAAATTACATATATGAGCACTTTTCATACTAAAATCATTCTTTCCTATCCTTGAGTATAAAAAATAATTTTGATTTAAAATGTATCAACTAAATAAAATAATGACAGTGTTTATCTTTAAATTTTTTCACGAATCTCAAATTATGAGCATTAGGTATCATCTTTATGTTATCATTTGGACATTTTAAAAGATGCTGCAAATATATCATAATCATTACTTCAAAAAAGAGTGTCTGAATGGGTTCTCAAATTATGTTTAATAAAAATTAATAATTTTATCATTTGATTATACATATATGGATTGATCGTTATCAGGACATTCAGGACAATCAAGGCTCCTGAAGCCAACATCTCTCTCTCTCTCTCTCTCTCTCTCTCTCTCTCTATTATTTAAGGAAAAATAGAGATGGACAGAGTGAGACTATTGAGAATTTTTATTCTTTTTCATGGGAGGTCCTTATTCAAAATTGGTGGGTTTATAGGGTACATCATCTTAAAGAGTTGTTTATCATTGCATTGAGGAAATTTCTCTTTTAAGGTCTTGTTTTGTTTATTCTTTCACTTAAATATTTCTTGTATATATTTGTGAATCATTCCTGCATAGTTTTTACTTTTATTTTATCTTGTTGTGGTTCTTTGTCACACACATGGTGGGTAGCATGTTCTGGGATTCGTCTTCCGCTGTTGGTATCTGTGCCTTTCATTATCACAACATCGATAATCTTTGAATATTTATTTAAAGCTCATGACTTTGAACCTGGTTGCGTCAGTTCCACATAAATACTGATGCACGGTGATAGTCTTTGCTTTGAGGGCGGACAGGGACTGGGGTGAACGGGACCATAATACCAAGATGATGACATTCAACCTGCCAAAGGCCTAAATTGAAGTCCATTGACCATCCCCATCTGTGTCATAATAATAATTTATTTCAACTTTCCCAGCATCTGAATATTATTTTGCAAAGAGCCATTGGGTCTAATCACGTGTTCTCAATAATGTTGATTAATGAGGCCAAATCACCCAAATTGCAATCGTTTTCGTGATTGAAACAAACTGTTTGACATTGCTTCTCAAGGGGAAGCGTGCCAAAGAATGAGAATAGCCCACGCATTTATTGGTACGGTAGAGAGAGAGAGAGAGAGAGAGAGAGAGAGAGAGAGAGAGATGATCCTTGTATTGCCAGAAAAACTCCACACTTCTAGCTCGGATGCTATTGCACATGGAAATCACAAGATCTCGGGTCCCCATGGGCGACAAAGCGGCCGCTGTGGACCATCTTCGGCCTACTTAAACTGCCACAAACTATACATCTTGCTAAGTTATGCCGAATGGGATGTGCCTCCAAAAAGAGGGACAGGTTTGGATTTGCTCAAGGGCCCTGGGTGACGTGTCTGGTTCATTATTTCTCCCTGATTTTGGCGCATGCTTTCCTTCAGAATCTGGTATCCCAAAGCCGAGCAAAATATGCCTCAACATTTTCCCGAAGATTTTTTCAGATAAAAATATGATTTTTGCAGTTCTTATCTTTTGAAGTAACTCATTGAATTATTATACCATTTTTTCTCTCTCACTTGGGTTCACACTCTTGAACTTATTTTACTTGTAGCTACGTCGATCCCTCCGCGTTGTCTTGTTCAAGGACTCATCTCGCCGGTTGACAAATCGATACTTGCTTATACTTTCAGAGGCAAATTTTACATGGATGAATTAATATTTATTTGCGCGAGAAATACAAATCTCCCCAAATCATCCATGATGCAACTATGACGATAAGTTTTAGGCTGATCAAGTTCTTCCTCTCCCGGAAAATCTCAATCCCTAGTTAGCTTTGCAGAGGGGCTTGAACCCCATGGACTCTCCCTCCGCGAGCTCCCCCCAGACGTCTATCGCGCCGAAGCAGGCCATGGAGAGCATGCTGCAGACCATCACGGTGCTCACTGAGAAGATGATGAGCGACGCCCGGCCGAACCTCCCGACGGCTCGCTGGACGACGACAAGCCCGGCAAGGGAGGCGACGAAGCAGCCGGCGGCGAGCCCCGCCGCCTGCGCCTTCCCTTGCATGCCCAGCATCAGGTACTGCACCGCCGACATGGAGGACGAGAAGAGCACCATGAAGGACGAGGTCGCCGCCGTGACCTGGGGGTGAATTCCGATGTGGAGTAGAACGGGGTTCATGAGGAGCCCGCCGCCGATCCCGAAGAGGCCGCCGAGAACTCCGGCGAGCAGCGCCGCCACCGGGAAGATTATCTTCGGCAGGCGCTCGGCCCCTGTTGTTCTTGCCCCCGCTGGTTCCTGCAGTGAAAGTGTTAACGGAGACGCCGATATGGGAGAAGTTTTCTCCGGCGAGCTCACCTTTAGGGGTTCCTCCACGCCGGTAAAGCGCCGCTGGCGGTAGCCGTTCTCGTAGAAAATCCACGCCGTGAAGAGGAGCGCGAGAGGAAATTGGGATAAGGTTATGAACCAGTACCCGAACCCGCACTGGCGTATTCCTGTCACGCTCTGCACACCAGACCAGATGGTATTTGGCATCTTGTGCCTGCTGTGTGTCCTTGAGAGAGAGAGAGAGAGAGAGAGAGAGAGAGTACCTTGCTCGCCTTGTCTCCTCTGAGAGACTGAAGCAGAAGGAAAGCCAGCCAAATCGCAGCCAATTTCCCTATCTTCTTCCATGAAGGAGTTCCTCGACCACCAAGCCCTTCCTCTCCTTCTCCTCCAACTCCAACCAGCAGAGCTTCTTCCTTTCCATCCCCTCTCTCCACCTCGCAGAATCCCCCCCTTCTCGCCGCCGCCGTCTCCGCCTTCCACGCCGCCACTCCCGCTCTGCAGGTCTTGAGGGAAGACCACGCCAGCAGACTCACGAACATCAGCATCACCAGCCACTCCGGGAAGACCACGTGGCAAACCACGCCAGCGGTGACCCCCAGCAGCATCGCCGGCTCCGATAACAGCGCGATGTCGTAGTCAATGGCGGGCCTTCCACCGCCGAAGGTGGAGCTGCGGAAGACGGCGTTGTAGAGGACGTTGGAGGCGGCGCCGCCGGTGACCATGAAGGCGGAGAAGGTCGTGGCGGTTTTCAGGTCCAGGCCCGCCACGAGGTTGAGGATGGGCAGGAAGAGGGCGCCGCCGCCGACTCCGCCGGCGCTGGAGACGGCGGCGGAGGCCAAGCATAGGATTCCGGCCGCGACTGTTGGGAGATCGAGCTTGAGCTCTCTCCCATGGGATCTCCCCACCTGTTGCTCTCTCCACTGTCGTAGCCTGTTCAGAGGGAAGGCCAGGCTATTATGGCGGGACTCTTCTGCTCCAGCGCCGGCGAGGTGAGCGGCGGCGGTGGCGAGCTGCAAGTAGACCACCCATCTGAGGTAATCCGCCCTCCTTCGCATATTCTCTTCTGCTAATTCCCCGCTGCCTCAAACGTGTCACTCGGGCTGCTATATCATACAAGATAGTGGGCCACGGCCACGGCCACGGACACACGCGCGGGATACACGCGTAAAGGAAGAGCAAGAAGACAGCCACGTGGGGCTCCCCTGTTTTATGAAAAAAATATTATTTAACTAGCTGTGAAACCCATAAAATATCCACAGAAGAATAAAATCTGGGTAATTTTCAATTTTAATCAGAAAAATTACTTATGATCTAATAAAAGTGTCACTTTTGGCCACTCGCTCTTCGACATTGGGCACAAATAAGGGGAAAATATTAGCATTATCAGATATAATTAATTAATTAATTAATTAATTTTATCACTGATTGCTGGCGACGGCTGCCGTGGGCAGAACCATATTTTTGACAAAAATCAAGTCTTTCTGAATGCCCTCTTTCAATACTGTGCCATCCTCGAAATCAAAACTAATAGTAATAACAGTAATAATAATAATAATAATAATAATAATAGTAATAATGATAAAAATAGACAGCAAGTGAACAGAATTAATGCGTATCATCAAATTTTCTCCTCTCTATATGAGACATCATGCTCTTCTTCCCTACCAGCCCATGTCCAGATTGATCTCTCTCTCTCTCTCTCTCTCTCTCTCTCTCTCTCCCCCTCTCCCCCCCAAGAGTCAGGGGGGCCAACTGGGGGAGGTGCCATGAAAGGGGAGAAGCCAAGGCTAGGACACTGGGTGGGCCCCACAGAAGAAGATGACGAATGCCATCACCCTCACCGTACGCGACAGAGTTTTAAATGAAGGCATTTTACCGGAGGGGAGAAGCCAAGACCCTCTGCTGTAGCTGTAGCCATTTTACGGGGGCACGTGGCGATTCGACCCCTCCGGGTCCTTTGACCGCCGCCCAGTATCCCTCAAAACGGACCAGGCTTCTGCTCTGCGTTGACCTTCCTCCATCGAAGGTCTGGTCATTCCGTCAAAGCTAGAGAGAGAAAGAGAAATTAACTAGGTTCTGAATAGGATAGTTTGCAGGGACTCAAACCTAATTAACCATGCTAATCCCTCCAAATATGAAAAGATGGGAGCCTGGCTAACGACTAAGGCAGGCTAGAATCAATAAAATATTTGGGGAAGCAAGATACTAAAGCTAGGAATTGGCATAATTATCATAAGAGACATGCGTGATGTATGGTTGCTTTTCCCGCATTAAATATTAATTTAGCAATCCACTCAATATCTTGTAGTACGTAATTACCCAGATAAAGCATTTATCATACGCGTGTTTTTAATAATAATTAAATAAATATAATAAAATCATATCATCTTGAGTTCTTCCAGCTTATTAAAAGTCAAAAGCACCAAGCACATGGAGGGGGGGGTGCTCTTTGAATTCCTTGATGGGTGAATTAGATCTTGGTTCTAGTTAAATTCCCCCCCCCAAAGTCAGAGATTTCATGGAGTTATTAGTGTGGACCAAGCCCTCCGAGAGAGAGAGAGAGAGAGAGAGAGAGAGAGATCATTGCGAAGAAGGGGAACAGCAAGAGGAATTAAAAATGCAACCATTCCACCATGGCCATTAAAATCCAGCAACAAAGATGTATCCTCTCTCATCAGAACACGAGTTCAATTCAATTCAATGATAATGTTTCAGGGATCAGAGGAATTACCTCAGGCCCCAATTGTTCACCGAGTTTTCCAATAATGAAAACTTACCGGGGATCCATGTCCGTGATGGTCAACTCCATCAATGAGTGCTGATCTTTGGGTGGGCGGTCAACCTCAGACGCAACGGGGAGAAACGCCAGATGCGATGGGACATTGAGGCTCATCGAGACGTCATCGAACATGAGGACGATAGAAGACATGGTGGGTCGATTAGCAGGCACTTCTTGAATGCATAAGAGCCCTATCTGGACGCATCTCAGGACTTCTGTCATCTGATACTCGGCACCCAATGACGGCTCGATTATCTCGTTGACTTCTCCAGCAGCCCAATGCTCCCAGACCTAGCAGCCAGACCAATTTCCCACATCAGTCCCCCATAGCAAATATGAACCAGATATCAGATAGGAAAGAGGCCACTCACATAGCCGGCAAGGTTGGCGTAGATATCTGAGTAAGAGAAAGAACTACTCTTTCTACCTGTCACTATCTCAAGGATCAGAATGCCGAAGCTGAAGACATCTGACTTGTACGAGAACTGTCCTTGGAAGACATACTCGGGGGCCATGTACCCGCTGCAAATGATCTCATGCTCTAAGATGCTGGGTTGTACTCGTCACACGGAACTAAACACACGATTAGAAGCTCATCAACCACTCACAACGTGCCGGCGATTCGGGAGGCGCTTGCATGTGTTAGGTCGTTGCCAAGAAGCTTTGAAATGCCAAAGTCGGAGATCTTTGGGTTCATGTTCGCGTCTAGGAGAATGTTGCTGGCCTTCAAGTCTCTGTGAACAATGGTGTAGCGAGATTCCTCGTGAAGATATTGCAGCCCTCGAGCAATGCCTTGGATGATCTTGTATCTTAGTTCCCACGACAGCCGACTACTCTCTGTGGAATCTAACCATTCAAAACGCCTATAATCAATGGAGAGCAATAAATCGGTGGATTATTCTGGTTATTTAGGGGGTAAAAAGTTCAAAACATAGTGTTAGGAGATCTGGGTCATCCCTGTGTGGTCAATCTACAGCTAAAAGATTTCATTGGCTCATTCGGTGGAAGGCTACTTTCCACATGAGGATCCCCAGAGGGGAGATCTCTTGGTTGGGAGGAGCATACCGAAGAGGAAACGGTCGAGGCTTCCATTTGGCATGTATTCATAGACCAGAAGATTTTCTTCTCCCAAGCAGACGCCAAGCAACCTCGCCAGGTTCCTGTGCTCCTGTCTGGCAAGTAGTTCCAACTCATTCCTCAGCTCTTCTATCCCTTGGTCCGACGCTGCTGAAAGTCTCTTGACTGCTATTCTCTGCCCATCTTCTAAAACTCCCTGACAATGAAAACATTCTTCGCGTTGTGGGATCTCCTAACAGAGAAAGGATGAGCGAGGACCCACCAAAACACTTACCATGTAAACCGCTCCAAAGCCGCCTTCTCCCACTTTATTGGAATCGGAGAAGGTTTCTGTTGCAGCTCTGAGAGTTGATGGATCAAAGATCTTGGTGCTTATGTATAGGGTACGGCCACTAGCTGTTGATTAGCCAGAAAAGGTAAGAAATCAAATGTTTCTCTTGTTCTATGGATAGAGGATCATATCTTCGAATGAATAACCTTCCTAGTCTGGCTGATCCCTCCACACAACAAGAGCTTCTGATTATACATAACTACCCACATAGGATAAGATACAACGAAGAATCAATTCAACTGTGGAGCAGGAAAACACCTACAATGTGTTTTCTTTGAAGCCTTTGTCCACCAGATGCAGATGCAGGTGAAAATAGTTACACCACCAGACACTCCAAAGACGGTGATGATGATCCAGATATACTTGCCTGTGAGAATCCGTCCTGCAACAATGAAGCACCAGTTCAGTTGTCAAGCTCGGTACAGAGAAGAGCAACTCAGACTTGAGATCGTTACAAGTTGGAAAAAAAAAAAAAATTAGATTTTTTTTCTCTTCTTCCCTGGCTGCTTCTTTAGATTTCTAATGTTGCCTATTCATGCTCATCTACTTGAGCTAGAATCTCGCTTGAGCCAATGTAATGCAATCGGGAAACCTTGATCAAAGAGAGGAGAAAAATGGAGTTTTTCAGTTCCTTGTTCTCTGTTGGAGATTTGAGTGATTTCGATTCCTTCTTCCTGGAAGACAAGTCAAATCCAAATGAGACAGTTTCTTGGCTTAGCTAGTTGATAAGGTCGCATCAGAGGAGACCCATTGAATCTTCAACGGGGATGATCAGAGAGAATTCCGCTGCACCTTTGGACGTTGGGTAGCTCGGTGATGGCGAAGGAATAACCACTGGCCGTGAAGCAGTAGGAGATGGAGACTCGGCTTTGGGCAAGGGAATTCTGAGCATCGCCGAGTCGTTGTAGAAGGGGTAAACCTCGTACCTAAGAAAACAATAACTTCCCAGTGTTCGTGCTCCCCTCTTGCCGTAAAAAAACTCACGGATCCAGCGGACGTTCTCGGCCAGGCACCGCTGGCAGGACTCCACCGCCTGATCTCTCGTGCACTGCACAAGCCCGTATATCTTGGGTATGTCCTCAGCGAACTCGGCTTCTCCGGTGGCGAATAAGCGGCCAGAGGAGTTGTACGCCGCAAATGAGGCGAGCCCGGTCATCATCTTCCCCAGTTGCTCATTGAACAGGGGGAGTTCCTCGGCGGAGATGTTTTGGACGTTCCACATGGCCGCATCGATCATTGACGAGACTTGAGGAAAAGACCACCGATCCGAGTACCGAAGGAGGCAGGAATCATACCATATTACCGCCTCCTTTCTATACGGGCATAACGCCCGCACGTCGTCCGTCGCTGTGTCCAGACAATGCCGGCATGAATTGGTGCCAACATCGCCCCTGCAGAGGACGAGGCCGTAAACCGTGTCCAGAGGAGTTTCGCCGACGGAACTGGAGATGAAACCACCATTCTCGGTCCCACCGGTGGCGAGGGAAGAGAGGAGAGCTCCGAGATTGACCTGGTACGTGCTGTTGGCTGTGTAATTACCTCTACTATTGGAACAGAGTTTGTAGAAAGATTCGTCGCTGGCGGGGCGAGCAAGAGGGGTGAGCACGAGAAGGGAGACGGCGAGAAGACCCACAAAGGAAGAGGGAAGAAAGGGGGAGGAGGAAGGAGGGGCGCCCATCTGCGAGGCTCCAAACTCCGGATCACATAGCTGCGCACCTCGTGCGAGAGAAAAGCCACACTCGGCAAACCGATCAGCATCCTCGATGGGGAAGGATCTTCCACAGACGATCAAAACACCTCATTTTGCTCTATTCTCGCGTCAACGGCGTGGACTATTGTAGTCAAAGATCGAAACGTTCGAGAAACTTCTGCCCCCGACTCGCTGGCGGCGAGAACGAACAGGAAGAAGAGCGACGACGAGGTCGGTAGGGACCTGTTTCAACTCAGTTACTTACTTTATATTATTTCTTTTGTGCCGTTCTGTTTTCATTAAAGTCCCAGCTGAATCGTCAAGGCCAAATAATTCTATTGACTGTCAGATGCCTTATTATATTTAAACCCCCTACATTTTTACTTTCGACGTTAAACCCCTCTCCAGTTATTTGTCACGAAATGGTAACGTCGCTGGGCTGGAGAAGCCGACCCAATTCGGCCCGTCTTTTTCAAATGGGCCTTGAAAATTAAGAAAAGATGGGCTTTCGACAAAACATGCTCTGGACGCCCATTAATATGTCTCTTATCATCTCATCGCCACCATATAATCCACGCGGTGTTTCGTCCCCCACCCAGCCCTATTCTCTCTCTCTCTTTCCCTTCTCTTTCTTTCTCCCTCTCTCTCGGAAGGGCGTGTATGGAAAGTCAACGCTTTATTATAGCTCGCCCACAGAGCCGTTTGCTCTCTCTCTCTCTCTATCTCTCGGGTAAGGAAAATCAACTCTTTATTTCGGTTTAGCCCATATAGCCATATTGCTGGTTCCTCTCTCTCTAAAGGGCGAGTAAGGAAGGTCAACGCTTTATTTCGGTTAACCCATATAGCCATATTGTTGGTTCCTCTTTCTCTCTCCCAGAATCCCACCATATAATCCACGTGGCGTTTCATCCCCCACCCTGCTCTCTCTCTCTCTCTCTCTCTCTCTCAATCACCATACCTGGAATCTGTGGATCCTGACCCATCCAGATCGGGATCAGGGCCACCAGATCGGACGGCTCCACATCAATCAAACACGGTCAAACACCAGCCAAATCAGACCCATCTAGCCAAGAACTCAGCCCCCCCCCCCCGAAAAACAGATCAGCCTGCCATCGATCAATCTTGATCGAAATCACCAGGTCCCAATCAATGGGCAGTGATCGTGCCAACTCAGCTTCCATCCACATAGCTCTCTCTATACATGACCACCTTCATCAACACCCTCTTTATAAATGTCGTAGGAAGAGAGAGAGACAGGGAGAGAGAGAGAGGAGAGAGAAGCTACAGAAACCCTTCTTTATTTACAACATAAAATGGGATTACTGAGAGTGATGATGGTAGACAGCAATCTAGCAGGGTTATTCACAGATAAGCACAGATGGCTAACCTTGGCGGCCGCATCCCACTTAGCGACGCGAGTGAATTACATATGAACACGGCCGGGTTAATGCAGCCCCCTGGGAGGGAAAAAGAATAGCAGCAGCTGGCCTCCTGAGACAAGCACACTCACTCAAGTCAACAGGGCAACATGCGAGACCAATCAATAATCTCTCTTGAATCAATATCATTCATTCATTTATTTCTTAATTATGACCCATCAAGCATGCTCCACTTGATCTAGAGTATTGGAGCAATGGGTCACTCATCCAATGTTGAAGCAGTTCTTGATGAGTGAGAAAGAGAGTTCTTTTCTGTCATCTCTCTAAATCTCCTCAGATCTCTGCTTCAACACCATCAACTTAGTGAATCATGGATCATAGATACTCATCCATACTATGCACCAACATATATATATATATATATATCTAAAAAAGATCACGAGTATTTGCCCAATAAAAGCACAAAGAAATTAATACCAGATGCAGGAAGATTAGCAGGAAGAGTATGGAGCGAGAGCGAGAGAGAGAGAGAGAGAGAGAGAGAGAGGTTACCTCAGTCTATCTCGTTGTCATCGTCGGCAAAATAGGTCATCATCTTTGGGCTCTCTCTGTTATTTACAGGCTCGAGCTGGGGACCCGTATTCAGGCCATCTCCATTATTTACAAACTCAAGCAGAGCCTCTAGTTCGGAGCTGTTGTTGTTATTTACAAGGCGCTCAACTCGGTCTGCGCCCTCCTCCTCCAGAGGATGAAGACCGGCGAGATCGAGGGTGATCAACTGGTCTAGACCTGCCACCCCTTCAGACCTGCACTGCAGAGGGCTGCAGCTGTTTTCGCAGCTTTCCCAGGCATTTGACCTGAGAAGGTTTTTAATCTTCAGAGAGATCAAGCATGGATTGACAGAGAATCAAAGAACAAATCATATGTGATACCCATCAAAGATCCAACCACGTTTCAACCAAAAAAACAGTATATATCTATATATATATATATAGACCTGTTCTGTTGTCCTTTTTTTTTTTTACCCTAAATGAAAATAATCTTATTGTTGGCTGATGAAACAGCTATCGCCTCTTTTTCTTCAGTTTCTTCCCTACAACAGTTCCTCTTCAGATTTATATTCTCCGGTGCTGGTGTTGTTGTTCTTGTTGTTCTTGTTATACCATCTCCCGTTCTTTCTTGATCATGGCTACGGATCGCAATAAGCCAACAGGAAATGAGAAAAGTGCACAGAGATGATACTACTCCGGTTAAAATTTCTTTCCTCAGATCAAGATGATCAGCAAACTCATAGTTTAGGAGGTTTTGCTCGAATGGCGCGAGCAGAAACTGAAAGAAATTACGATCACAGATGGTTACTTTTTGAGACAGAGGCATCAATCTCATAGGATGAGTAGAGATGAGCAGACGAAACAAACATCTTTCCTCAAAAAGTAATAAGGCTTCGATTTTCTTAACAACGAACAGTAAAGATGCAAATTTGTATGAGAATAAAATGAATCCCTAGAAGATGGAAATTTACCAATAAAGGTCATAATTATCTACTAATGAAGATATTGATCGATCTCGGAGACAGTGGGCACCTTGGTTGTTGTTGCAACTTGGGAAGTTGAAGATAGTCAAAGACAGGTATGAGATCCTTCGACCTTGCTTCAACTGTGCGAGTTGGAATCCTTTCTATCTCGGTCTCCCCACCTGAAAGACTTCCGGGATCTACTTCGACGCCATCATCCACCATAGCTTGAAAGTAAATCTGTCAGGGGAATCCACAGAATCAGAAAATGGGAGACAAGAGATTGGGCCAACAGCCAACTGAAGTGCAGTGGATCATAAGGGTTCTAGAAGGAAGTAACAAGCTAGATGAGTACCTCAGACTTCGCCCATAGGGGAATCTCTGAGTCATGAGAATGGAGCTCAACTTCTGAGATATATAAATGACGTTTTTCATCGGCTGTAAGCTTCAATTTAGCAGCTGCATCATTATCTGCTGGATAAATACTTGTCGACCTTCTTGTTCCTTTATGAAAATGTCTCCCATTTTCTCCACCCCTTTGCTCACCATATATGTCGATGTTCTCTGCTTGATCTCTTCTCTTTTTCTTATGACAGATATCCCATTTTTGAATTGCCTCAACGACTAAACTTGGATCAGAACCATGAGGAGACTCGTTAAAGATGGTGTTTAAACCAGAGATATCAGTCACAGAATCTGCCCCGGTCAAAGGACGTAAAACATACTGTATCACACAACCAGAAGGAGAAAACACCAATAAATGATACTTTGTTCCGAATAAACTTACATCTTGGTGGGAACCAGTGCCATTACAGTTGTGGAAAGCTGAAGCAACAGCTCCACTGAGTGGACTGACCCTGCCAGTAGCAGCAGCCGCTGCACCACTTACAGCACCTTTCCACCCATTACTTCCATTCCTTATTCTGCTTACAGCCGACATTGTTACTGGTGGACCAGGAGAAAGAAGCACGTGCTGATTGGGCTTTGACAAAGGAGAGCTTGTTGGCCAGCGGCCTGCTCCTCTACCAGACCCATCTAATCCATTATTACTATTGATAACGGCAGCATCATTTGAATACGGATTAGTGGTACTTCCTGATGATATCGAAAACAGATGACTGGTTCCACGAGAAGAACTGATCATAATCCACTGGCTGTCATCGCTGAAGCTGATGTCTTGAATAACCTACCATAAAGAGGAACGAGTAAGAACGCAATGACGTAACTTCATGGTGATAAGATGCCGAAATGATATCTACGGATAAAGAGAAAAAATAAATTCCAGAGAGTACTACCGCATTTGTGAAGCCACGCTGGAGTCTGTAAAGATGTGTATATGACCCACAAGCATCGGATCTAGATCTACTACCAGAGGCAGATGGCATAACACGAAAAACGTTGATGTTATGGCCATGAACAGAAGCAGTCACCAACAGGATCCCAGTAGGATCAAAGGATAATGCTGAAATTGGGCTTTTGTGTGCTCTAAACTGCACGACGACGGTTTTCGAAACGAGATCTCGGACTATAACCTGCATACGTTGAAAAAAAAAAAAAACCTGTCAACTGAAATACAATTCCTGAAGGAAGGTTTTAAAACTTTGATGGATAATCACGCCAAAGTTTGGACATCAAGATGAAGTATCTCAGAAGTAGAACATACCATTCCGGCATTTTCTGCATCAGGCAAATGTACATTAACTATGCCATTTTTTCTCAAACTAGAGCTCCCTTGTCTAAGGCCACTTCCATCAGGAAGGAAATCGGAGCAGTACTTGGATAGCTTCTTGTATCCAATATCTCCAAGTGTCATGAAACCAGCAGCAAGTTGCTTACTAGATTCCATTGCATAATGTGCAACCAGACTCCCATTAGGAGATGTTGATAAAACTGTAGTAGGAGTAAGATGTTCCGGACTGACACGGCCAGAATTTGATACAACAACGGGACTTCCACTATAGGCCAACCACCTGGGGCCCACCGCAAGTGGTCCATAGCCTATACCTCCAGAACCAAAAGATTCCGAAACCATTGGGTATGTAAGAATTGTGTATTCCCTCTCCAGGGTTGCTGCATCAAAACAATGTATCTGCGACATGCATCGTTGCTTTAAAATGCTGATTCAGGTAAACAGAAAAGATAAGTTTCTCAAAGTAAGTACAAGCGCATGCTAACCTGATTGGCTTGAGAAACAGCTACAACTCGTGGACCTGATCTTATTGTGTAAATGGCTGATCTAAATTTCAAAACATGTACATAAGCATGGGTCTTTATGGAATAAAAGTGAATAGTAGTAGGAATAAAATTCTCGTTTGCCACCTCTGGGCAGTTACCCATGTGCCCATTGCCAGTAGCTCCATCAAAGGAATTGCTGCCTCCAGAAAAAAATCCATCCCCAGCAATTGCAAGCAAGGGTCGAGCATCGGCAAACCGATCCTCAGATGAATTGGATGACAATGGCCTTCTCATCATTTGCAAAAATGAAACAGGACCATCGTGTCTAGATACCAACTGCCGCACATCATCTGACTCTTCAACGTCCCAAACCTGGAATCCTGATCTATAACCCAGCAGTAAAACTCGCCGAGGTAAGCCGTCCCCAAATTCTAACTTGTCAAACCCAGCCCAATGAACCTGAATGCAAAACTAGGATGAGTATCGTACTAAAAAGAACATCGTTCTGATAGCAAAATAAACTTAAAATCTATCAGTGAACGTCTGCTCACGAATCAATTACATGTTGTAAATACTACGTTGAGGGAACAACCAGTTTATCAAGTTTCAGATCCAAAGACAATAAAAGGTGGCTTAAATCTAATAGACATCTTTGAAAGAAACATATTTAACACAGGAAAGAACGAAGAAACCTAGAAAGAGAAACCCCTGACAGGGTTTTTCTGCATAACTACCTCTTACTCTTGGAAAATTTAATACCATGTCATCCCAAAGTTATACAGAAGTCACAAGAATTTAAATTCTGAGGGAGCCCGCGTCAGAGCCAGAGAGAGACATGATAAACATAGTTTACATTTCAAATCTGAAGAAAATTAGTTCAGCATCTGGGTCGAATATGGTTCTTGCTAACATTGATTTGTACATCTTTGAACACCGGTGAGCGTTTGGGACAGTTCTTACTGGAGTCAACTAACAAGCCATAAGTATCTAGCCACCGTTGTCAATCCAATGAACTCCCAAAGCTTTTACATGGTGCAGGCCAAGCGCCCAATCGTGCTCCATATTCATCCACACGGCCTTAATCAGCGTGTTTCTCTTTAGAACTACAAGAACAGTTAGAACAGGAGATTGCAACAGGAAAGCTAAAGACTTGTCGACATGAGTGCCTCCAATTTCCAAGACCAGAACATACTAAAACTATTGCATTGTTCTTCCTGCCGGATTCTCGAAAGCATCACTCAGAGTGGTCTCTAGAGCATCCAGCCAGTATACTGTGAAGTGATGTGTGCGAGGCTACTGTAATCTTCGTTAGAATATTTGATAATATGCTCTGTTCGACATAAATCAAGGCTCACACGCCAAGAGGAGTAAATAAAAATCCAGTCGTTCAATAAATGTAACATCCCACTCAGTATGAGACTTTAACACAATGTAATCCACGACCTCAATCCAGGAAAATAAATGTGAACGAAAACTATAGTAACAAGAAAAATATAATAAATGGTTTCGGATTTCCAGAGAGGGCTATCAGAAATTTTTCTTGGCGTCACAAACGAGTCCGTGGGTCTCCCTGTATCAAAGAGTAATGTGCACAAACTTTGACGCATTGCTGGTCGATAACTCCGGAAGATCACAGGCATACCTGATCACACCCAGCGTCATCCTCCCTCTCGACAATAGAAGAGGCGACGGACGCCCCCGCTGATCGGACCGTAGACGCAACGTTGGACGCCCCCGACGAGACAATCTTCAGATAGTTGGATATAGCACGGCGGGTAAAGAACCCGGCCCCCTTCCCGTTCCGCGGTACTCCTCCCTGGACCTTCTGCACATCGTTCCTCATTCCCTGATCCCCTGGCCACTCCCCCGAACAAGACAAGGACGCCAGGCAGAAAGCTACGCGAGGATGATTCAAAAGAGGATTGAGATCCCCCAATCCACAGAGTTGTGATCATACCCCAGGCTGTTTCCTTTTCCGCGAATCTCCTCAGAGGAAACAGCCCCGGGACCAATCTCAGGTCGCCATCATCATCTCCATCACCTGTACCGCCGCGAATTCCTCAGCCCCGACGATCACAGAAAGAGAAGACCGGGCGCAATTACAGACAGATAGGCGGATCGCATTCAACGAAAGCTCCCCGATGAACGCAACCTTCGCAGCCTCCGGGATTCGGATTGAATCAGAAAGGACGGGCCCGAAACCCTCTGCTTCCGGTGCGGGTACGCCGCCGGCGAGACGGAGGGGGATCCTCGTCGATCGAGAGGTCCGCAGAAGAGAGAGAGAGAGAGAGAGAGAGAGAGAGAGAGAGAGAGATTGAAATAATGACGCCGCCACGTCTTCCTCAAACTTTTTCCTCCTTTTTTCTACGTGGAGTTTAATTAATACGTGAAATATTTTCCAATTAGAAATATGCGACAACAACCTGTCAAAAGAAAAAAAAGTGGGCACGCAATCCACCTCCCCGGAACGCGGAGGAGAGATGCAGACACAAACACACCCAATGCTCAGATATCAAGTAACAGAAGCCTCTGCTGACAACATTTCGGTATGCAGCGATACGTAGCGCCCTGGAAAACCAAGAACAAAGTTGTGTACGACTCAAGTTCTCCATCGATGGAACTTTTTCTTGGCAGCCCCTGACGTAGAAGGTTTTACATTCTTACCCAGCTACAGTAGGTAATTAATGAGATTAACAAAAAAATAAAACCGAATTTAAGGCCTCAATCAGGTGCACCGGTCGAACAAGATATGTTATCCGGCATCACAGAAAGAGACAAAAAGTGGGCGTCCCCCCGCCCGAAGGCAGGAATGAAGACCTGAAACGGCACCGCGGGAAAAGCGTTCCCGACCGTGTATCACGCCACTTCCCCCCTTGATCGGACGTTCTAAACCCCGACACGTACCAACTGAGGTGGGGTCCAAATCAGTCGGCACCACGTGCGCGAGGCAAAGCGTGCGGCACACGTAAGCATCGATATTGAGGGTATCTCTGTCATTTACTTCCAAGGATGCATCCAGATGTCCACGCTGGCCGGGGGGGCGGGGGGGGGTCGGGAGAGAAGGAAAGAGGAATATTTTCCGCCGTAAGGAAGCAGACGGATGAGATTTCCTGACGAAACGATCCACACGTTTCTTCTCCATGTGTCGCGCAGAGCTCGTACGATCGCACGTGGCGGCGATCCACGCGCTTTGAATAAGACAAAACCTCATTATTTGAGCCATTTTAAGCATTTAATAAATTATTTGGGCCGTCGCCAAAAATGGAAATCAGTGGAGAGCCCTAATCTCTTCCGATGAATATATCCTCAGGATATAGGACAAGATTGAAGTCTCCAGCAACAAGCTAATTTCCCCAAAAAAAAGATAATTTGCGGCCCTTTCTTATAAATATTTAATTTTCTAATAATATATTATCTAGTTGTCAAGTTGCGTGACGTGGACTGCAGGAGGAGCTAACGCACCCGTCTCGAACACGTTAGCCGAAGCCGGCAACCCCCCCAACTACCCCTAGACTAGAGAAGGTTATTTAAAATTAGCCCCTCAGAAATGTCCCGACTTACATAAGGCTTTCATCTGCTTCATAATTCGTCGTCGATCTCGTTGACGTGGGGGCGGGGAGAAGATTATACATATATATATGTATTCTTTGAGGGCTGAAAAATAAATTGTACTTTACTTTTTGGGATTTTTTAAAGTTTGAGAAGATGCGGTTACCCACCCTGACGCGACTCGGGAGGGGAGGTGAGGCGTGCCGTTCTGGGCCTAGTGCATAGCGTGACGAAACGGGAGTTCGTTGGGCCCCGCAGCACGGAAGACCGGTTGCGGTTACCTGAATCGCTCGTGACCGCACCGCGCCATACTTGGCCTTCTGGTCAATTATTTTCCAAAATCGGGTCAATAAAAAATTAACATGTCATACTACTCTTAAATATCCTATGAAAATAAATTATATTATTTTTTAATTTTATATTAATAAAATTATGGGCCCGTCTAATGCCCATGTTATGATGTTGTGGGTTTTTTTTGGTAGGTCCAATACTAGATGGGCTCATAGTTGATGGATGATGTGGGGTCTAGGAAGAATATGCAAGATATGGGTTTGACTTAGGTTGAATGATGATCATGCAAAGTAGTCTCTAGGAACATATCATCATCGAACTGGGACCTACCGGTAACCTTCATTATGTAATCTAGATTGATGATGGTAGGAGAGACTTGTGGGTTTTGGCAACAATTATGCATTGTGCTAGCCAATAAAAGATGTAGTTAGTGATAATTCAATTTTTTTATGTTACTTTTAAAATAAAAATATTTCAATTGTAACATTTAGGGAGAGAGAGAGAGAGAGAGAGAAGAGGGAAGAAGAGTTGGCAATCCATGTAAATTGTGCCGATAGAGTCAACCCTCCCCTTGTCACCACCATTTCTCCACCCGTGGCCACCCTTCTCTGTTCTAGAGAGAGAGAGAGAGAGATAGAGAGAGTAGGAGCAAATGAGAGCTAAGGATCAAGAACACTTGAAGTTTCCCTCTAGAATTGAAGAGTTGTCATCTCTACAGATTGTTCTAGAGATAGATAGATAGATAGATAGAGGGAGAGGGAGAGGGAGAGGGAGAGAGAGAGGGAAGAGGTTGAAGAGTTGTAGGAAGTGTTGAATCATTTAGGGACTTGGGAGGGGTAGCTTTTTTAAACAATAGTACTATAAGGGTTTTCTTGAACATATTATTCTAAATTTTTTTAATGACAAAGACGCATCATAGGGGTGAAAAAATAAAGCACCTCTACAAAGGGTTTGGTCATATTCAAATAGTGGTGATAAATTTAATATAAACTAATATAAAACACCTATTCTTTTTACCTTACTCACTCACCCTTTTTCTTAAGATTTTTATGAGTAATTAAATATTATTGAGACTAGTTTAAAATAATTATCAATTAATGATATAATCCATAACATGTATTGGGAAATCAGGGCTGAATCATAAGGGAGAGGATTCAACCATGGGTGTCACACAATTAGCTATGGACATACCTTCAATTGCTAATCTATGTGTAGCCTTGATCGCCTCTATGACCCCAAATAAATAGGCATGAATAATCTATGTATCTCTCACTCTATACCACCCTTGGTGGCTGCATGATCCCTCCTTTTTATAAGGGAGAGCAGGGCAAGCCAAGCTGTCACATAACTCTCTACTAGTCTCTCCCATGCCACATGTGCCACCATACACCTCCCCATGCACACAAAGTCATGGCATACATCTCCACTCATGTAGTTCTCATTCCATGTATACTTTCTAAATGCATGCACACTATGTCCCTGCTCACATAAACCACTACACGGCCTCACATCTATGATGCAATTTGGCATTTGGAGTTGAGATCTGATAGGCTTGGTGTCTGACAAAGATAGTTATACCATTAGAAGTTCTTTTAATGGACCAACTAAAAACCTCAAGTCATAAACTTAGTCAATACATTTTTTCTACATTAATATTTTTATCTTTTCAAGTTTCCTATTTTGCCATGTTTATTCATGTCCATTTGGGATTTTTTTCTTAATTTCTTGACATTTCTTTTTTGAGAAAATAATAAATCATGGGAGTCCACGTGGCAGTCCAAAGGGCTTAGCACTGAAAAACCACCGCATCACAAACCCATTATTACTTGAGTAGTAATTGTTTAAAAAAGGGATAATTTTTTTTAAGGTAATAGTTAATTTTATTACCTTTTAAATCAATTTCACATTGAATTTTAGGCACATTTTCTTGCTCACATCTCAATTCATATAGTTTAGATAGAACCGTGGCTCATCCAAGCACAACCTGAAGGGTGTGGTTTGACATACTCATAGTTGTGGCTCGTTATAATAAACTTCTGTTGGTTTGTTGTGGTTAGGAAGCCAAGAAAGGTCAACGTAGCAAACCACTCCGGACGCTACGCTGTCAGCCGGTCAAGTGATGAGATATCTCCGGAGGTTCTCTAAATGTGAAAGAAATGGGGGGGGCATTGGATGAGACTTGTCTCAGAAGAAGTAGATGGGGCACCGCCGGCCCTTGGCCGCCGGCAGGATCGAGCCGTCGGGGCGGACGCCGGCGTCGCAGTCAACTTTCATGTCATGCTGGTGAGTGTCCCACGTCTTCACCCTGAACCGGATGGCCGCCTCCAGCCGCAGCCTGAACCAGACCTCCCCTGTGGCCGCCAAGTCAGCCCTGATCCGGGTCAACAGAGCCTGGTCAACGGCCAGCCCCGGCTCCGGCAGCTCCCCCCGGATGTCCGTCGTGTTCTTTGGCCGCTGGTAGAACGGCGGCAGCAGGGGCCTGGCGGTGCCGACGCTGTCGTCGTGGTAGAAGAGCTGGCCGCGCATGGCGTCGTCGTAGAAGATGCCGATCTTCTGATTAGGGTTTCGGAGCAGCACATGGAAGGAGAAGACGGCGGCGGTGCGGTTGTCGGAGAGGCCGGCGGCGGAGAAGTCGGCGAGGTGGAAGCGAGGGCGGTGGGGTCGGAGGCTGAGCCAGACGATGAAGACGAGGATGGCGGCGATGAGCGAGAGGCTGAGGAAGATGGAGCAGAAAACGCGGCAGACCCTGCTCGTCAACGTGTCCTGCATGCGCTTCGCCACGTGCTGGGTCCTATCCAGCCGGTGCTCGAATGGCGGCGGCGGCGGCTCCATGGTGGGCACGGGAGGCCCAGGAGGCTCCATGGTTGGGTTTAAGAGCTGAGGAGGTGGCGGCGGGACAAAGCCATTCTAGGGGGCTCTAAGCTCCAACATGGAAAGGAATAGATTCCAACGGCAGGGGAGGAATTAGGGTAGACGATGGTCTGTTATGGGGAGACGATGGAGAGCTGTGCCGTCTGGAGTGGGGAAAAGAACAATAAAGGAATGATGTACAGCTTAAGCCGGCGAAGGGCTTCAGGAAGCAGACTAGGGTTTCGCTTTGCCGTGGGAGAGAGGGAAGAGAGAAGGCACGAGAAACCTTGGGTTAACCACGTAGAAACATACCAACAGATTTCCTTTCACTGGTGGCAGCATTTACGTATAAGCGAGAGAGGGGGAGGAGAGAGAGAGAGAGAGAGAAGGGAGGGGAGTAGAGAGAGATCCTTGTTTTCATCAGCACCAGGGAAATATAAAATTTTGTTTACTGCTGTGATGAATATGCTTATAAATTTTCCAGTATAAACAAGTCAACGTGTCATTTCGTAGGTCATAGATAGTGCCAGTTGTATGCTAGAAAAATTCTCCACAGTCTACTCCCACTACAAGACGAGGCCTTCAGTAATTGCCGTTGACCTAAATGAGCAAATGACTATTTTACCCCACATTAGGAGTAAGAAGATAAGTAATTATGATACATGATAGGGGTATTATAGTACAAAGGAGGTTCCCATGCAGCCCCACGCCTCCTCGTCGTGAAACCCGCCGACCTTCGCGATGTTCTTTCACGAGAAGAGCCGAAGAAAGAAAGTCAATATATCTTCCTAAAAGAGCAGACTTGGAGACATCTCCCAGATCCTTCTCCGGCCCTTGCCAATGGCGGGTCGCTTCCTCCTCGGCCTTCTCTCTCTATCCGTGGCGCTGGGCGGGGCGGTCCCCCTGAAAGTCCTCTTCTACAAGGATACCTGCCCCGGGGCGGAGCTCATCTCCCGGGACGTCATGGAGAAGCACCTCCGGAGGGACCCCACCATTGCCGCGGGCATCATCCGCATGTTCTTTCACGATTGCTTCGTGAGGGTGAGCACCACTTGTTCTTGCTTCTTCTCCGGCGCCGGCGAGATGCCTGACCCGGAGAATCTTCCAGGGGTGCGATGGCTCCGTTCTCCTCGACACCACCGGCGACACAGTCGCGGAGAAGGAAGCCCCCCCAAACCTAACCCTGAGGGGCTTCGAGGTCATCGACGACATCAAGGCCGCCCTAGAGAGGAAGTGCAGGGGCACAGTCTCCTGCGCCGACGTCCTGGCCATGGCCGCCCGCGACAGCGTGGCCCTCTCCGGCGGCGCTGCCTACGAGGTACCCACCGGCAGACGGGACGGCGTCGTTTCGGATGCATCGGAGGTCCACTTGCCCGGGCCCTCCTTCTCCATTCTCGAAGCCATTAAAGCCTTCGAGGGGATCAATCTCACAGTCGTAGACCTCGTCACGCTGCTTGGTAACTAAGAGCATACCTTCATCTTCTACAATGTTAGAAGGCCTAATTCTTTTAAATTTCCAACAGGTGCTCACAGTATAGGGCTCTGTCACTGCGGCTTCTTCGTCGACAGGCTCTACAGCTTCCAGGGAACCGGCATGCCGGACCCATCCTTGGACGCCGGCCTCCTCGCAGCCCTCCGGCAGCGGTGCCCAGACTCCGCCGCCGCAGCGGAGAACATATCGGCGGACCCGACCGTGTTCATGAACCAAGCGACCTCCTCGCCCTTCACCTTGGACAGCTCCTTCTACCGCGGCGTCCTCCACAACAGGGCGGTGCTCCAGTTGGACCAGGAGCTCGCCTACGCCGACCTCAGCAACAGCCTGGCGGCGACGTTCCTGACCAGGCCCAATCTCTTCATCTGGAGTTTCTCCAAGTCAATGATCAGGCTGGGGAACGTGGGAGTGCTCAGCGGCGACCAGGGGGAAATAAGGCTAAACTGCCGACAAGTCAACGGCGTCGCGTAGAGCAGAGAGCAATCCCCAATCTGTTCGGTCAAATTCCCGGTTGACAATATTCGAGAAATTTTTCTCATTTATCTCTGTTGCACCAAACTTCTCACTGAGACAGCCTCCTGAAAGCTGTATCTTATGTTGGCCATCTCATGCCGATGTCGATGGTTGCCAACTGTTCCATCTAGTGGTCATATTTTCGAGGACGACTTCACCTTCCCGGAGCAATAGTCACTTACTGGTTAAGTCGATGATGGGGAATTAGAACATAGTGTCATGACGATTCACATCTCCGATAGTTTCCATGGTCTAGTAGAAGGCTCCATGAAAGATTTAGTAATATCTTAGAACCTTCTTTTGGCTCGATGGGTGTCGACACTTTTGAAGAAAGATCAGATTTTTGGAATATTTTCTACCTATATTTCTTAATTTTATATACTTTATATTTTATTTTTTAAGACAGATTTCTGATAGGTATACGAGTAGCTTATTTGCATGACTAAGTATATATCCAACATATTTTTTTGCCCAGATTATGAAAAATCGTCTTTGTTGTCAGTCCAGCCCACTAACACCGCAGATTATCTGATCCTATATTTCTCAATTTTTATATGATTTATATTTTATTTCTTAAGACCGGTTGCCGACCGGTGGCCACCCAGAGGAAGGGGGGTGCCGGGGTAGGCCCAAAGGCGGATTATTGGCATGACTAGGTTTTTATCCAACATATTTTCTGCCCAGATTATGGAAAATATGCTTTGTCGTTAGTCCAACCTGTTAACACCGCAGATTATCATCACATAAAAAATTGAATCTTATAATCTAGGGGAAATAACCCATAAATTAGCATGAACAATGACGAAAGAACATCAGAAAACTCATCCATAGAACCCCTCCGAGAAAAAAAATAAAAATAAAAAAACAAAGGATATCTCTTAGGTTCCATGGTTATTATGAACGAAGAAGCATATCCCATGGATGTCACCCACACACACTTCAGATGGTGAGCATCCGCCGTTGAACCAGTCGTCATCAGTTAGTTGACCAGGGCGCAGTTTCTCCGGATCTCACCCGCTGACCCGGTCTTCACTTCGATCCGCCCCATCTTCTCCATGGCGCCGGCGAATAGCTGGAAGAAGACCTCGGGAGGGCTGGAGACGAGCTTAGTGATGAAGGCCTTCGCGGCGGCGTTGGTAGTGAGGGCGGCGTCCGACTGGAAGAGCCCTCTCCTCTTGAGCAGGAGAGAGTAGTAGCCGAGGTCAAAGGTCCTAACGCTCCCTGGGTCCATCTCGACGATGGTGACGTTGTCGGCGAGGGAGGTGCATTTCTGCTTCAGTCTGGCGGCGTAGTTGCTGTCGAGGGCCGGGTCCTGGTCGCCCCTCCCGGTGAAGTTGTAGAGGCGGTTAGAGAAGGAGGTACAGTGGCCGACGCCGATAGTGTGAGCTCCTGTGGAGCCGAAAGCAGAGAGATTGTTAGTGACCCCGTTCAGAGCATCCTTGTTGAAAGATGGCGACGACGACGGAGGAGGATGAGGAAGAGGAGAACCCACCGGAGAGGAGGACGAGATCGGTGATGTTAAGACCCTTGCTGGCGTAGGCAACGGTAAGGTTCGCGAAGTTAAAGGTGGGAGGTGGGAGATTGAACAAGGCCTCGGTGAAGTTGGAGACCGTCCCGTCCCTGCGCCCTGTCGGCACGCTCCAAGATGGGCCACCCTGTTTGAAGAGGATCACAACACCTTTAATCGCCGCAATTATCGCATAATCAATGGATTAACTTATATGTACAATGAGCTTATATGTATTATATCTTATTGTTTTTCATGTTATACTTTGCGATACTGACCAAGTAGGAGGTTGACTTCGATGATCCAGGTTGAGTTTAAACTGTTAAAAAGTGTAATGGAAGACGTTCCTACTACTCACTATGGTTACGACGGAGTCCCTGGCCGCCAAAGCAACGATGTCGGCACAGGAGACCACACCGGGACATTCCTTCTCAATGAGGGCTTTGATGCCGTCGATGAAGCCGAAGCCGCGGATGCTGAGGTTCGGCGGTGAAACTTTCTCCGTCTGGCTGGCATTAGCGATCTTCGTAGAGTTGAGAAGGACTGAACCATCGCATCCCTGAGACGTGGAGATCACTCGAGCGTTAGCGGTATCCACGACAGTAGAAGAGGACCGAAGATGAGCAAGGAGGAAGAAATTACAGAAAGGAGGAGAAGAAAGGCAGGAGGAGGGAGAGGGAGCAAGATGAGGAAGGAGGGAGGAAGGAGGAGGATTGAATACATACCCTCACGAAACAGTCGTGGAAGTGCATCCTGATGAGTGCAGCAGCGAGAGATGGCGCTTTAGGTATGCGACTTCTTACGTAGTCCAGCACAATCTTCTCGGCATTGGGGCAGCTTTGGCCGTAGAACCCTAGGCTAAGCTGAGCCTGGGCACAGCTCGCAATGGCCAATACACCCATCACGACGATCACCATAGCCGAATTCATCCTGCCCATGTTCCCAAGGAACAGATCTCTCTTTCGCTCGCTAACCCTCTCTCTCTCTCCCCACAGGCTTCTATGATGCTCAGAAGATGCCCCTTGGTGGGAACAATTTATAGAACCTCGGAGAACCTCAACTCGGTGCTCAGCAGCAACGGGAACCGATTTGCCGTCGAGTATGTCCATCTTCTGCGCAGGTCGTACTCAATTAAAAACTCCAACTTTCTTGTGGAGATTTAAATAATACAATTATGATATTATTATAATTCGGATTTCAGTAGTTCTCTGCATGTTCCATCTCAACGACTCCTGCTGGAATAAATATCTCTTGGCGCTCCCCATCTCCTTGTGAGTCTCCAAATATTCCAGCCGGCACCGAGCGGCATGCTTACCGAGTTCTGAAGTGGGGATGGAGTTTTTTTAATGAAAGATTTGGTGAAGGTTAATCCAACTGCCTCCCATGTCACTTCACTGATAGTTTCTTAATGAATTTAGTCCGAGTCTCTGTGCGAACGATGTTAAAAACCTCATTTAGCTCGCGAATGCTCTGAAATTTCACCGATCATTCATTGGTAGATGTGTATGTACTCCGAGCGTGCGATCGAGAGAGCGAGCGAGAGAGAGAGAGACGAAAGAGAGGCAACATAATCGTGTGGAAGTCGATTATTGAGCGCAGACGCTGGCTTTCCTTGTGGTTGCTGACGAGTCGGTGGAATCTGAATGAGGAAAGATTCAATTATTACATGGGGCCTTTGATTGAGTCTCTTTTAAGATCATGGAGCAGGTCATGGACCTTAGTAAGAGATGACTGAACCCAGCAGTGCCATTCAGAAAAGAAGATCATATGGACAACAGCTGATTGGAGGGTTGTGAACATTTGTTTAATCCATTTATATCGTGGACTAGGTCTCTCCATTGCTATCTCTCTTTTTGTCCGTTTGTCTCTCCTTCTCCAGGATGGTCCAGACCCCACAGACATGTTTTCTAGCAATACGAAATGCAATGCGCTTTATGAGAGAAACCGACCACACAAAAATCCCAATAGAGATCTGTCATAGTATGCACTTCCTTCGATCACTTTTCAGCCACAGAGAGTCGTTACTCTCTCCCTCCACGCACAGGACTTTTCTCACATCCTCCATCGTGTGGGTCTTAAGTTGTTCCTCCAAGCAACTGCTCCCTCATTTTATGTGGAGGACCACCGCAAGTGTCGTCGTAGTTTGTGACATGGGGTTACTGTATTTGCGTATAAACGCATCGAAATCAATCACCCAGCGGTCATTACGGTCTTCACCGTTTCGTTTCTCTCTCTAATATTAAAAACGTGCGTACAAACTTTATAATTTCCAACGATACGACTCTGCTGTCTCTCAATTTTGTATTGCTGGTGTTTGCAACCGACAAAAAAAGATAGCGTTGTCGAAAGTCAGATGTCTGGGGATTTGGGCGTTGGGAAGGAGTTTATCCAATGAAAGCCCAAGAAAATGGACTCTTAATGAGGCTCGGCCGTCCAGCTCACTGTATGGTTGACCTAAACGGTGGAGGTGGGGGTGCCACAGGGTCCTACTCGTGCCCTACTGAAGCCCAAGTTTGACCAATATATGCATCATGGGCAACTCGGGAGATTCAGTTCGGTCCATGCTATTTGGAGAAAAAATGGTTATTTTTTCTGATTTCCATGAAAATACCGATGACTAGGGGTATCAGTTCTCCGGATCAAGTCCGAAGCACATTCTGCCCCAATATTTGTGGCTCGGAGCCAGAACTCAAGCTCAGAAAGAAGAAAACTCTGGTTCAGTCTAGGTAGCCTTTATCTAAGCCGACCAAATCTAGGCCCAGAGCCTAGGACCTATTTTTCTTGATATACGACTGTTTAGGAAAACATCTAGTATGCCTCTCTCTCTCTCTATCTATCTATATATATATATATATATATATATATATATATATATATATCGGCGTATGTGTATGTCTGTATCTGTCGCGTATGGATATGGAGAACCGGGGCAGTCCTACTCACGCAATGCTTAGCGGCCAACCCATTGGCCATTGGCTGGCTCTTGTGTAGCCCAGAACCTAATAAAAGCCGAACATGGTCAGGCTGAAGTTAGACGACCTGCTTTTTAATATATTCAAGCTTGTCAGAATGACCGTTCGTGCTCGATCGACATGGAGAAGAAGTGCTCAATATTTCATTATCCGGGACCTACGATATCTTCCTGCTGGAAGAGTCACTGCGGGGTACGCTAAGATTCGCCAACTGGTCTGAGGAATTCAAGTTTTCTGAAGATGATTCGGGTTTTGGAATCTAACGACTTCCCGATTCCAAAACCTCTTTAATATTGTATAGTATGATGATTGAACGATAGCCTTCAAGGGGTTAACTCTCTAATTCATATATGTATATTTAGTTGGTATTTCTGTGGGGAGAGAGAGAGAGGGAAAGGCCTTCCAAAAGTTTATATTACGAGTACTCTTAGAAACTTCACCTAGTGATTACAGTTTGGTCATTTATTTGAGAAGGATACAACCAGAGCCTGATCAAATAATAGAACCTATTGGGTATCCATGAGGATGTTTGGATAGTCTGCTCTTTGTCACCGTAATGAGATTCTATATAAATATTAATAAACGTCAGGTCTTTCCCAGTAGTTCTCTGGAGCCCTAATCTCGGTCATTTCTCCAGAGTGCGTATGACCATTTTGGTGAGCCGGTCAATGCTTGAGTTCGAAGGCGAAGAAGAAACTTTCTCTGGGATTAACCAAGGCCATAGTGAGCTTTGTGAAGTTCAGTCCCATGTCCATGAGGAAGAGCTTTAGTCCATCTTGGTATTGGGGCTAACCCCACTATCGATAATTCCCATTTGGGTTCTCACTTGCTACATATATCTGAATTGAAAAGGGTGAAAGTATTTCGGGCGAGATCAGAAAACCAAGCAACAGAGACCACCCGTTTATTCTAGGCTTGGTCGATGGTTTGTCAAGCTCTGGGTTATCAGTCAGGAAAGGAAAGGGACGGCTCTGTACTCTATCGTAGTGTAGCTCCAGCAGCTAGCCACCGGCGGTCACCTCTGGCCCAATCTTCCCCATGATCCTTCTATTGAAGCATATGTTTGCTCTCAATCATAGAAACGTACCGCTTTTGACCCGGACTGCGACAAGCCTTTTGACTTGAGCTGTGTGCTGTGTGCTGTGTGCTGTGTGCTATGTGTGGACACGAGGTCAAGATGAGTAATGATAATATTCTCATTCTTGAAACAGGAGCGTGAAGGCGTTAAGCCTTGTCAAGAAACAGGAGCGTGAAGATCGTTGGAAACAGTGACACTCCGGCAGTTTCTTCAGTGAAGACTATTTCAAATTGTTTATTATTTCTTAAGTTTTGTTGTTTTTAATCCTGATCGTCCATCTCTTTTAAGTTATAACGGCTGAGATGAAAGTTACGTGAAAAATGTGGGGCCCACAAATTGCAACTGTCTTTAACGACCATTACTCTCGCTCTTTCCTATAAATTGTACTCAATGTGTTTGATGAAATGCGAGAAGTAGAGAGGCTGCTCTGTTTTCTTTGAAAATATTCGTGCCTTGATTCTTCCTCATTCTCTTCAGTTCCTTTGATTCCAACATTTGGAATCAGAGCCTGGTTGCGGAGACAAGACAGAAGATGCTGCACTGTGGAGATGCTACGGAAGGCAAGAGGTCGTTCGTTGCAAGCGGAGCTGTGAAAGGACCTGGAGATGTCGGATATCCAAGTACGTTCCCATCTTGAATAAGACCACTTATCAAGTGTGGGCGATGTGTATGCAACTCCACTTAGAGGCTCACAACTTAGGGGATGCTATTGAGCCAGAGACAATAGCAAGAAAGAAGGATCGACAAGCCCTCTCTGTGATGCTCGGAGCCGTGTTAGAAGACATCTAGACACAACTTGACATCACAAAAATGGCAAAAGAAACTTGGGAGCTTTTCAAAGCGAAATATGTGGGAGTGACCTGTCTCACGAAATCAAGACTTCAAGGTCTCAGGCGAGAATTTGAGATGCTTCAAATTGGAGATGATGAAACTGTGACAGACTTCGTCGGAAAATTGTCTTGAGTTGTCACTCAAATCAGAAATTTGGGTGAAAAGCTAGAGGAAGGTGTTGTTGTTGCTAAGCTTCTTCGAGCAACATCAGGGAGATTTGATCCAATAAAAACGTCTCTCGAGCAATTTGGCGACATCGACTCCATGCCATTTGAAGAAACAGTGGGATCTCTTAAGATCTACGAAGAGAAGCTCAAATCTCGTTAGCAAAAACAGGAGGAACAAGTCCTTTTTTCTCACGGGACTGAGAAAACAAAGGGTAGAAATCTTTATGGCAGAGGACATGGCCAAGGTCAGGGGCGTGGCCGAGGTAGAGGATGAAGCAATGAGAGAGGCTCAGATGAAAATTGGAAGCCTCGTGACAAATCCACAATGAAATGCTTCAATTGTGATAAAATGGGGCATTATGCATTTGAATGCTATGCAAAGAAAAAGGAGGAGAAAGCTTACCTCACGAAGACTGATGAAAAAGCCGAGTCAATGCTTCTAATGGCAACCCTACTACAAGGTGCAATGGAGACTCAAATCAAAGATGGGATGTGGTACTTAGACACAGGTGCCACAAATCACATGACTGGAGATCGAAATCTATTTTATGAACTCACTGAATCACCCGGAAGAGTAGTGAAATTCGGTGACGGCTCCAATATCGACATATTAGACAAAGGCAGCATTCTAGTAAGTTGTCAAGACGGAAGTAAGTTGACCCTCAACAATGTACTATATGCTCCTAGACTCAAGACTCACATTCTTAGCCTCGACCACTTAGATGATTAATGAGTCAAAATTGAGATGGAATCAGACTATCTACAATCCTCGATCAACAAAGAAGACTTTTAGTACGGGTAAATTGAAACTGATAATTAATTATCATTTTCTTGTCTCAAAAGAAGATAAGACCGAGTGGATTTAACATCGGAGGTATGGCCACCTTAATTTCAACTCTCTAAAGTCCCTTCCCAATGTTGTGTTGCCTCCACTTCAAATGCTCAAGAGTGTATGTCGAGATTGTATAGCTTCTAAACATCCTCGACATACCTTTTCCTCTACTTCACTATTCAGAGCTAACACTCCATTAGAGCTGATTTATGGAGATCTTTGTGGCCCGATCGTGCCAAGCACATACAGAGGTAATCGATATTTCTTCCTAATTATAGATGATTATTCCTGATTAATATGGGTTGCTTTTTTGTAGTAGAAGAGGGAAGCTCTTCAGACATTTGTGAGATTTAAAACCATGATTGAGACAGAGAAGAAAGTCAAAATCAGTATTTTCTGAACTAATAGAGGGGGGGAATTTAATTCTATGGAATTTGATTATTTCTATTCTCAACATGGAATCAAATGACATCTCATAACCCCCTACTCACCTTAACAAAATGAAATTGTTGAGAGAAAGAATAGAACCATAAAGGAAATAGTTCGATGTATGTTGAGAAGCAAGTATTTACCACCTGAGCTATGGGGCGAAGTCGTGAACACAAGCATCTACATCCTTAATCGATCACCTACAAAGAACCTCAATGGAGTCGCACCATATGAAGTTTAGAGTGGATCTAAACCAAATGTGGCACACTTTAGAGTGTTTGGTTCACTAGCTCATGTAAAGATACTTAGACAACACTTGACCAAGCTACAAGACAGAAGTAAACCTATGGTATTCATTGGATACGAAGTGGGGACTAAACCTTATAGATGTTTCGATCATCAAGAAAATAAAGTTCACATCAGTCGCGATGTGATTTTTGAAGAAGATAGTCAATGGGAGCGGAATTCTTCTAAGAAAAAATGATGAAATAATTTGAGATGTGTGATCTAGGCCTTCCTACCTCTTATCTGGGATTGAAGTAGAACAATTCGGAGATATGATCAGATTAAAGTAACAAAGTTATGCTCTGCGAATACTTGAACATTCTGGAATGCAAGAATGCAATCTTGCTGTCACATCACTTAAAGCTCGTTTCAAGTTCAGTAATGAAGACAAGTGTCAATAAGTTGACCCAACAAAATTCCGGAGCATAATTGGGAGCTTGAAGTATTTAGTTCACACTCGGCCTGATCTGACCTACTCCGTGGGTTATCTCAGTAGGTACATGGAAGCACCTACCATAGAGCATATGGCAACATTGAAACAGATTCTCCGATATGTTAGAGGCACTACTAATCTCGGATTACTATACAAAAAGGACACAAACTTCACTATATCAAGATATAGTGACAACGATCAGGGGGTGACACTTCTGATTAGAAAAGTACAACTAGAGTATTCTTCTTCCTTGGACCAAATCTGATAAGCTGGACATCACAAAGCATAAAATTGTTGCTCTCTCTTAATGTGAAGCTGAATATGTGGCAGCCACTACAGTAACTTATCAAGGAATTTGATTGGGAAGACTCGTCGGCGAACTGATGATGAGAAAACCAACTGTGGTAAAATTATTTATCGACAACAAAGTCAACAATTGCATTGTCCAAGAATCTAGTTTACCACAATAGATCGAAACACATTGATATACGTTGTCATTTCATTCGATCTTACTTTGAAGATAAACTAACTGAAGTGGAACACATCGTCACAGCAGAATAGATAGTTGACATACTCACGAAAGCATTGAGAAAAACTTGTTTCGATGAACTTCACCAGACACTGAGCATGTTTGAAGACGGCAGAAATACTAGGCTTAGAGGGGGGATTGATGGCGTTAAGCCCAGTCAAGAAACAAGAGCGTGAAGATTGCCAGAAACAAGGCGACACTCCGACAGTTTCTCCAGCGAAGACTATTTCAAATTGTTTATTATTTCTTAAGTTTTGTTGTTTTTAATCTTGTGTCCATCTCTTCTAAGTTATAGGCTGAGATGAAAGCTACATGGAAAACGTGACCCCACGAATCGTAACTGTCTTTAACGACCGTTACTCTCACTCTATCCTATAAATTGTACTCAACATATTCGATGAAATGCAAGAAGTAGAGAGGCTGCTTTGTTTTCTTTGAAAACATTCATCCCTTGATCCTTTCTCATTCTCTCTTCAGATCCTTTAATCCCAACATACATGGCAACATTCTATGAACTATGTTAAATCTGGTGTGTTCCTCTATTCTCACCTCTCCCTCTTCTCTCTCTTGTGTTTTGCATCATTCTTCTGCGATGTAGGAGCAGGAACGAGGATGCTTTCTTCCCGTAACAAGGGGAGGTGAGGGAGGGAAGGGGGAAAGGGAGAGAGAGAGAGAGAGAGAGAGAGAGAGAGAGGGAGAGAGAGGGAGAGAGAGGGAGAGAGAGTTAAACTTGTACAGAGGAGAATTCGGACATCTAAACTACCTGCTAGACTAACATGACATAAGACCTAGAACAAATCAACTATTTGAGAAATCTCACTCGTTCATAATCCTTGCCGCACCCCACACCCCACACCGGGAGATTTGCTCATTGGGAAGATGGGGATCCAGCGGTGGTATGGGAGAACGACGTTTCTTTTCCCTTTTCAATGCAAGAGTATTCTGACATCCATATGTGTCGTATTAAACTTTACTGTCTGTCACCTAAAACATACAACCTTAAGAGGTGAGAATCCTGGAATTTGATACCACGTCAAAATAATGCAAGATCAAATTTTAACCTTGGTACCGAATAAATACAACCTATCTGCTTAATTACATGATATTTTGATTCCTTTGAATCTGATACTTTGATCGATGAGATACTGGAATCAATGCCCGTTATGTGAGATCGCTCAGAAACTTCCCGGGAATCACAGATCAAAAACAATGCATCGGACATGATTTGTATCTTCTGATCAAATTTAATAAATTCTATTAAATTTGATAGCTATGTGTGTGAGATAGGCTCTCTGTTGCCCCGTATATGTAGGGTCATCAAATCTGTACGGAAACATCAGATCCAGCTGTGATTTAAAACCAAACTTTTAATAAAAAATCTATAAACGCAGCCAGCACAGTTGGCATCAACGAAATTCATACTGTTGACTTGTCCTTTTACGTTTTCAGGGAAATGGCGTCCACCTCAACCTGTCGTTATTCAATATTCTTCAACATTCTTGCTACCTCTCGCATCCTCGGTAGAACATCTTTTCTATAGCTAGTGGGGACAGTTGCTTACCGTGTTCCGGCGGGGGGGAGAGAGAGAGAGGGAAAGCCTTACCAATAATCACTTTGTAAATATTTGAATCTGGTTCTGACATATTTTGACTAACCCTACGAAGTCATCCCTTTCTTATTTTTCGTCCATAAGGTTTTTCCGGGTCAACTTTCGAATTCTCTTGATACAACTACCCCAACTACGAAGAGGCATTACCTTGTATTTTCAGTACTTCAAGGCCAGACTCTGGTAAAATCTCCAACCTGGCCGGGGAATTATAATTGGCACGGTTATTCTCCACTTCCTTGGCCCAGTGACTCTTACATATGTTTCTTCGTAAAGGATCGAAAGTGATAATAAATGTGAAATAAGAGAAATTGCAATCCAAATTTGATGGTTATCGTGACCTAGAGGTGTGCACAATTGTCCATAAGGACTGGAACAAGAGAGAGAGAGAGAGAGAGAGAGAGAGAGAGAGAGAGAGAGAGAGAGAGAGAGGGGAAACCAAACCCTTCCACCTTATTTCTTTCCATTTGGTAAACTTGTGAAAACCCTAGTTCCTGAGGGCACACTGCTTCCGGATTTCCCCTGGCTCCCAGTGAGGACGCCAATATTGCCCATATTTACCATCGACACGCCGAAGTCTTCGAAGAACTCAGTCGGTGGTGCATTGGCCTGGCGGAGCACGTAGGCCCTGGTCTCTGGATCGTCAAGGAGGGCGGCATCGGACTCGAAGAGCCCCCGTCTCTTTGAGACCAGGGTAAAGTAACTGTTGTCGAAGGAGAGAAAGCTGCCGGGGTCCATTTCTATCGGCTTAATGGCATCTGCCGGGAGCGGGGAGCACTTGCCCCTCAGCTTCGGCACGTACGTTTTGTCAAGGGCCGGGTCGGTATCGGTATTGTCCCCCCTGCCTGAGAAGTTGTAGATCCGGTTGGTGACTGTGAAGCAGTGGGCGTTCCCGAGAGTGTGAGCTCCTGATGCAGAAGGTTCACCTCCGGTTAGATCCCTCTCTTTCTCTACCTCTCTCTCGCCCATTCACCAGCTCTTTCTCTGTAATTTTTTTCATATATATATATATATATATATATATCAGACCTGAGAGAACGACGAGGTCCTTGACGCTGAGGCCCTGGGCGGCGAACTGGGACTTGAGGCTGGAGATGTTCGCCGTGAAGCCCGGGAGCATGTTCAGGGCTTCGCTCATGATGGAGACCCGCCCATCGCGGCGACCGGTGGGCACTTCTCAGTAGGGTCCCTTGGCCTGCAGACGGTCAGAATCAGCAAGCGACGGGAGAATGATTTACGCATGATACTCTACGTGGGACTAGTATCAGCAGCCCAACCAAAGAGACGACATCCCTAACGACAAGAGCCAGGACATCAGCGCAGGAGACGGTCGAGGGGCAGGCCTTCTCGAGGTTGGCCTTGATCGTGTCGATGACCTTGTAACCTCGAAGGAAGGAGTTTGGGATTGCGTCTTTCTCCGCCGGGTTGCTGCTGTCGGTGGCATTCAGCAGGATCGATGCATCACACCCCTGCATGTAGAAGGGTCATCGAAATAGTCCCACATTGGTTGGATTTAATGAACTACGGAGGTTTATTATCTCTCTGAGGTGAGCGTTGTAGCAAGTAACATACCCGGACAAAACAATCATGGAAGAAGAACCTCAGGAGGGAACCGCCGAGAGTTGGAGACACCCTCATCACCCGGTTGATCTCTGCCCGGACAATCGCCTCAGCGTTCGGACAACTTTTCCTGTAGAACCTACCTCCAACTGGGCATCGGCGGAGCCCAGGAGGAGGAGGAGGACGAGGACGGCAGGGAAGACGATGGTGCAACATTGGCGAGCCGTGTCTTTTAGGTAACGGACAGGAAGGCTCTGAGGAATGCGGATGGGAATGTCTCTCTCCCTTGTTCCTCAGTTCCTTTATAGTAGTCCTGGAACCTCAGAAACTGAAGGCAGATCCGAAATATTAAGCTTCAGAGATTCTTTAGTAGGATAGGAGATGTGGTGGGTAGAGTATCTTGTTGGAGATGGAGACGGCAGCAATAAGCTTATAGGACAAGCATCCGGCCATTAGTTGAGCATGGGGGTTTCAGAGGGAGAACAATTCAGCCAAGAGCTGCTCCGCTAGTGGCTGTCAATCGAGACCGCGTCGTGTTGACTCACCAAATCCCTCGAGCTCCCCAACTCCCACCCCGACTGTCTGAGAAGAAGGCAACACCAGCTTCATGCGCCGGACCTTCCCGGAAGAGACGGCAACGCTGTTGCCGCTGCCGGCGAGTTCTAAGGATCTGAGAGTGATAATGGAACTCGGTAAACTCGTAGTTAAAGAGCCTGAAGTTCTATCTTCTATTATTGAGTGAGCATAACTAAAGGTAATTTAATACTCACATTTTCGCTCTCCCTCTGGTAAATCCGCTTCCCACTTAATCCCCCCAGTCTCCTACCCCCCTCCGGCCCCAAATCTGGATGATGATTGATCTTATCCATGGTATCAAATCCAAGTCATCATGGAGAGCCGCCCTCCTCCTCCTAAGCTTTCCACGGCTTTTTGTCGGCGGCCGAGGAACGAGAGACGGGTCTAGGTTCCTACGCACCTGACTAGGGTACAGTTTGATGTTTGAATTATTTCAATTAATTTAATAACGTAGGGTACAGTTTTTTATGTGCACGTTTAATATTAAATGGAGTACAATCACGTGCTCCGTCATGACTTCCAACAGTCAAAGATCTGAGGATGATTTCCAATGACATCTAATAACAGCCTTGACCCAGACTGTCCGCGGGCTCAATCTCCATCAGAGGAAAGCCCGAGGAAACGCCCTCGAGGGCTAACCAATATAGAAGTGAGGCCGCCGGTAGATAGGGCATAGGCTGCCAACGAGGACTTTCAGCTTCTATTCTGTACGATATCAAAGAACAAACTTAACTATAAAGGCAATAACATATCAAACATGAGAGTCATTATACACATGGATATATAGATATAGAGAGGGAGAGAACTATACGAGTGAATGTAAGCGAGCTATATGATAAGAAAACTATATCCTAAATATTTATTTTGTACCATATAACAAACAAGAACTGCCTAGACCCACTTACAAATATTAAACTTGAGACATTTCGCCAATGATAGAGAGAGTGATTGTAGTTATGTGAAGAAACTTATTATAACAAATTTGAAATTTATACTTACCACAGCTCTAATTGGTGTAAATAAAGACAAAAAGATTAACCACGAATCATTATCGAAACCTATGTGAGTCAATATAAGACGGTCATATTATATAGTGAAACAATCTTTGTAGTTCTGTTTTGTATCACATTGAAAAGCCCAAAACTCGCTTAGATGTGGAATGAGTTGGGATTGAGTGGACTTATTTCCTTCATGAAATAGATTCTGCTGGGCCAGAGCCACGTAACTTACTCTTTCTGAGTTGGGGAGTTGGAGAACTTGAAAGTTACCTGTGACTAACCTTTCTATGTTTCTGATATGCATGCCACAGTGGTCTTCTGATTTTTTTGTGGTAGTGAAGTTGTGTAAGCAATCCAATTGGTGCCATTCAATCACCACTTCCCATTTAGTGACGATCTATGACTTCAAGAGAAGAATTAAATACGGTATCTAGAGTCTACACCTAGTCTATATTAATTTTCTAAAAATAAGGTCTCTTCTTTTTCCATATATGAGTCAATGTGAGGAAGAATTTCACTCAAAATTCAATAATTTACAATGTTCCCACCTTGATGCCAATCATAACTATTTAATGTACTAACAGGCTTGGTAGACTCATAGTAGAGAGAAAACAACATCTCAAGGGAGGCAATGACAAGAGAAGCAGATCTTAAAAAACCAAATAAAGTGTTCAATTCTTAAATCTCTCATATATTACATTGCCTCCTCATATGTCAGGAATGGTGGATCAAATTCTACCTTAACAATCTAATCTCGTAAGTAGATGCTCTTTAGGAGTTTCCTGAATAGAACTATTGAGTGGCATATTAACGCATGCCTCTTTTGCATGACACAATTTTGGCATATTTTCTCTTGTAAAAGTAGATTGATTGTTTGTACCTATAAATGTTAATGTTTTCTAGGCTTAGGTTGAGTCTAGTATAACCATCTTCTTCAACTCTTTGAAGTCATGCTTGTTTTAGTACGTCTCTGGGTGCTTTCTAATTTTATATATGTGCCTATTTGCATCCCATTGATTGCTAGTATTTTATTTGATTGTTACTTATCTAATTATGGAGTGGGAATTTTTATCTTTAGAACTATTACTTTTGATGCTAAAAAAGCATATTTTTGTGCACAATCTAAATTTTAATTTGTTAGAAGTTTTCATAAATGATTTGAAGTACTAACTAAAATGTTTAAATTTTTTATTTTAATTTGATGAACTCTTAGATAATGAGATGAAAATTATTGAAACATAGATGATAATAATGGATTATTAATCAGAAATTTTTTCTTTCTATATGATTGTTCAAATATTTCAACAATTTTTAAGCCATTTGAATTGTGTAAGTTATGAGCACGTCTCTAGAATTATGATCCTAGAAACAGTAAAAAATGTAACTTTACGTTTATCCACCTTTGTAGGGCTATAGCCTTGAACATTTATAACAGCTTTAGGCTCTTATAGTGAAGAACTTCTATTAACATCTCCTTAGAGAAAAGATACCAATTTCTTGAAAACTATGAAAGATTGTTATTCATTTAATAGGCTTCACCATTGACTTATCTAATAACAAATCTACATTTTAAACTTGTAATTTATTTATAATAGTATATTATCTCCACTGTTTTTGGAGCTTATATTTACCAAACTATCTCATGAGTTGTGGCACTTAATTTAGCTTGATAGGATAAATAATCATCTTTAGTTGTTGGTTTTGTGAAGTGTGATAGAATTATGAATCTACTTTCCATATAGTTACTATGTAAGCTTTTTTGGTCTAAAGCTAGAAAAAAATAGTAATCTTTTGTTGAAAATGTTAGAAGAAGGGTTGTTCAGATATTTTATCTCACGACACAAGCATACTTGTGTCTAATGAATATTTATCTCCATGATCATACTATGTAGATTCTAATAATATTACATTAAACATGTCAAAATTAACCTTTTGAGTCTATTCAACTTTATCTAACTTTTAAAACAGTCTATTCAATCTGCATCTCTCTCTACTTTCATACTCTTTCTTACTTGACCAAGGATTTGGTTGCATTGTAACTTCCAATTAGTTACCAATGAATTAGGTCACAATGTCCTCATGATTATTTTACCACTTCCTTTTCTTTTCCATTCTATGTTAGATATGGTGATGGATGTATACGTTCCCAAATGCATACATCATGGTTATTTTCAGTTGAAGATCATTCACTCCTAGTTATGAAAGTTCAATCTATGCCTAATTTTAGTCTTGCCATGCAATTAAATAATTTATCCTTCCTGAACATGGTGAATGGAAACTTTTTAATACACTTTTTAACTATCATGATATGTTTATGTTGTCTCCAAACCTCACTTTTGACCGAAAGTGAATTCATTAGAAGAAATACTTTATGAAGAAGCATGGATGGGATTTAATTGTTGACCACATTTTCAACTAGATAAATGACAAATTAGTATTAAATTATATCATTTCAGAGCTTACGCTACTCTAAAATTGTGATTAGGATATTAAAAAAAGTTATCAATTTACTTCAAGTTTTGAACACTTCTGGAGTATAGGAATTTTATGATTAGTTGAAGCACCAAGAGGAGGGTAATTGTGATTTCTAAAAAGTTATGCAATATTTTTAATCCTAAATTAACTTACTACATAAGTTGGTTTGTGTTGACACAAGTAATGTATGTTTTAATTGAAAGGGATTATGTGTCAACACATGTGTTAATTCATGTTTGCAAAAATAAGACCTTTTAGCACCCTCACTAACAATGCATAACTTTTATACTTGTTGGCCTCTCACCTGGCTACTTCTAATTTTTTAGCATCTCATCCTCTAGATTTTGATTATTCATCTCTAGATAGATACACACTAAACTTAGTGAGATCAGCATCCCAGGTCTTAAGTTTCTCTTTGCAAAGACCTTTCAACATATTATTCTTTTTGGGGCCAAAAAGAATCAAGCACCTCATGCCTTTCTCAAAACTAATTTCCTCTCACAACTCTATTGCCTCAAAGCCTGATGGAGAGCAATAATTCTAGTTGTATAGGCGTGAAGAAGTCAATTCAGAGCACTAAGTCTTCTCTTACAAGTTGGTATTCTTTTTGTAATAATTTCTCATTTTTTTCTCTTCTAATGTTTAAGATGGCATGCTAGAGTCTTACTATGTACACAATTTCTACATATCAATTGTGTAGTCTTCTGCTGTGTCACTATCAAGATAATGTTTCTAAACTTGAATCTTTGATCTATTCTTTATTTTTCGTTGATTAGATATTTATAACAACTTGCAAAGTATATATAAAATTACATAGAAATAATATATAAAAATTAAACACTACACCATAATGATTAGATGGTCATGAGTATAATTTGTATGAAATGTTCTATGTTCTATGTTGTAATATATATTGCATGTGTCAACACATGTCATATGATCCTATGTGAAATATAATTAATATTTATCTATAGTTCTTTCTTCAATTAGTAATGTCTTATTTTAAAATATTCCTATGAGAGAAAATAACTTAATCTCAAGGCTGAAAACTTAAAATTTAGATGCTAGAACAAAAATCGTAATACTTGGCCTAATAATTCAATATATGATTAATACGATCAGATCATCGAATATAAAATGTTATCTTCACATCAAATATAAGTAAAATACATAAATCAAAACTCAATTTCTCTTCTCTTGATTTAAAATATGAATCAATGATTTCAATAAATTTTCATTTGTAATGATCAAAATCAAGGGCATCAACAAGGTCAACCATATAAGATATTTTGGGTCACTCTCTATCAAGCTTTTTGCATTCTCAACTACTTTGACCACATTGGCCTACTAAATTTCTACCCTCACCCACTCCAAGGGTGAAGGCAAATCTCATTGTCATCTCATTCATCTTTATTAACTATTTCTCCACAACTTGTGGGCATTGGCTTCAATGAGTTATTCCTACATCTTCTGAATACTTTAAGTTTGATTTACTTAGCATGACCAAAAATTGAGTATTATGACACAATATTATTAGAGGGTACAAATCTAGTTTCTTTCCAAATAGAAGAAGGCATTTCTTGTCTTTAAATACATGAAGAGGATAACCTACATGTGCAGTTCACAAATACTTGCTGATTGTTGTTTGCGTCAGACTTGGCATAGATCTCTATAACATGCTTTCACAACATTTTCTGCACTTGTCACCTAAAGCTTGACTCCAATTGTCTCATCCATGCTTTTGAAATGTCACCTTGTTATTCCACTTAGTACCTAGTTTACATTGTCCTTGCAGTAGTCACATATATCTGTCAAGTATTCCCCTCCAACTAAGTGTGAGTTCTTCAGATGCCCCTCCACACTTGCCATGTCATAACTTGGATATGGACAACTCTACAACAGCCAGGCTTGCATGGATGCATGTCTCTTGTCGAGTCACACTCTTACGCAAGTCAATTGTGGCATCACACAACATGTGTGCATGCCACAGCTCAATGCAGAATGTTCAATAACCCTATAACAATATAAGGACCTCAAGTATAGGTTTTAAACATATTGGTGCTCTCACAAGAAGGCTTTGGCAATATTGAGAGGGAACAAGGAAAGAGCTTGCTGTGAAATAAAACTAAAGTGTTATAAACATCACTAGTGGATCAAAATCGTAATATGTGAAATCAATATAAAGAAGATGAAAATTTTGAATCCAAATGAAAAGGCACTAAAAATTGAACACCAAGACTTGCGTGCTTTGGAGAAATCATCCTAAATATGCAAAGAGAGCTGAAATATTTCTTTGAAAAAATAATAAATGGAAAGAGTGCCTTACAAAATATATGGATATCCTTTTTTCTTTCAATGCATAATGTCTTCCTCTTCAAGTAGAAAAGAAAGGCTAAAAATAGAAGAAGTAGAATCCTCCTCTTCTCTCACTAGCCCAACATCTTCTTTCACCCTTCTCACTCTACGACTCTTCCCAACTCTCACTAATCCATAGGATACCTTTTCCTGCATCCCTCTCCTGGAGGAAAAGGAGGGAGAGAAACCAAGAGAGAGAATGAGGGCGGTTATAGCACGCCCTGTTGTTTCTTGGGCCGTTTATAACGCCCCACTAGTTAAATGAGTCAAGAAACAACAGGAGCCCTCTTCACTAGAGATAGATAGATATGAACATAAATATGCCTTAGATGAATAAAGAGAAAGAATTGGCAAATTGATTACCGAATTTGGATTGACGAGCTTGATCACTCATTATTGATTGCGGGATGATTGGATCATACAAATTTATTCAATGTTTGGGGCTGTCGCCATGGGAGGAGATATTGCTAATGATTTGGGTCCAGCAAATCAGCGTGCGTGGTTTGATTTTGGCCCTTTGCAGTGCAATTTGGGTGGGGAGGAAGCAGGAGAAGATTGCTCAGGAGCCGGAGGTGACGCTGCCATTGAAGATCTCGATGGTGTCCCCATGGCGGACGTCGTGCCAGCGAAAGGAGCGGTCCTCGTCCATCACGTTCTGCCTGTAGATGAAGAAGTAACCCTCAGCCGGGAGATTGACCTGCTGCTTCTCCTGCAGCCTTATCAGCTCCCTCCTCAGCTCCTTGACGTTCTCCCACCCATTGACTTCAACTGCTATCTTCTTCGTTCCGCATTTGGGCAGCACCATTACCCTAAGCCGCTTTGCAGACGGCGACGGCGAATGGAGTTGACGCGGCGGCATCTCCGACTGGTCCACGGGCTCCTCTGCCTTCAAGGCGGGTCTCTCCGCGCTGAACTCCGGCGGCATCTCTAGGAAAAGACGGACTCTGGAGTCCTGGAGGATGCCGTAGTGCTCTGTGTTGTGGTGATCTTCCAAAACCCGGCCCTCGAAGACGAGCCTCTGCCGGGCCACAGGGAAGCCATGGAACTTCTGGATCATCTCCTTCATCTCTTGGACGGTGGCAAAGAACCAGACCTCGATAATGAAGACCCTGCCTTCCGGGGTCTCGAATGTCACGTCCATGGCTTCTTCTTCCCTCTCCAATTACCACGTTCGTGACCTTCTTATCCCTGGATTGCACCTCTCGTTTTCCATCTCCCTGCGAACGAGAACGGACCTACTTATTCGGAAGCAGTTTCTCCTCCCATAGACTCGCCAGTTGGTTACAAAAGAAGCTTCTCCATTCAGACGGTTAGGAGCCGATACCCAGATCCTCTATCTCTCTCTCTCTCTCTCTCTCTCTCTCTCTCTCTCTCTCTCTCTTTCCCTCCGTCCGTCCGTCCCTCTCTCTCTTTCTCTCTCTCCCCCTCTCGCTCTCTCTCTCGTGGTATCGGCGACCATGGCAAGAACAACCATCGCAAGTCTTTCATGGAAACGGTGAGTTTAGGATTCTTGAAAGGCACAGTGGCGACAACGCACGTAGAGCGGCTTTCAGAGATAAACAAGATTTAAAAAACCTAATGCCTGACTGAACTCTACCCGAGTGTGTCGTTTCTAAGTGGGGTCAGTTCCCTCTAGCTCAGTCACCCTGACTACACCAGGCTCTCGACATGATCCACAGCCAGAGGAGGGGTCCCCGCCATCAGGGTCCCCCCTGTGCCGCCATGCAGGCTGTCGTAGAGCACCCATGGCTCCGCCATCTCCTTCCGCCGCCACCGTTCCACCATCCGGTCGCCCCACCGCCGCCGTCTCTATCCGTGTCGCCATCCGCCGCCCAGCCTTCGCCCTTCGCCGCCACCGTCGCACTCTTCCTCCGCCAACGCCTTCTCCTCCCGGCACCGTGTTCCGCCTTCCGCCGCTGCCGTTGCCGCCGTCTCCTTTCGGCGCCGCCGTTCCACCGTTTCCGCCGCCCAGCCTTCGCCCTCCGTTGCCATCACCGCCACTGTCCGCCGCCATCATTCCTTCTCTCCTCCCCGACGCTCCGGTTTTCGGAGTCAGCCGCCGGTTCGGCGCTCTAGGAGCAGTTAGGGCTTAAAACCGGCGACCCATTGTTGGGCCGTACTTCCCCAGGCCCATTACTGGGGTTATCTCCTTCCCCACCCACGGGGTTGTCTCTGGGTCGGGTCCGTACCCGCTATGCAGATCCCACGGGTCCGAGATGTAGTCGACCAGCATCCAGCCCTCCGTTTGTCCAGCGCCGAACGGCCTCTTCGCAGTCAACATTCAGTGACTCAACTCGATTAATGGACAACGAGTCATCTCAGTCAGGGGTCAACGACTCCATTCGGTCAACGGTCAACGATTGACCTACTCTGACCATGATATATCTGCTTTCTTCTTTCCACAACTAGTTCTCTAGTTTCTCAAGCTTGGTATTCCTTACTTTTAGTATATTATTTTTTTCATCATCTCCTCTGAGTGATCTCATGGGATAACCACTATTTTCATACATTGCATGATCCATCCTTGCGATAAGTTAAATCTGCATTGTTAATTACGAGCACCCTATGTTTGATGGTTTGTTCAAATCACCTGCTTGTGGATGATTTTGAGTCAGACTTAGATGTCTTCTTTTTTCTATTTCGGATAGCATTTGTGGTTTCTACATCATTTATTTGAGTTTCCTTGCATTCTCATTTTCACCCTTGTCATGAATATTGAAGACTTACCCATTGGGAATGGCGATGGACGTCACACAGCCGGTTTGGAGTGACTGGTGATGGGATTTGCATAGGAGAACCCAAGTGGAAGGGTTGACCAAGACTAGGCCATTGCAAGATTGCAACTTGGTGCAAGGTTAGATTCAGATGAGTTCCCCTCTCTGATGACAAGGCCATCTCAATGGTGAACTCTATCCATCCTTGTCCATGCAGATAGGTCTGCCTCTATTGAAACATACAAAGATGATGTCAAGGTGGCCATCCTCAATAACTTCAGATGTTGCAAATAGAGAGAAAATACAACCAGATTGGAGGGAGAAGAGGACTGTAATAGAGGAGGAAAAGAGGATTAGTGGAGCAAAAAATGTTGTAAGAAATCAAATGTCTCAAACTATTTACAATAGAGGAGAGTGAGGGTTTTATATGGAGAAGAGAAAAGGGGATAAAGCAGACTTGCCCATTTCAACTCGACAACACTTAAAACTCAGTCATAAATGCTTTTATTCTACCTCCATGACTTTGGCATCTTCTTCTTTTTACTTTCAACCATTTTACATTAATTTTCAACATTCCCCCTTAACACAAAATATCTAATACTAAGTGATTCACAAACTTTGTTAAATTTTAGGTAACTCCATGACTTTGTAAAACTACTTACAGCATGATTATTTGCTGATCAACAATATCCTCTACATCTTTTTTCATCCATATTTACATATTGTGATGTCATTGATAGCTTAATATACTCTGCTTCAAATGATAATAACATCATTGTTTTTTGCTTTTTAAAAGTTTATGACATTACACCTGAATAAACATTGAGAATAAACCTACTAGTTATTTTCCTATCATCTATAGATTTTTTTTAATCACCATTAATAGAACTAGAAATTTTAAATATTCCAAGAAAGATTCCTTAGGTTAAGGTTTGCAAATGTAATAGACCACTTAGAGGAGCCCAGAATCATCGCAATTAAAAGAACATGTTTACAGAAAATTTCATAGTTGATTATCTGTCAAATGTAGTGAAGAATTTATTTTTTTGCTCCAAGATAATGAAAAATTTGGAACCAGAAATCAAGCTAAAATGAATATTATATCAAGCTAATGATGAGTTAAATAATAAAAACCAACAAATCAACTTCTATTAAAAATATTTATCTACTTTTCTAGTCTCTCCATCAAGGCATAATTTGCCATAAATGTACATTGGAGTAGATTTTTTTCATAGATTTAATATATAATTCAATATGTTCAATTTTTTAGTAGATTAAATATATAATTATGAAATAATATATGTAGACTACTACCATTTTGAATAATTTGGAACCTATTAAAATAATACACTAATCTCAAATATCTCATATCAAAATCAGTCATCATAAAAGACTTGAATTTAAATATCAATAAAGAAGATAATCCAACATGTACAATGTCATCAACATATACATAGTATGAGTTAGCCCACTTCAGCCCAACACACCTAACTCAGTCATAAATGTTCCCATTTTGCATCCATGATGTTGACACATTTTCCTTAATTATTAGCATGGAGATGATGCTAAAAGTGGCCATCCTTGATGCCTTTAGGTGGATGGATTCAAAAGAGGGGCCATTGATGGAGGCACTCCATAGCCTACCAAGGCTCCAAAATCGAAGGAGGCTCTTGATAGATAGTTTGATGAGGTTCTTATCAATGATGAAACTCATGAGGGTTTTCAAACTTCCTCTTTCATTTCATGGTGTAGCAGAAGTCAAGAAAAATAAAATGTAACCTTAGAATGTACAAGGAAGAAATACAAAATCTTTGAATCTACACAGAGTGAATCACTCCTTTAGTTCACTAGAGATAAGTAAATATAATTCTAGGAATAAAGAGGCACATTTTAAAAAAATATTTGACTCTTTTAATAGAAAAAACTATATTTTTAGACTTGCTTAAAAATTAAACTTATTAGAAGAGCTTATGAAAGAAAATAATTAAATGATGAATTAACACAAGTTTAGTGCTGCAATCTAGACCATCACTCTCTAATTACCAAATAAATCATGAATAAGCCCAGTACGTTTCAACTTTAGTAATAACACCCTCAAGAATGTGGCCTCTAGTTTTCAACCTTCTTGTTCTATAATGGCTTTAAATAGAAATAGACTTAGGTTATTAGATGAATATCAAACAACAAACCAAATGTCATGAAATGGGAAGCCTAAAATCTTTGCATCTTTTACTAACTGATTGTAGTTAGGAATGAGTTAGATTTAGTCCAAAAATAAGCAAAGGGGACTACTGGCATAAACATAATGAAATAGAGATTAAAAGAAAATATGGTGTTGTAAAAAACTCAACAATTAAAGATGGGTCAAAAACATTAAAGTAAAACATCTTAAGGATGTATAATGCTGATTTATTAGCATTAAAATCACATAGAATTTTATGGTTAGTAGAGAAGCAATGGTTTTAGTGATGATATTATTGATTCTTACTATTCTATTAATCATAAAGTATAGGACAATGTAACATGACAAGACTTCAAATAGTATGAAGGTTGAAAATTTATCAAAAAACTAACCTTATTATGGTATCTTCCAAGTGTTGGATTTTAAGCTGCACAAATCAAGGACTAGGATTCAATTGATTTGATTATAATTTGACTTCAGTCAACTATTTCTAAGATATCTCATTTTTCATTCAAATCCTACATCATCTAGTATTTCTAGATCTAAAGATATTATACTCTAGGATTTTTGAAGTGCTTTGGTTCATTGCCTAATTTCCACTTTTCAAAAACTCCATTCTTAGATTTAACTAGATTGAACTTCATGATCACAATTGTTAATTACTAAGTTCAATTCCCACAAATTTTTTTACCTTTAACTATTCTTCTATACTTATAGCTCTATGTGACCAAATCTTAGCCATTCCTAAATATTTGAATAAAGTGTTCAGCTCCCATGAATGATTAAAATAAATATAATCACAAGGTTACCTCACAAAGACTAAAGAATAATTTTCATTGAGATATGTTTTTGGAAAATTATGTTAACTTGAAGTAAATATAGAAATTCAATGAAGAGGATGATGATCTAAACTAGATTCTTGATGTCCTCTTCTCAAAATGATATTGTTTAAATGTTGAAGTTGTTGTCATTTCGATATGGTTAAGGAAGAACACTCGTTACTTGAAAACGCCTCATCAACCCAATTCAATCATGTTACTCGACCAGAAAGAAAAATCTCTCAAACTCTCACAAAAATTTCTATAATTAATATCAACAAACCTCTTGAGATCATAAAGAGGTTAAAGGTGATTTGTCTCAACTTAGAGATAGATGAAGTTCAAAAGTTTCTCCTATTTCTACTATCTCAACATTCAAAATTCAAAATTAGTTCAGAAAACAATACATGTCCATGAAGGGTTCAGA